CCTCCCTATTCTATTGTTTTCTTTTATTTCTTTGCACTGTTCATTTAAGAAGGCATTCTTATCTCTTCTAGCTATTTTCTGGAATTCTTCATTCAATTGGGTGTATCTTTCTCTTTCTCCCTTGCCTTTCGCTTCCCTTCTTTCCTTAGCTATTTGTAAAGCTTCCTTAGTCAGCCATTTTGCTTTCTTGCATTTCTTTTTCTTAGGGATGGTTTTAGTTGCTACCTCTTGTACAATGTTGCGAACCTCCATCCATAGTTCTTCAGGCACTCTGTCTATCGGAACTAATTCCCTAAATTTATTTGTCACCTCTACTGTATATTCATCAGGGATATGATTTTGGTCATACCTGAGTGGCCTAGTGCTTTTCCCTACTTTCTTCGATTTAAGCCTAAATTTTGCAACAAGAAGCTCATGATCTGAACCACAATCAGCTCCTGGTCTAGTTTTTCTTGACTGCATAGAGCTTTTCCATCTTTGGCTGCAGAGCACATAGTCAATCTGATTTCTGTGTTGACCGTCTGGTGATGTCCATGTGTAGAGTCGTCTCTTGGGTTGTTGGAAAAGAGTGTTTGCTATGACCATCCTAGTCTCTTGACAAAATTCTACCAGCCTGTGCCCTGCTTCATTTTGTACTCCAAGGCCAAATTTGCCTGTTATTTTGGTTATCTTTTGGCTTCCTACTTTAGCATTCCAATCCCCCATGATGATAAGGACATCATTTTTGGTGTTAATTCTAGAAGGTGTTGTAGGTCTTCATAGAACTGGTCAACTTCAGCCTCTTCAACACCAGTGGTTGGGGCATAGACTTGGACTACTGTGATGTTGAATGGTTTTCCTTGGATTCGAACTGAGGTCATTCTGTCATTTTGGAAATTGTATCCCAGTACTGCTTTTCCTAACCTTTTATTGACTATGAAGGCTACTCCATTTCTTCTGAGGGATTCTTGCCCACAGTAGTATAACTGATGGTCATCTGAATTAAATTCATTCATTCCTGTCCATTTTAGTTCACTGATTCCTAGGATGTCAATGTTCAGTCTTGTCATCTCTTGTTTGACCACATCCAGCTTGCCTCGATTCATGGATCTTACATTCCAGTTTCCTATGGAGTATAGATCTTTACAGCATCAGACTCTCCTTTCACCACCAGATACATCGGCAACTGAGTGTCCTTTCAGCTTTGACCCAGTCACTTCATTCTTTCTGGCGCTACTAGTACTAGCCCTCTGCTCTTCCCCAGTAGCATATTGGACACCTTCTGACCTGAGGGGCTCATCTTCTGGCGTCATATCTTTTTGCTTTTTGGTAAAGGCAAAGATACTGGAGTGGGTTGCCATTTCCTTCTCCAGTGGATCATGTTTTGTCAGAGCTCTCTGCTATGATCTGTTTGTCTTGGGTGGCCCTGCACGGCATAGCTCATAGCTTCATTGAGCTACGCAAGCTCCTTCGCCACGACAAGGCAGTGATCCATAAGAAGAATGATTTCATGAAGGAGAATGAATATAGGCATAAACTCTAATCACATCTTCCTATGAATGATTTTGTAGGAAGATGTGATTAGAGTTTATGCCTATATTTACATGTCATGGATGTACCCTCCCATCCACCCATCGTGTGATGTACAGCCCTGCATGAGCTGCTTTTTCTATTTCCTTGGAGTTACTCCTCACTGAAGTGAATGGAAGACTCCTCTAAAGGGAAGAAACTCTCATGCATGCATGAGAACCCATTTCCAGTGATGTAGTGGAACCAGGGCTCTCAGAGCTGAAGTGCTGGGACTTTTTTATTTTCAGGGACACTGAGGTCTTCTGGCAGGCCCTCAGACTTCCTGGTCCCTCTGAAATTAGCTGCTGTCCCCAGTATCTGGGAGAAAATGGACTTCCACAGCAACAATCTATCGTTCTGAGCTATCCCGGTTGTAATGCCAAAAATTTGGAGGTGGCTTGGTCTTCAATGAACAACTAAGACCCACTGGATTTGAAAAGACCTGTTCCAGGAGGAGATGATGGGATTTTCCTGGGGAGATAGGAGCTATCATAATGAGAACCTGCATTTTCTACTGTACAACCGCTCATTTCCATAAAGAACTTCTGGACCAAAGCAACAGACCTCCATGAGGATTAGAATATTTAAGTTTTGCTTTCCTCCTTCCTTCCAATCCTTTCCCCTTTGTGTTGTCTTTTAGATTGTAAGCCTGATGGGAATCAAGCCAGCCTTCTTCTGGAACACTTTCTGGCTAAAGAATGGGGCTAAAATATTGCAAATAAATAAATATGTATTGTGTGGTTGTTGTTTTGAAAGAAAGCTAGACTTCTCGGCACTCTATATTAGATTTCAGATCTGTTGCCATTTATCAGAAAATATGGCATTTTGCTTCAATTCCCACTTCTCTTAATTTAAAAAGTATGTGCCTTTTCCATTAATAGGGGCACTTTAAAGAGTTTTTTTTATTCCTGCATTTGTGACTCTCAGTTATGACAAAGTTGTGACACACAGTTAGATGGATCTATTTAATTCTCAGTGATGAGTGCCATGGGAGTTGTGTGCAGCATAAACAGATGTTTTGTGCATTGTTGCTGTTGTAATGGTTCCCAATCAACCTTCTTTGTATTCTTGGTTTTTTTCATTCAATGATTTCACCATTTGCTGACTTCAATATCTGAGAGAGCAGCAATTATAAGAATCAATCTCTCTGTGGCAACTAAATGGAATTTTAGCATTAAAAGAAAGGTTTTTAAAAGAACACATTGTGTCCTTTTTTGAAGATAGAAATTGTGCAGAGTGCATAAATCATCTGGAAGGGTAATGATGAAGAGAGTGTGTTGCTTTGAAAATCTTCACCAGTCCATGCAACATGCAGTGTGCTTGGCAGGGGAAGTGAAATGTGAGCCAGGAAAAAGCAGCAAGAAATGGTGATTTAGAGCACATAATTACTTCCCTTTGAGCAGGAAATTATGCTCTGTACCATCTGCTAGAGACCTTTACCTGAAATGTAGAGTTGCATTGTTTAATCCAACATAAGTGCTTTATTGAGTACTAATCCGAGGTCATTTTGCCTAATGAAAGTAAAAAAAAAAAAAAAAAGCTCAGTGAGACTTACTTCTGAGTAGACATATATAGGATTGCAAAATCAGATATCAGTCCAAAGACTGTTTTCAACATTTGTTAGATTGTGCAGAAAGATGTGCTTGCGTTTCCTTTCCAGCTCTTCAACCACCACTACCACCATCGCCACAGAGGTCTTTTTCCCAGCGATGCATCACTCAACCTTAAATCTCTCTCTAGAAAAGAAGAACATGTTTCAAGCACTCTCTTACATCAGTCTGTTTTATATCTGGGTCCAGGCTCTTTACCTTGGCCTGGGCATGCAGCATAACCAGTGGTTTCCCTAAGATGGAAATGCAGTCAATGGAAAAGCTTCACCTTGCTGACCCATGCCCATTTTATATAACTGTTAAAAGCATGAGGCCTCCATCTGTTTAAAGAACTGCAAAGAATTGTTCCACCCATGATAAAAACAGAAGGCAACTGTTATGTATCTGCAACCCACTTATGAGTAGTTAGAAAGTACAGAAAAGGGCAGGAACTGAAAGGGCAGCTAAAATGATCAGCTCCCTTATGAGGAAGGGTTACAACAGATCTGCAGTTATGTAGTTTAGAAAAAAAGCTAAAAAGCAAGAGAGGGGAGACCTGACAGAGGTGTACAGAATTATGCAACGTGTGGAGAAAGTGAACAGGGAAATTTTTACTCCTGTCTTATGACACTGAACTTTACTTGCAACAACGAAGTATTAACAGTGAGATATTTTATATACCTTGGCTCAATCATCAACTCAAACAGGAACTGCAGCAATAAAATTAGAGGAAAACTGAGATCCGGAAGGGCAGCAATGAAGGAACTAAAAAGGACATTTCACAAGGAATGTATTCCTGCTCATTATGTATGGTGCGAAAGCTGGCCAGTAAGCAAAGCTGACAGGAAAAAAATTGAAATGTTTGAAAATGGTGCTGAAGGAGAATTTTTTATAGTAGCCTGGACCTGGACTGGCGGAAAGACATACGAATGGGTTCTAGACCAGACCAGACCAGAACTTTTCCTGGAAGCAAAGATAACAAAACTGAAGCTGTCATACTTTGGGTACATCCTGAGAAGGCAAGATTTCCTGGAAAAGACAACCATGCTAGGGAACTTGAAGGCAGCAGGGGAAGACCAGTGATGAAATGGATCAGGTCCATCAAGGAAGCAAAGCCTTGAGTTTACAAGAGCTGAGCAGGGCTGCCCAGGGCAGGACATTCTGGAGGGCTTTCACTCATTCATAGGGTCGCTATCACTTGGAGATCACTTGACAGAACATAATAACAAGAACAGCTACTCATTTTGTTGAATGGGACACTGGTCACCTGCCCCAAAGTCCAGCAATAGCTGAAGACTCCTGCATAAATGGTACAGTGAATCCATTCCTGGTTTCAGTCTAAACTTCCATCGAGCTATTCATGGAGATGAACCAATTTAAGGGTGGGACTGGGAACCATGGACAGCTACTTCAGAGCCACCAGGCTCCACTGCCAAAGGGCTACAGAGATCAGTTCAAACGTTAGCAGAATTCCCACGTGAACCACTGCTGAACAAAAAGCTTATATTTAGTATTGTAAGTAACAGCTGGTGATAGAACCTATCCTCCATAATTTTGCCTTTTAACCATAATCTAAAAGCATGATCCTTCACAAATTTAGGCAGAAAGAAAGGTCTACCATCCCCAGCAGGCCTTAGCCAGCTGTTTTGGGGGAGCCTCAGTTTTAGTACTACTGATGACATTCCGCTTTCCCAGGCGATGACAACCTGAGGCAACCCGACTCTCACTTCCCGCAGCCTCCCGCCCGTCTACCAGGTTGGCCATGGAGCGCTTCTGGAAGGCGGTCGGCTTCTTCCCTTTGTGACGTCAGCATCCCCTGGCGACAGGAGAGAATGGTTCCCTCGGCAACGTAAACAACAGTGGAGAAGAAGGGACAGGATGGAACGCGGTGTCGCCGGGCCTTGCCCTTGCTCGCCAGCGCCGCCGGGCTTGAACGCGATTGGCCGAAGGGACCCTCCAGGCCTCGAGGGCGTTGCTTGCAGTAGCAGTTAATAAGGTGTTTTGTTGTGTGTATGTGTGTGGGGGCGAGGGGAGAGAGAGGCCAGGGGTTGAGAAGCGCAGACGGGGGAGTTCGAGTAGGAACCGAGGTGTGTTTTCCTTCCCTGGGTTTTAGACTGCTTTCCCACCCCTCCCCGCGCCCCACCATCCCAATCGGAGCAAAGAATTCGGGGTGAGCAACGGGCTTGTGAACAGTCTTATGCATTGGTGAGAGAGACATCGATTATATTGTTTGAGAGTAGGAAAATCTGCAGGCTAAATGGAAGGGGGGTTGTTAGGGGAAGAGTTGCAGTGAAAATCATGAAAACCTACCATACCATTAAAAAGACTGAGCAAGAGAGAACAGTCCACAAATATTGATTCACATACAGAAAAAGTTGATGATCCAGCTGTCTGGAGGAAGTTTTCTCTCCAAAATATTTACATCTCGGGTAATTCATCTGCCTCTTAAATTCCTGCCAGGGGGTTTGAAAATATTTTCAGTGTTTTTTCAGCCCAGATGCTGTTTTTGCTCTTGACAGTTGATTTATATATTTGTGCCTTTCAATACAATATGCCCATTCAAAGCATTGATTTTTTTACTCCTGTTTCCTAAACTTGCTGTGAGAGACAGAGGGGAGGGAGAAATTAGGGATGTCTGGGATTCTGTTTGCATGTCATTTGGGCATTTAGAAAATACTATTGTGCGTATCATCTTTTATGATCCATGGCACTGTAGACCAGTGTCAGCTATTGAGAGAAGCAGACTCTTATTCATAAATGTTTTCAATCTCTTTGCTTCACAAATTGGTTAAAGTGTTCATTTTTGTTTTTTATTTAAAGGGAGGTGGCAAACTAATTTCTCGGGTTGCAAGTGGGAGAGAAGCCACGATCCTCTGCACTTTTACTTAGAAGTAAGTGCCATTGAAACCAGTGGATTTTCTTACATGTACGTGTTATGGTTCACTGAATTCAGTGGGACCAGCTCTCCTGGGAAAGAGCTACGCAGTGGAATTGAACTGCATGACTCTGAATTTTAATGTTAGCCATGTGATTAGGATATGAAAGGATGGCCTTAAAAACCCTATAATTTGCAAGACTGGACTTCCTTAAGTAAAAAAATTAAGCGTATTCCGCAAAGCCCATATAATGTATCAGTTTGTTTGCAGTATGTTTATGTATATTACATCAGGCACATTGCAATGTTCCACTGACTTCAGTAGAACTATTCACATAACTTTGAAAAATGATTCCTGTTTATGTATGAGTGAATACGTAAGGTTTGGAATAGCACAGAAGTCAAGATAGTAACTGCAAGGTTAACATCGGATTTTTCCAACTCGCTGCCCTTCAGATGTGTCTGGCTACAACTCCATTTACTGTCCAGCTCAGATGCTAGTCCATGCTGTCTGGGTACTGCGTAATGGTGGAAATTGTAGTTCAACACATCTGGAGGACAGCAAGTTGGAGAAACTGGATTACATGTTATTAACAGAGGTCGAGTTGTCACTGTCATTTCTCATTGCAACACAGTAAGCATTTTCCCCATGCAGCCCCTTATCCGCTTCCTCTTCATAGCATCCTGTATCTAAAGCAAAAATATTCTGCAAAAAATAGATAAATGAATAGTTACATAGGGAAAAAAAGAAAAAATGGTTAGCGTCAAGCTGTTAGAAGTGGACAACTGGATAACTGATCTCCCACTAGCCGTCCCTCCATCTACTAAGATGGCTGAATTAGCATTATCAGAAGTGACCTCTAAGCTTCATGTTCCAGAGTGGCCAAGCCCCTTTGAGCATGCCATGACAATGTCAACATATCGTCTTATCATCACCTTTATTTATTTTTATTTATTTATTTAAAACCTTTGTATACCATCCGCTACCAAACAGTCTTGGGACAGTCTTACAATAAAACAAAGTGGGGCACAACATTCATTCTTTATAATGAAAACCCATTTAAAATCTCAATCTAACCCTTAAAATACTAGGAAAATAAAAAGGTTTTGGCCTGGCACTGAAAAGAATAAAGTGTCAGTGCCAAGTCAGCACCTCTCTGGGAAGCATATTCCATAACCGGGACACCACCGCAGAGAAGGCCCTTCTAATCCCCTTCACAGCAGGCTCCCAGAGAAGAACCTCCCAACCAGATCTTAAGAGGGGGGCAGGCACATAGGGAAGGAAACACTCCTTCAGCTGTCCAGGTCCTAAGCCATTTAGGGCTTTGTAGGTCATCACCAGCACCTTAAATTGGGCCCGGACTTCAGTTAGCCATATTATTATTCACATTGGTCTTTTGTGGGTTATGTGTTAGTTTTCACTTCTCTCTCTGCCTGCTGCTGATTTCACATTGTATTATGTTTGCAACATTGTGTTTCAATCTCATTTTGAGAATTATATACTGGAAATGGTGTTTCACTTTTCTAAATGAAAAATGGAAAGATATAATCTCAGAGTTGCTGTCCTCCTTTATGGGAATCTGGTGCTTTGGACATGGCATGGTAGTAGAGAGAAAAAGGCTGGAACAGTTACCTTTTTCTCTTTTCAAAAAAGTGCCACTGCTGAATTTCAGATTGTCACACGAATCACAGTCATCAGATTTTAGAGCTGAAGGGAGGGCATTTACCTAGACGCAGCTACAGCAACATTAACAGATGCATAGCTGGGAAATGTTTAGCCACAATCTGCTTCCTTGCCATTTCCACCCAACTAGGGAAGGTGCTTTATCACCAAAAAGTGGTGGCAGCCTTAGTTGCAGTCTCTATTTAGGAGAGAAATTTGCTGCTTTTTAAATCAAAGTGTGCCTGAACCGTTGTATAAAACCCTGAGAAAAACAAATTTCGCAACAGATTATTGTCATGCTTGTATCTCTTTTTTTATGGAAATGGCAGCTTTCATCACTAATTAGGGAATAACTGAACATAGACGTAACTGGCTAGCTTTTCACTGTATTCTACTTTCGTTCTAGGAAGTGAACGGAACAGACATTACTTGGGAAGCAAGCTTTCAGTGCAAACTGTATCCACTATTTTGTTAAGGCAGAGCATCTCCAACATGTCTGGAATCTCTTTTCATGATTCAAGTGTAGACCCAGAGAGCTCGGAAACCACTTTCAGTAAGATTTTTTTCTCTTCCCTAGCCCTTTAATTTATTGGCTTGCCACTTTTGGTTGTAGAATCCATGATCCAACATGAGCAGCTTCTGAAATAGACTACATTCTTATTTGACTGTAATAGGCTGGTGCTCACTTTCTCAAAACTGTAATACAAGGGGCATGGTCTGTTCCTGGATTAAACAGGTGAACCTCACAACTGCTGGGCAGTTTAGCAAACTATAGCTTTGTTCAAGTAAACTGTAGCTTTGTTTGCCCACACTTAGGAAACTATAGCTTTATTGGCCCATGGTATACATAGGGACATAGGACTCCTCATGCCACCCCTGTCCCGTCCTGTTGTTCCTTAACTCTCCTAGAGAAAGCTAGTAGCATCTGATGGAAATCAGACCAATGCAGGGGGAAATAGGACCTTTGATAGCTCCAAGGGAGTCCTGCTGATTGGAACCATCCATCCATCCATCCATCCATCCATTTCCTTTCTATACCACCCAAGAGTCAACATTCTCTGTGCAGTTTACAACAGTTTAAAACATAAAATACACTGTAAATACAAATGTAAATGATTAAACCTGCAGTACAGCTACTAGGATAGGAAGGCGCTGTCCTGGCAGGGACGCTGTAACTCCTGCTGCAACAACATGCTCCTATTGTTCTAGCAGTGATACTGAAGGTTGCTGTAGGCTAACGAGACATGTAGTGTGGTCAGGGCCACCTTCCTGCAGGAGCTGCGCTTAAAGGGCTGCTGCTTGATTTTGCAGCCTAGAGCTGCTGTGAGGCTGGGGCCACATCCTGAGTCAGAGGATGGAGGCAGCTTTGTGTCTTCTGGTCCCCGGGGTCCCGAATAAGGCACGGACTGCCCTGTCCCCAAGAAAGTAGTCTTGGCTTCATCCAAGACCTCTGCTGAGGGCCGTGACAGCTCCCCATGGCCTACTGTGCACCACCCCTTCCAGGTATACTTTGCCACAGTGAATGAGGCGCAGACGGCCTAATTCATTGGCAGGTCTGAGTGGGAGTTTTACTCGAGCTGCGTGCCCTGGGAGGCAGGTAGAGCTCTCTGTGTCATCAAGGAGTCTGCTGAGGCAGAGTCTCCAGTCACGTGGAGTTTTCTTCTTATGTTCAAGTCAGTGCAGTAGAACCCCTTTGGCCTCTCAGGAGTCATACCTGCACAGCCCCCATAAGACAGACCAATGGAAAGCAGCTCCTCCAGCATCTCAAGGTTGCTCCTTTTCTGTAACCTCAACTGTTGTTTCTTGTTCCTGATACAAAGATGGCTAAGAGCAGGTTTTGGTCTTTTTGGTCACCAGGAGCAAGGCTGGCTTCTCGGCAAACAGGGGATGTGTTTACAGTTCCCTCGGCTCACTCTGGCTCTGGACTAGGTACATCAAAGTCAGGTACGACTCTCTGATTGTTACAGTGAGCTCTTTGGGGCCTGAGCCCCATCAGCTTGGGTTCCCGGTGGTTTCTGCTCTTGACTACTGTCACTGAATGATTTGCAGTAGATCACTAAATATTGCTGTCTTTCAGTTGTTTCTGGTAGTAACAAAAAGAGTGTTAGTGTGCTGTCCTGTGCATGTTTAGACAGAAAACTGGCTGGCTGGGAATGCTGGGAATTGTGGGATGTTCAGTGGCTAATTACCCATAGGATCAAGCTCTTTATCACATCTTTGATCTTTTTAACTTCCTTGTCAGTTTGCATTTGTCAGTGGTCTCAGTTGATGTGAGGACTCCCTGTGATGATTACAGACCTCTGGCAATTAAACTAGGCATGATGATGGATGTGCAAATATGCATCTTTTTTCATTGCAAAGTTCAAAAATGGATCACATAGTCATACAATCTATTAGCACCTGTTTTTTTTATTTTTTAAAAAAATAGTAGCTTCAGCAATGTTAATATTGTCAATAAAGTTAGTATCTGAATATCAGAACTATTTGAAGTATATGCATTTTTATATACTATAAAAAGCAAGTGCATTGATAGGATATGTAAACCTAAGAGAAGAAAATGAGGCAAAATGGCTACAGTATTGTTAGGGTGCGGTCCTATGGCCACAGGCCAGGGTCTAGCCTTCCACAGGAGAGGGCAGAGTCCCACCTCTGACCTTGAAAGCATTCAGAGGTCAAAGCTGGGACTCTGATCTCAGAGCACCAACCTCGCACCCTTGCAGCTGGCATCATCTTTCTTCACCACCTGCAGTGCTAAGCTCAGAAGAGGAACTCCAGAGTAGAGGTTTGTGGGCATTCCAGGGAACCGCGGGTGGAGGAGCAAGGCTCTGTCCTGAAATAATGCAATAATTAATGCATCGTGCATAGTGACATAATCCAAGAAGCAAACTTCATCAGAAAAGCCAGCAACATCCCAGATGTTTTAAAGAAGAAATAGGCAAAGGAGGAGCGACATTTTTCTCACAGCAGGAGGCTATTGAGATTTTAGCAGCTGTAAGCAAAGTAATCCTCAGGTCTAGGTTATCATCTATAGAGTATGATAGACTTCCCTGGGATTTCAGACTCCATGACTTGCTCAGTACAGAATGCACAGGGATCCAGTAACTTTTATTGTCTTACATTGGTGGAATACATGTAATAGTATGTAGTTGTGTCCAGTGCCAAGATTTATTTTGTGGTGGGTCAGAAATCAATTTGTGTCTATATCAGTCTAAATAACACTGATGTAATATCCTTTTACAAATTAACAAATTGCAGGTGCTTGAGAGGCAGTGTGGTACAGTGGTTAGACTGTTGGACTGGGAATCAATAAAGTCCCTCAGAACACTTAAATCTGTCCTTTCCTGATTAAATGCATCCTTGGCCTGTCCCTATTAGCGATTTGCTCATTATACTTGCAAATGCCGCTGTTGCAGTTGTGTTAATATCGTGTGATTTTTTGCAGGTTCTGCTCAAGAAACCGATGTCCTCTTGGAGAAAAACCCATTCAAAATCCCATCCGATATTGACATCTTCTTGTTGCGAGACAAGCAGCGGGAAAAGGCCAAAGCGGTATGTCGTGAACACTAGAGGTACTTGAAGCAAGTTCTCTCCTGCCCCAAGGGCGCGGCAGAGCACCATGATGACCCTGCGAGCTCAGTTGCACTGGATTAGCCTTCCCAGCCTGGGGCTCTCCAAATGCTTTGGTCTTCTACTCCCAGCATCCATTGCTGTTGGTCTTCAGCTATATAACAGTATTCTGTAAACAGAACATCTTTCATTAACTTACATTAAGGGCTTTCTGTGTGCACTCAGCCTCCAAAATGCTAGTAAATCAGGGCCATTTAATTATGACCTTATGTGACATGACCTTGTATATCACTTAGAAATTGGCTAGTCTGGCTATCCCCCATCCCACCCCAGACAGCATCTAATAACAAATTCCCTTGAGAAGCAGCCTTGACACGTTCTTTGACAGTAATCTTTGGACATTATTCTGTAGCTCTGAATGTGACTGGTCAAAAGTATGTGGGAAAAATGTTTGGCACAGCACTATTGAAAATCGGTCTGTCCCCTCTGCCTGTAGGAACGAGAACGAAGGAAAACACTAAAGGTACACGAGAAGATGACCTGCTCCACCCTACAGAGTGCTAAGCAATCCGGGTTCAAGAGGGAGATTCAGATGGAAGAAGAAGCAGAGGACAAAGAGTTGGCAGCAGAAGCGGAACGACTCAAAGCTCTTCGGGAAAGCACCTCATGGAAGATTGCGATCACTAAAGGTAGTCAAGTGGCCTTTTCAGAAGCTTCCAGATCTTGGGGCAGAAATAAAGAGGTCCCACAGCTCCGCTACTTCTGGGATCACTTCCTAGAATCACCAGAAAGAAAGGCCTCAAACTGGAATCACATTCCCCCTGCCAAAAAATATTTGTTGGTGGTTGTTTTTAGCCATCATTTTTGTAAACCATCGTGAGGTTTTATAATAAGCAGACAGTATATAAGAATTTTTTTAATAAAATGCATAAAAAACAGCCATGGAAGTTTTTAGTCTTTAGCAAAGGACTGTCTTGGAGCAGTTGGTTTGGTAGGTTTGTTCCTAAACACTGGAACGTAAAATGCAAGAGCAGGATCAGAATAAAGGCTTTGTAGTCCAACTTCTGGTTCATTCACTGACCAATCAGCTGCTCAAGGGAAATGCAGAAGTACGATGTGAACGTACTGCCTCCTCCCCATTCATCCTCTGGTCAGCAGCCAATAGAGCACTATTGGGCTTCTCTACTTGAGGCGTTAATTGTGCGCCCGTGATTCCTCTCTCACAGTAGTTTGTGGGTGGTTTACAGGGTGCTGTCTTCCTCCATGGCCTTCCCATGCTGTCCAGGCATTTCCATAACTTCTTTTAGGGTGAAGAAAGTATAATGTTATCTGGAAATGTTGGCCTGAGAAGCTCATGCAGTTTAGCCATCACTGCAGCACTAATTGGTGGGTGTCTTGTGAATGCTTAAGGGAATGTAAAATATGCCAGAGAAAGAAAAATCATGGAGGAAAAAACATGTAAAGGAGCCAATCCAAAGCCCATTGCAGATCTGGGAAAAGAAGCCTTGCAAAAGTGGCAGGTTAGAAGACTCCTGCTGAGAAGCCCACTGCCTTTATCACGGATAGCCTTCTCCTCCGTGGGACTAACTAATCCCCCTTTAAAGCCACCCACATTGGCCTCTTGGCTTAAGATGAGATGAACTAAATTTACACAGAGTGTCTCCTGTACATGTCTAGACAGAAGAGAAATCTGCCTGGGAAAAGCTGCACGTTGCAGGGATGTTGTTTTTTTGCAAAAATCAGTGGTTGATAGTTGGGGTTGTTTATAAAGGGCTCTTGGGAATGCCAAGTGGTCATCTGGAAAAATATTTATTAATTATTTTCAACAGTGTGTGATACACAAAATTGCTCAGAGAGTTTGCCATTACATGAAAAGGGCAGGGCAAAGCTGGGCATATTGGACAAAGTGCTTGCAAGAGAAGCAGGACGACCAGGAGTAACAATACCCACCAGCTGTTTTGGACTGCAGCTCCCATAATTCCTGACTATTGGCCATGCTGGCTGGGACTGAAGGGAGCTGCACCCCAAAACATCTGGAGGGCACCAGATTGCCAACCCCTGCTCTTCTTGAATTCATGCAGCTGCCTGCTTCCTACCTGCTGGCACTTCTCATGTTCCTGATAAACAGATGCAGATTTTTGAAACCCCCTTTAGCTGTTTTGCACATTGCCTCTTTTTCGTTTGCTTCGTTCCTTTGCCTGCACGATTTTACTTCTCTTTTTCTTTCTCTCTTTCCAGACCAGGTTGTAGAAAGAGAGACCATGCATGACTACATCAATCAGAAACGGCAAATGTTCTTGCTGCAGGTGTTTGGCTTTTGCTTTGGGTTGATGGGACTTCAAGCCAATGTGTGAGGGAGGGGTGGAGCACTGAACCAAAATTGTTTCAGGGTCAGATCCTCCATACTGCCACCAAGTTCACTGGGTGGTCTTGGAAAACCTAGAAGATTGGAAAGATAAAAGGGGGAGATGGTGTGCAGATGAGCCCAACCTCTTTGGAAGAGGAACAACAGGTTCCACATGTAATTAGAAGCAGAAGCGGCAGCTTTCTATCTGCTGGCTGATTTCGATGTGAAGGCATATTCAGATGTGCTGCCCCTGGCTGAATTTCATAGAGGTATAATCAAAGGTGGACTATACCACATGGTTTTCCTGAACTGTGGCCATTTTAAAGGAGCCCCTGAAAGAAACAAGGAAGGGGCTATGAACTTGCCACAAGTTTTCTACACTTCTTTGAAGGAATTGTGCAATACAGTCAGTAGCTTTGTTTCGCTCTTGCTATCTCAACTTCAATTGCAGTATGCTGTGACCGTAAAGAAAGATGAAATTCAGAAACTGGAAAACTTAGCTATTGAAGAAGAAGCAAAACTGGAAAAAGCTGAGGAAGACCTTGAGAAGGATGCTGCCATGTTTGATGAGTTCCTGAAGGAGAATGACAGAAACTCAGCACAAGCCCTGAAAATGTAATGTTCGCATTTGCGCTCTGTGCTCTAACAGTATTAGAAAATCTCAGCTGGTGGGAGGAATGTGAGGAAACAGTGAATGAATCCCTTTTACAATCCTCATCAACTGATGCAGTAGAAAGGGACCACAGGGATCTGCGACAAATTGTTGCAGCGCAGCATGCTCCCCGTTCCAAGGTTCAGCCCCTGCCTCTGCCCTCCCCACTAGTTTTCTGTTTTTCTACCTCAGAAGCATTCCAGGGTCATGCAGAATGCATAGTCCTCATTGGGCTATTGGGTGGCTTCCCTCCTGTTGTGATGGAGACTAAAGATTTTTGTATTTCTGCAATCTGTGGGTAGTTTAACTTAATAGTTAGCAGACAAAGCCTTAGAGAACTAGGCTGCATTTTTTAAAAAGAAAGGGGGCCTGCTCTCCAAATGGTATGTTTGCTATATCTACACCTGTGAGAGGGCGTACGTGTACTGGACTCCATGGGTTCACATCAAGATCTGGGATGTCCAAGAGGAAGGTGCATTTATGGATGGAAGTTAAACGGTGGTCTTAAACAGTAGAGCAGTCCCAGTGTATGGATCTCTGTCCAGGCTACAGGAAAGTTAGGTGCACACCTGTCTGCTCCAGTGTCTGGCCAGTGTGGGCACAGACAAGCTAGAAAAGGTTGACAAGGGAGAGCAGGGAGAGATCAAAGTCAGAAAGAAGCTGAGGTCTCTCCTGGCCACCACCGTGGACTCTTCAGGGAAGCCTTCCCCAAATGCTGAGGACCACAGCCCCATCCAATAAGCTTATGTGACTTTGCCAGTATCCCGTGCATAACTACCATCCATGTCCCTTTCCTGTAGAGCTGAAAAAGAAACCAAAGCCAAACTGGAGAAGATAATCGAGATCCGAGAGCTGACAGCACAAATGATGAACATCCAAAGGTAGCAGCAGTTCAGAAAATGCTATGCATGGAGAACCAAATTTGCAACTGAGAGTGAGCTCCTCTCCCTTTTCCCAGCAGCACATTCAGAGCATTCGTAGGCATGCTTTTTTTTGTTTCACACTTACAGAATCTCCACGCTTAAGTGCCACATGCCCTGAGCAAGGCTTCACAGGGTGTCAGCCAGAAGTGCAGAAACTCTTTCAGCCTCAGGGCCAAATTCTGTTCCAGAGAAGGTCTCTGGGGCCATATTCCAGTGGGAGGCAGGAACAAAGGCAAAAGTTGCTGGCTTCAGACTACTGATATACGTTAACTTAACACTCTCACTTCCAGTACTTAGCCTTAGGAGAGGCATTTCAGTGTTTTAGAATGGGCAGGGGCAAAACACCAAATGAAGGAAAACACCAAACAATCAGGATGCAGGCAGAAAAGGTGGGAAAATGTGGCAAAGCCCTCTAGGGAGCCCTCAGGGCTAGTCTTGAACCCCAGAAGGACCAGATTTGGCCCCAGGCAGCAGGGGTTGGTGGCCCCCATGGCATTTGGGTGGCGCATCCATCCAACTTTTCATTTGAACTTTAAAATAGCTGTCTGTGGTACTGAATGATTGTGCTTCTGATTGCATTGCTTTTGTTTTCCTGAAAAGAGTAAATGGCAACCATTTCCTTATATGGACAAAAGCCCAGAGTTGCAGTCTGAAGAAGTGGTGGGTGTTATACCTTCTTTCTGCCCCGGTAGCTGCTGGCCATAATTTGAATACAAATTAAGTACCGGATGTGATCAGGTGGCCTGTCCACCCGCGCAGTCTGCTCTCCAGGGACTTGCTGCTGATGGGCCGTTCAAAGCCTCATCTGCTCCTCCTCCTTACGGTTCTGTACCTTCAAATAAAGGAGGCCAGTTCTAGCCCTCCAGGACTGCCCAGCTGCTTAGAAAATGGTGATGGCATTTCCTTTACAAGCCACTCTATGCTCCCACCTCTGTGGCCGGAAGGCAAATCCAGGCAAAGTTATGTCCCGAAGCACGGCTTGATGGTTCACCAATAGCAGCAAGCCAGCTTTTGGCCAAGCTGTAGTTTACGAAGGCGTTTCCAGCCGGGGGGCGTGGGAGCTGGTTTGGCAGCTGATTGGGAATTGTGGTTTGTGCAAAAATGTCATGCTCAGCATCAGAACCCGGAGTCTGGCTCTGTAAAACATGGTTAAGATTGCATCTGAGCCACAATGGCCAGATGTGGAAAGACAGAACTGACACGTGGGGCTGTCAGATTTTGGGGAGGGCAGGTTTCCCTGTATTTCTCCTACCCCAGCCATGTCCCAGGGTCCAGATAGCAGCTCTATGAGGTGACGTTCTCCTGCGGGTGCAGGGGAGTAGCAGCTTCAGCAGTGGAGTGGGGAGCAGGCTGTTGGAGTAGAAGGATGCTCTCTGGAAGGCCTCCCTCTGGAAGTGGGCTTTCCTTCGGAAAGGACTCTGCTTGCCTGCACACAGTAACTTCTGATTTCCCCTGCAGCGAGATAGCCAGGTTTGAGGACACTCTGCGGGAGTATGTGGTATTCAAGGACTTCCTCTACCAGCTGTCCCCCAAAGAATGGCGGGATGATTACGAAAGGAGGAAGATAAAGGAAAGACTGGTGAAAATCATTCCAGGTGTTAAAGACAGCAAGTTACTGAAAAGTAAGCGCTCCCAGCCAAGCAGTGGATGGCACATGTGTGAGGGCCGCCTCCAGCCTTCAGAGGGCCGTTCGGACAGACACTCAGGCTTTTGCGAATGGGGCGGCATATAAATGTGCCAAATGAATGAATGAATGAATGAATATACCCCAGTACACCCATCAGCTCCCTTTCTCCTCCTCCCGCGCCCCCCCCCCCCCGCCATTGTGGCTGCTGCCTGCTCAACAGGCAGGGAGCCAGGATGCAGCAGCATCTCACCTTCTCCTTTGTCTGGACCACATTGAGAGACAGGTGTGTAAGCAGGTTGCAGTGGGGAAGAGGAAGAACACACACAAGCAGAGGTTCTTTTGTCAGTGGGATCCTGCTGGGATGTGGGCCCTTGGTAGTGTTTTGATCAGGATGCTGGCACGGGGGGTGGGGTGTCTCTGGGTGCCTATGGGGTGGCCCCCAGACATTGGGCTTTTGCAAAATGATTTTGTTTTTGCTTAAAAGGAGCAAAATTCAAATATTAAAACATCTTTTCCCTTGTAGTTTAAATTTAAGAACACGGCTGCATAGAAATTCACATGGTGCCTTTATGTCTTTAACAAGCCTATTTTAATCACTGCCCTTTCTTTGGAGGGTTATTTAATACAATGCCTCTCAAACCAACTGATCATCTTGAGAAACAATCCACCTGCTCTGCAAAAGGGTGCATTTTTGGTAGACATTCAGCTGTTGTCCATTATAGTGGCAATCTCACATAAGTGACCAAGAAGGCATCTGGGGTTTTTTTTCTCCTCAAATGATGGCAGCCATATTAAATCCTATCAGAGAATTTCCTCTCATTTCCTAAAATATCACTAATTACAAGCTGAGCAATATACCTTGTAAATTTGATCCTACTGAAGAAGTACTTAATCTTGTCCAGCTGCCCATCAATTTTTAGTTGGGGGCCCGAAATGTTTTATTATGAGAGAAGGAGAAACAATTCTTTCTGTCTACTCCCTCTGTCCACATTCCTAATTTTAAAAACCACTATTGTGTCATTTATATACCCATCATTTAAAAAAATGAAAATAAAGCAAAAGCCTTAAATACATATGCATGAAATGGCATGTCTTATGGAGCTTTTCTGTTCTCCTGCTCAGGTCGGGAGTTCCGAGAAAAGAGTAAACGCCGAACCATGAGTCTATCGAAGCCTTCCAGTTTTGACCTGTCTGCAGTAGACCTGAGCTCCTCTAGGACTGCAAGCCAAATTTTGCTCAAAAGGGACTCTTTCAAACTGAACCGACTGTCTTCTAGGCAGACCATCAAACCCCAGCCAAGCAGAAGACAGTAAGTATTTCTAGGGTTTCCATTTATTGCCTAGGTTGAAGCCTTCACACTTTTGCTCAAATTCCAACCAAGTATAGTTGCCTGTATTTTTCGGACTAATAAACCTGCACTGACATATTCTCATACAGGGTCCTTTGATATGCTGTGTAATTGTACTTTTGCTCTTTCATTAGGTATTGAAATGCATCTACCTTAGGCCGTATTATTGTAAATGCTCCACATGTCAATTATGGTCTAAGAATGATTATTCATGAATTTTTCTTTTGTGATTTTGATTTATTGTTGTTATCTTACTTTTTGTTGCTTTTTGTTAGTTTTATGTCAAAATTAAGTAACATTTCATGGGAAGAAGTTTAAAACAAGGGCATGGGAGCAGAGGGGAGGCACTGGGGTCAGGAGCACTTGGTGGATTTGGTCCATACAGCAACCCATCATGGGGTGGCCGTGTGTGCACCTGGTCTGCTTCCAGGGTGGTGGCTTGTTTTAGGGCAGGAAGCCACCCGGTCAACCCCTGGCTTGTCCTCGGGATTGTCGGACCGAGAATGGGTCATCAAGTGGTCCCACCCCAGGAGAATGATCCCCTTGTGGGTCCAAGGAAGTGGCAAGAGAATGGCCTGGCCAGAGTAGCAAAACACTAATCCTGTTCTTGCCCATGCTGCTGCCAGGGATGGCACTTTGGCATACTCGCCACTGGCATACTCCCCTCACTCTGATTGTGACCCTTTTTCTTTCTTTGTCTAGCATCTTCCACTGACAGCCCTTCCAAGGTGCCCAAGAGGCACAACTGTCCGTGGTTGACTGTCTTTTAAAATTAAATTTTAGCCACCAAACATGTGCACAAATACTTTTCCGTTTTTCAATCCTTATTTTGAAGAGGTGATCAGTAGTTCAGAGGGGCATAGGTATGCACCTCCAACTCACCAAAATGTGACATCTCACCTGTTCAGTGTCCCAGTACCTGCTGTCAAAATGCAGGCGGCAACATCCACGAACAACATCAACAAAGGGAGACTGCAAGTGGGATACTTTGCTCTCACTTGACAGCTGTTAAACAGCAAGCTGTCACAAGAACAGAAAGCCACGTGGGAATCTTAACCTCAAAAGTAGGTGGCAGTCCTTTGGAGCACAAGTCTTGCCATGACAGTTCTCACTTTCCTCCACTTTTTCATCCTTCCCCAGCCAGAAAAGCAAACTCTATAGTTCCCTCTCAGCATTGTTGTAAGGATAAAATGGAGAGGAGGATTATATAAACCACCTTGGGTTTCTTGCAGGAAAAAAAGTGGGATATAAATTAAATAAACAACTCCCAGCTCATCCACAAGGTGGGTTGTCATGCTGTGTGAACTCATCAGGTTGCCATTGGTCTGATGACTATACGGTGTTCCACTACTTTATCCCACCTTTCAAATCATGACTTGTACTTTGGGTCTCCCAGATGAGAATAACAAATGAAAGGGACCAAAGACTGTGAATCTGCTGAATGGTTGGGGAACGCTGGCACATGTGACTTCCTATGCAATATAGAACTCCTGAGTAGGTTCCTTTGGTTTGCATTTTTGTGCAAACTTGCCTAATATTGCACTTTTCTAAACAAGACAAAGCTCAGAATTCAGTTATCCTTCAAAATGCACACTTCTCTAATTTTTGCAGTTTTTTCCAGTCAAAGTATACACTGAAAAACACTTTACATCACACTATGTATACATTAGTAAAAGTAAGATGCATTAAGATGTATAGAAAAATATGTACCTTAGGCCATGATCCTACACACAGCTACCTGGGAGTAAGCCTAACTGTGGTAGTTACTTGTAAGCATGCATAGGATTGCACCCTAAATCAGTTAATCACCTCTAGACATTTTGTTTCTCCAGCTTTGCATTCATCCTACATTACCTATGTAATGAGTCTGGATATTTTATTTTTATTTATGTCTTGTGTTATGCTCAACTTATTGCTTGGCACCAGACTTAAGAGGGGCAGGGCTAGAAACTGAACCAGACAGGAGTGTTGCCCACGTTGTACAATTCATGGTATTTCACTCTGTGCAAATATCTAATGCAGAAATACCTTTGCAGGAGCACACAGATCTCCCCGACCGAGGACATGCCAGAATTATCTGATGAGGAAGATGATGAGGTTTGCAGCCTTGAATCCAGTTTCTTTAACATACTGCTTTTAGTTTACTGGACTGTATGATGGGTGAATGGATTCTGAAGCCATGCAATTAACTCATTCTTCATTCAGACGTCTGAGAGCAGTGAGGTGCAGAGTTCAGGAACACAGCATCAAATAACAAACGCAGCCATAAAATCAGCAGAGGGACTGGACAGAAACGTGGGGTTGGATTCAGCACCGGCCTCTTGCGGAGACACGGTTCCTTCCATTGGCGGCAAGCTTCTGATCCAGCGTGGGAAGCCCACTAGCCAAAAGCTGGTGGAGTGGCGCTTTAATGAAGCTCGCACAGGGAAGGTTCTTAAGTACGGGGCAACATGCCGCAGCTCGTGGTGGGTTATCTAACTCATGATGAGCTGTAGATTCCACAGGCACCACGTCGCATATGCTGAAAAAATCCCGCAAGCATGGGTTGTGTGACAATTGAACACCCTGCTTCAACCTACAGAGTCCATGTGAGGTCGCGTAATCCACACTCCCTGAATTTCCATGATGCGGCAAATGCTGAAAGGGTTGCATTTTCAAAATGGTGGCCACACGTGCTCTGCTAATGCCACAGGCTCACCATGGGGTCAAAACCCAAAGTGGGCAGTCGTGGCAGGCAGACTAACCCAATGACTCGTGGCCAATGGGTTCTATCCAGCGGGGTCATTCCACAGCCAGAGGCAAAATGTGATTTGCCCTCCCTGCTGCAGCTGCCCACGTGCCCTTCGATTTCAGGAGGCCCCCAAAGCAGCGTTTCAGGAGTGGAGGATGGCAGAGGGGATGAGAGAGGGAGAAAGTCCTGCCACACTGGCAAGCACCCAACGAATGTGATGCAGGGTTTAACGCAACAGTAAGAGTTTGGTACCCTAACCAAGTATAAGCTAGCTAAGGTGGGAGGTGGGTTTTGGAGATGGCCTTTTGAGTAACAACATATGTTGGCATCCATTTTCTCTACAAAGGGGCAAATGCCTTTCTTCAAAAACAGAAGCTTGCCAATATCATCCCTTCAATTATTCCTATATGGTGAAGCAAAAATGGCCTACACTGATTCTTCAGCCAGCTCTTAAAAGGGAAAGGAGGAGCTGGGAGACTCCAAGAGGAGAGGTCCAAGCCATCGGGGGCCAAGGTCAGGGTCAGGGTCAGGGTCAGGCCTTCATGCATGAATAGCATCCATGGAAGCTGATGCCAACATAAGCATGTGGGTTAGTCTGCTAAGGTGCCACAGGAGTCTTTGTAGTGGTTGGTGCAACAAACGAACACACCTACACCTTCTGGAAACTGCTCAAGAGATCTGCAGATCGTGGAATTTTGGCAGCACCATTTTTCAAGCCCATGCGGCACCATGACATATTTATAGCAGCTAAAAATCTGTCCCCTGCACAGCTTTGAAATGCAGAGGAGCAGCCTGCTGGAAAGGGTAGCCACCCTTCTCTGGCAAGGGGGCACCCAGGCCCATAGATCACCTATCCCAGCTTCGAGACTTTTGAGTTTCACAGCTGCCTCGTGAGAACAAGGTCCCTTTCAGCATCAAGAAGCCACACACAACAGGCAGTCTCTTTGGAGGGAGAATCATTTCTGGAATTTCAAGGCAAGCCATGGGGATTTTTTAAAGCGTGATGCCATCATTAAGAAAAGAAATAGTTCTTTTCCAGCTGCATCTGCACACAGTCACATGTACACCATGGCACTTTCATTTACACCAGGAAATCAGGAAAATGTCAGAACTCTGTTGCAAAAGGCTCTCTTGGGGAGGCAAGGAACATAAAACTCCCCCTGGGAGGGAGGGAGGGGCCAGGTGGTCCTTCAGATTCTCACTGCAAGGAGCAGATAGCTCCGTAGGCCGGCTGGCCGGCCAGCTTGTGTGTGCATCCACGGTGACCACAGCTGAGTCCCAGCTCTGATTCAGCCCCCCACTAATTTTGTCCATATGTGGCAGGATTGCAAGGAGCCAGCAGGAAAGCAACTGGAGAGGAAGGCACTTCTCTGCCCTGTGTGTTTTCCTATGTGACGGACAGAAGATACTGCTTGACAGTAACATTTTTCTTTGCAGGAACCAGAGTTATACTTTACAGATCCACACCAATTGCTGAATCTTTTCACTGAGCTGGAGGAACAAAATTTGTCCTTAATTCAGAATTCTCAGGAGACAGAGGAAACTCTAGATGAGCTTCGACATACACTGAGTAATACGCGAAATAAAATGCAAGTGATTGACCCAGAATGAATCACTACACAGTCCTGTCTCTTTCCAAACACTACCAATGCCTGATGCAAAGCATTGCCATTGCCAAACCATTCATATTTATTTACATTTATTTAGTTACATATATTTATGGGCCGCCTATATTTGCTGAGGTCTTCATTCCTACCAAACTAGGAATAAAGAATTGCCTTGACTCAGTACTAAAATAATGCAATTTAAGCTGTTGCTATTGAGAAATTATGATGCAATAGTATTAGGAGTACTAGAGGTTTCTAGTCCATATGAGCAAAGCACATTCTGAGAAGCATAGCTTGGAGAAAGGCCTAGGGGCCAATTCATAAGACTTACAATCAGTTTTCTCATTGGTAGGGTTGGTTATGTGATGGAATCCTTGATGCATTTATTTATTCTTTCATGAATATGCCTTATTAGTCTCAAAGACACAATTTCCCCGCACTGAAAGAACCCGGGTTGGCTGGCCTCTTTTGCCGAAACAAGGACAACTGTTTGCATAGCCTGATCTATGTGGCTATATGAAAATTTCGAAATGATTTCTGTAATGTCAGTAGAAATGCCGTGCACCTAAGGATAGACTATGGCCAGGTCTGCTGTCCTCAGGATGGGCAATTTAAGGCCCCTGCTCACCCTTCTTATGGTTCTTAATCTTTAAACTTGGACTGGGCATCCCTTCAAATAGCGGAATGCCCTGCGTAAAATTGTGCAGATGGATACCATAAATCCAGGCTGTGCAGTACCAAGAAATAGAATGCATGTTCAGGCCTTTTAAATAAAGATTTGCATACAACCTGCCTCTATAACTGAAACAGTCTAGTAGATGGGGTGAACACTGGTCATGTCAGATCTCTTCCAAAAAGCAAACCAACTTCTATCTTTTCTGGACCAGGGACCGTGAAATAGAGCAATTGAAGCTTCTTGCTGAAACGCTCCAAGCCAACATCGTTAAAGAGGAGGAGACAGCTGCAGACCTTGAACTCAAAGCACGAGTCTTTTCCTTTGGAGAATACAAAGCAGATGTTCAAGTATGTGAGCAAATCCAGTCGATCTATATGGAATGATGGCAGGCACATAGTTGGCTTATGGATACATGCCCATCCCCTGCCATAAAGGAAAAATGGCAACTTTTCCTAGAAAAGTGTTAACTGAGAATTAGCGTGACTGCTGCTGCAAAGTAATGTTTCATTACCACTACTAGACCATTTTGGCAGTGCTAGGAGATAAATATTGGCTCTTGCCCACAGGACAAAATGTTGGTGAGCTTGCATCGAAAGGTCCTGGAAGTGTATCGACGGTGCATTGGGGAAAACGAGGCGAACCTTGGAACTCTGCAGATGCTCACTGTTATAGAACACCAGTTGGATGACTTGCTAGAGTGTCTTGAAAGGGTCCCTCCAGCAAAGATAGAACAAGCTGAAAAGGCCAAAGAGAAAGAACGCAGGATGAGGTAAGAAAGAGAGCACAATTGCAGAAAAGCTCGGCAGCACTTGGGAAGCATCGATTGAAAACCGCTACCCTGTGAACTGAACTACTTTTGTTAAGTTCACTTGGAAAGAAAATGGGTATGTCGTTATCAAAACTTTTCAGCTAGGATTTAGTACACACAGTTTCAAACATGTACAGGAAACTTTTATCTGGCAGTGATGGCCTTCTTGTCTTCTCTCAAAGTACAGGCTGTTCCACTACAGTACTTCATAAAAGTGGAATGAAAACTGACACCATGTGTGTGTGTGTGCGCACGTGCGCGCGCAGAAGCACTTTGCATGCAAGTCTCTTTGGATCTTAGGCCTTGTGCTAACTTGATTTAGTTGAATTCTCTCCAATAATTTGGCTTATGTGGCTCACAATTCTAAACCCAATTCTGCTTCTTTATTTTGCAAGAATGAGAGAAGAAAAAATAAGACAGCAGAGACAACTGCAGGAAGAAAGGTTGCAACGGGCACTGGCAAGAGCACAAGCTGATGTTAAGAAAAAGGTAAATCTGGCAATTCCTTATCTATTTTCACATCAGTTTCAGAATTTCACCGTTACATGGACCCCTCCGTTTGGAGTCCTTCCGTAATTCCGAGTCTACTGAATTGTAGCTGTAAAAAGAAAAAAAGCCAAACATATATATTGGTTGTGCATGACGACTGTGGCAGCTGGTCCCACTTAAGAGGCAGGCTCGCTCTATACTGCTAGTGTGCACCAACAATAAAAGCCTCTTTACACACACACACACACACACACACACACACACACACTTGCTGGTGTTGTCTGTCTCTTCCAATCAGACAATGAACGAGGAGGACCCTTTTTTTGTCCTCAGCACCAACAAGCCACCCTCATTAGGTTTTGATGTCTCAAGCTGCACCTGGCAAGTATACTCAGAGAAATAACTGGGCACGCACAGAAATGATTAACAAGGCACCATGGCTTACTAAGCACCTCTGTGCCATGAGAACTGGGCCACTCTCTTTATCATGCAGAGTAACTTGACTACCTTATTGCTTGCTCCTAACTCCAGATAATTTATGAAGAAATTAAAAGCATACATTCCAATGCAGCTCCAACCCTGCTTTTTAGTTATTCCTGCATTCTGCTTCCAGTTCTTTAACCAGTTCCAGTGCATGGTCCTCCTATATCATGGCTGTCAACATGTCTCTGGGATTCATTCCTATCAGAAAACCTGTTCATTGTATATGTAACACTGAGATGTTTTAGATATTCCTATCCCTTTGCCATTTGTAAAATCTTAAAACTGTATCTAACTAGGGCAGCCTAACAGGGTTAGAGCATAGGTTGGTGTTGATACCTCAAGTGGTTTCTTTAAAAAGACAAGTCTTCCAGAGTTTACTGCAAAATCACAGAACTTCTGTTCTTGAAACATAAAACTTGACTATCAAAGCAGGTCAGTCCTGACATCATACCAAACCATTGTTTGTGCTTCCAGATATACACAAGTGAACCTGTTTGACAGCTGCTTCTCTGCTTTCACATTTCAGCTGCTCCGTGCTGTTTAGGTCATCCCTGCTTCCATAGGCAGCAACTTCTTAAAGCAGAGTACTGGCCCAAGCTGTGGTCTGTAAATTCTGATGTCCACACAGACTTCAAACCAGGATTCGATTTCTACTGTTAATCTGCCAATGCCTTTATTTTTTGTGCAGACAGGAAAAGTGCAAAGGATCAAAAAGACTATGGTGCTACTCTTAGTTCTGAGTTTGTACTGTGATATTAGTGCCCAATGCCTATTAGTGTCCTTCTACTTTGTATTGATTGGTACTGAACTGTCAGTTACAGTGCAACTGAGACAACTTACCTCAGAGAAAAAAAGTTCATCAGTATAATTACAGAGCTGGATTTCTAGCACCATTCTAAGTTAAATACACCCAATTCTGTCATCTTGCAGTGCATCACTGTAGCAATCATAAAAATTATGGTGTTTTACAAAGTTTTAGTTTACCAATTAGCACTGGCACTGGCAACAGGGAAAGTTACTATCATGTATTTCTTCTATTTTGTTCTTTCCCCTCTGCTTTTGGAGAAGCACAGTTGGAAGCTACTTTTTGATGTTTTTGCATCTCTTCCTTACCCAAAGACAAAAGGTGATAGTGACAAGATGGAAGTTGGCCTTGCTTTTGCTTATGTGCCTATGATTCAAGATGGTTTATACATTCACACATCACACCTGGAAAGTATTGTAAGTTCTTATGTTTACCTTTCATATGTATTTTCAGACTGGCAGAAGACTGATTTTCCGTTCTGAGCCCCCTACCTTCAAAGAGAAGGAAGACAAGGATCAAGGGATAATAGACAAGGAAAAGGAAGAGCTGCTGTACTATTTTACTTAGCAGCCAAAAGGAAGAAATGTACACTTTCTTGAAATGTCATTTCCTAATATTACTTGTACTTACAACAAGGACACCCTCCCATAAGAAATCCAAGACAGATAGCAAGAGCTACTGTTTGTATAGTGCTGTAATTTAAAATCTCCACAATTCAGTCCTTTGGTGAACAAGAGTATAAAGCTGTTAAAATTAAAAAGAAGACAACCAAGTGACCAAGAGAAATTTAGCTTGAATTCAGATGGTTTATGTCTCAAGCTATGAAAGTGGAACAGTGAATGACCTGTATGAATTTCTTCTATTCACAAGTTTACATGTCTAGAATTAGAAGTGTTTGTTCTTTTTGCAGTTAAGCATCCTGTATGGAAATAAAACAAAAAAGCCCAGCTGTAATGGAGAAACCAGACATGAGTTGTTTTTTATTAGTTTTTGTTATCTCAGCAGTTCTAACTGTCCACTGCCAGCAATGGACTTCACTGGGATAAATCTGATGCTTAGCCTAAAGCTGTTAGGAATATACAATGATATACAAAGCTGAGTAAATAAACTCTTCAGAAGAAAATACATTTATACGTCCCACAGAAGCAATGCCTTATTATTCAATAAGTATGTCTCTGTAAAACTAAAGCACCACATTAGGGGGATACAATTCACACCCTCTGTCAGTAATCTTCTTTCAGTCCTGAAGAAGTGCCTGTGCTGCTCACACCCCGTTCTACCATGGATCAATCTTAAGGCAACATGCAGGGCAAGCACTCTACACAAAGGCTGTAGAAAGCGCTGCGTCCTGCTCAAGAAAGCGTGAAGAGAACTCTCCTTTCAATCAGTCTCATTATGGACCATCTGCTTCAACCCGAGGTCACCTCTGCTACCTGGGAAAGGGCAGGGTGTGCCTGTACCTCATCCCCCAGAGGATCACTGGCAAAACAGAGGTGTAAACCATCCCACCAAGTATAGAATTTGAGGTGACTGTGAATTTTAGGGGTAAGATGTCCCCAATTACTCTTTCAAACAGTGTCATACCTTTGTAAAAGACTCACTCTTAGTTTCTGAATTTTAGCGATGTAAAAAATAAAAGCCAAAAAGGCTTCAAAAATTATCAGTTTCTTCACTCCTTCTGGTTTGAAGACTTCATCTCAGGGTTGTAAAAAATATTTATGCACAAGCTTGCTACTGCAAAAGTATACTACTAGGTCAAGCCAGTAGCCGATTAGGTTTTACACTGCTGATGAGAAATTAAACTGGTTAATTTTATATTATAAATTTATATTATAACTTTATAATATAAATTTATATTACAGTTTGATAATATAAATATTACAAAGCAGATTCTGGAGAAAAGTAATCTGTATAAAATGCTTTAATGCTGCTGCATTTTACTGGGCATGGCATTCAGAAGGCACAGGAATTGATTAGTACATGAGCTCCCTTCTTTCTCAATTTGGATAAGTTAAAATGAGAATTATTCATTGCCCAATAAGGTAAGATTAAAAAAAGTTTTATTTCCAAGGCCATGTCAACCACAGTGTGCTCCTAATGACACCATACAAAGTGAAACAAGGCCGAAGCAATTCTTTCCAGATACCAGCAATCCTCAAAATGTAGTTGTCGGGGCTTCTGCCATTCCTACTAGGAACGGCAGCAGTCCTCATATGAAGAATGATGCAGCAGCAGTTTTCCAAGGTCTAATGGAGGCCCTGACACCAGCTCTACTAATTGTCGCTGTAGCCAGATACTTGGGGCCAATGGGGTCAGTCCATTGTTCACTGGGTATGAACTTCAGAGGGCCCAATTCCAATGGGATTGGGAAAGGGCCAAAGAGAACGTTTTTCTGATTCCCTACACACGTACACCATTGCTATTTATAACTAAGCATCTTCGTTTTAGTGCATCCCATCACAGCAAATAAATACATGGACGTTTAAGAACACAAGTTTATCTTGTTTTGTAAAAAAATACAAGTTCCTTTGCACTCACACTCATTGGAAGTAAAAATTCATTCATACACTGCTTTATAACCAAATCCTATATGTGTGTAATTTTACAGCCATTTGGGCACATCATGAAAACAATGACTTAAGTTCCAGCCTTAACATTTGTTGCTGAACACCGATATTTATTCTTCTGCTCAGTCCTGATTTGCTCTACACTGTGAAGCTTCCCTTCTTGGTTAAGAAGTCACCTATCTGCTTGTCACATACTATGGACATTAGTTGGAAGCTCCTTGCTCAAGCAGATAGTGTGCACGTAAAACGGCAAGTAGATCAAGGGTGCAAATACTATAAAGACTTAATTGAATGTTAGTCCCATTGAACTCTGCAACTTATTTTTGAGTAAACATGCACAGGACTGGGATATACATAAAGTGACCATTTAAAAGAGGGTTGCCATTTTAAGTCTTTTGCAGCAAAATGGCAAAGTCTTGTGACACCTTACAGACTCAAGATATTACTCCAGCATAAGTTTTTGCAGACTACAGTCCACTTCATTAGATGCCTGGAGTTAGCAACACTGTTTTGTATTACTGTAAACATAATAAAGGCCTTAAAAATAAAAGATGCTCAGCAAGCTCCTAAAGGGCAGTATATAAAAAAAGTTTAGGGACAGCGGGGCCAAGGAATGACAGTTCTCTCAGCCTTTAGTACCCAAGTACTCTACTATTGTTTCTGCAGCTGTCCCCTTAAATTTGCATTCAACTTTGTTATGTTCAATAGTGCCACAAAAATTGTAAGCTTTTGAAAACCAACACTGTAGTGATCTTCACTGTTATTTTCCATTCAGTCCGATTTTCAAGTAGGGACCGCCCCTCAACACCTACTTGTATGAACATCAAGAAACACTGTGAACTTTAACCATTAATTTGTATCTGGGGACTGTCCTTAAAAGCATCAGTGTGGGATATCATCACAGCACATCCACTTCAAGACAGCATTTCAAAGCATCCGTTGCATAACATAAATATCGCTCCTGTCAGTACCTTTTTCTGACCACAAGACAGAACATGCCAAGATCTCCAAAGCCTTATCAAATAATATTTACTGAATAAGTTTTTCATTGCACGATCACCATCACACAAAGCCACAAGGTAGCACTGGTCTGTGTGCACTCCTATTTTCATGTTTTTCTTTAAAAGCCAGGAACAGAAGTCTCTGAAGATGCTGTTGAGCTTCAACATTTCAGTTTTCTGTTCCCACACCATCATTCAAGGTCTTGTAGATTAATGGTGCTTCCTGTAAACTGCGAATTATCAGAACTGGCATCCTCCTCAGCAGAATTATGTGGCTCCTGTTCAAAGCAGAAGTAAAACAAAACAAATTTACACAGCAGCTCTTCAGCTACATTGCTTCAATTACACAGACATTGTATTCTCCAAGGCTCACTGAAATGTATGTTTGTTAAATTAAAATTCTCTTATTTCCTCAACTGGCACAAATATTTGCTGCCCAAAACTCTTACTTCCATGCACTATCTTTTTAGCTTACTTTAACTTTTACTGTTAATTCAAACTTAAACCTAGTATCAATTCAGTCAGGACAGCCGAAACTGCTTAGTGTCCAGCTCTGCAACTTGGAGAGATCATACCTGAAGTATATGAACAGGTAAGTCCACAGTCAGCTGGGAATGGGAAGAAGATGACTGGGAACTGAGTTGAAAGGGTAGATCTCCTTCTCCTGGAGAATCATCCTTAAGAAGAAAGGAGACAAGATTATTTATTTATTTATTAGAACATTTCTATGCCGCCCCTTGCCGAAGCCTCGGGGAGGCTTACAACACAATAAAATACAATAAAATACAAAAATAACAATATAAAATAAATAAAAAATATAAAAAATATAAAATATAAAAAATATAAAATTAGTATCTAACCACAGATAATCCCCCAACTTCCCCACATCTCCTACTCTGTTTCAGAGAGGCAACATTTATTTTATTTAAAACATTTCTATGCCGCCCCCATTGCAACAAAGCCTCGGGGCAGCTCACAACATGCCTTATTAACTACATTTTAAAAGACTGCCCATCCTGAGAGGAGGAATCTTTCTCATTTCCATTGAAGAACATAACTAATTATGGCTAATTGAGGTTGTTATTCAGGATCTGGGCTGCTTTGATGGTCAGAACCAGAACCACCAGCACCATATTCACAGGATTCTTCCCAGGCCCTGCCAGGACTCTCAGTCTACTAATAAGCACCAGTTGGGAGTCTGGGGGAAGAGCTATGTAACAGCAAGCTCTTCCCTCCAGAACTGGCCCCAGAGACAAAGGTCCTCTTGTTAGTGGTGGTGCCTGTACCTTGTCTGACCATTCCTGCTCCTGGTTTCTGCTGTAACTCCTGCCTTGCCATGTTGCCTCAGTATTATAGGTCCTCATGTTTGCTGTTTTGCCTGCCTTCTGCCAGCTCTTGTTTCCTGCAACTTGCCATGCATGTACCCAGCCTTGCCATGCTGCTTTGGTGTTGTGCCTGCCCCTTGCCTGACCTATTCCCTGGTTCTCTGTCTCTTGCCCTCCTATATGCCTTGTCCAGCTGTATACCCTGTACAAGGTTCCTGCACCTCTGTTTGTTCTCCTGGTTCCTGACCCCTGACCTGTTCCTGACTATATCTTTGTTCTGTGTGAATATGTGCATCAGGTCCCTGACCCTGGCCTGTTTGGTTACTACAATTTAGACTTTGTTATTAGACTTGCCATTAAACCTTGCTTTTGGACTTGGACTGTCTTACCTCAAAGTTCTGTTGCCCTGGTCCTGGTGCCTCTGTTCTTTCTGGCTGCCCACATCCTGGCACTGGCCCTTAACATTGGCACTTTGAGCACTGACTAGAAATAGCTTGCCATGCCCTGCTTGGGGAAGGATTCATCAGAGGAAAAGGGAAACTGCCAGCACAGTGGGTCCCAAGCAGAATCCAACAAAGAATCTGAGGCTGCAGCCAACAGCCTTCCACTAGGAGAGCAACCTGGGCCTTCCTGGACTGTTCCTGGACTTTCCCAAGGGCAATGGGCAGAACCAAAGTGAATTCATACAATCATAGAATATTAGAGCTGGGAAGGGTCACTGGGTCCATCCCACTGCTCAGTGTGGGACGCCAAAATATACCATCCTTCCCAGATAGCTGTCCAGTTGCATCTGGAATGCCTTCACAGTGGAAGAGCCCACAACCTCCCTAGGTCATTGGTTTCACTGTGATATTGCTCTAATTCACCCTGCAGAAAGGAGACGGATCATGTTCTGCCAACTGTCTCATGCGTGATACTCCTCCAGGTAAGGCATGGCATAGCTAATTAATGGGTGCTGCTCTCATGAACACAATCTACTACATCTGGTAGACAAAACTTCAGGAGGTCTGGAGGCCAATGTCCTCCCCAGAACCCACCTTCCTACCAAAATCCCTGCTGCCATGCTGCGGATTTTGCCATAAAAATTCAACAGCAAAAAGCAGTAATTTCCTTTAAAGCAAGAAATGCAGGGAACACTTGCAAGAAAGTGAAATTGCCCACAGCAGCCTTCCAGGAACTTGATTTTGATTCCCAACAAGCACATTCCCCATATGTCTTGCTTTAAAGGAAAATTGTGGCCCTTTCTATTGCTGCCACAGCAACCAATTCAGTAGCAGCAGACGGTGCAAAACCGCCACAGCAGCTGCATCGCCCCATGGATCATGTGTTGTATGCTCCTGATCCACACACAAGTAACATGCAAAAACACTGTACTGCAATACTGAGGCAGTAATTCCATATACCGATAAATGCCCTGTACTGCCAAGGATTCTAGCACGACTAAAATTGTGCTGCAAGCCTCCCTTCACTCTCTACAGCCGTACAAGTCAAGGACAGGCCTCTTAAATTCTTTTAAGCCTTTTACTTCATTTCCAAACATCTTTCAAAATAAGTTTTGATACGGTTACTTCTCTAGTTTTTATCAATATTCAACTGCAAATCAGTTATGCTTCTGTTTTATAGGCGAGTCCACTTTGACAGAAGTTATTCCACTTTGCTCTGGCACAGCAATCCTACAGGAAGGAATTCATGCTGCTTCTAAAGCTCCACTTGTGTCCTGTGGCCAGGGGGGTGGGTATGTGGGGGGGGGGGTGTTCACCCAGCTCCAAGAGCACCATAGCTCCGGGGTCATTTTTAAGGCATGCTGGAGAACAAGGGCTCTTAAGAACCTGGAGGTCTATGGTGACTCTAAACCCCAGGATTTCTGGTCCCACTATGGTTAAGTGATTTCCATTGCTACAACAGGAAGGTTTTCAATAGTGACACAGGTTCCTAGGCAGAAAGGCAAGTTCACAGAATCCTATGGCCCCTCAACTGCCTTTCTAGGAACCATGTTATTGCTCTGACATTACTTTTTCTTCCCTTCCTAAATTCTGACACCTGTTTGCATTTTATCTTTTCCCACTAACTGAATCCCTTATTCCTAATCCAATCCCTATAAATATTTCAAGTGACGCTGTTTCCAGTAAATACAGGAGTAGGGCAAGAGGCTTTCAGTCATTTGACTGAAAGAAAACAGAAGAGAAAAGAGTTGGAAATCTAGAGTTAATTTTGCAATGGTTTCCAAAACACTTTGCATAAATTGCACTAAATTATGTCATGTACTATGTAGTATATAATGAAAGCCGCTAACCTGTCATACAACAAATTAGATTTGTTTTGTACATTTCTCATCTCTTTTTTTCTTTTTTAAATTGGTAGATTAGCTTCTTTAAGCAGGTAATGTTTTCTTACCTGAAGTAACTGAATTTGAACAAATTGTGTACCAGCTGATGGATCTCTCACAGGCGGGCTTCCATTTGGTAAGACACTATTACATAACCGATTCCCGTGGCTGGAAGAACTAACTTTATCACCTTTGCTCTTTCTTATGCCGGAGTTAGGGATCCCTAAAATAGTTTCCACAGAGGTCACTATGTTAGGCTGTTACAGCAAAAACAGTCCTACAAGAACTTCTGACTTTATTATAGTATAAGCTTTCATGAACACAGTCCATCAGATGCATTAAGTATTTTAAGAGTTTCAGGTTTATACATTTTCTAAATGATAGGAAGGTGGGGGAATGACTAAGAATGAAAGAAATTAAACCCAGGAGGGAAAATGCTGGAAAGTACTGATAGTGACAATTACATAATTAACAGATGCCATTCACAAGACAGTTGTTTGCTGATAACAGAAACTTCATGGCACTCCATAAACCAATTAATGGTATGGTGATTTTAAAACCCTTTATTCCAACAAGTCAAGCCTCTGGCAATAGAATTGAACCTTGAAGACCTGTAACTCAGAAGTATCTCACTACTATCTTCCTCTGAAGTTTCTCTGCTCCACCATGGTCACTTTTAAGGTGTGTCAGTACAGGGGTGGTGAGAGCTAATGAACTTTCACAGCAAGTAAAAGACACTCCATGGCAAATAAACAGCTTAGACCTCTAATGGCAACGCTAGATCCAGGACGACCCTGCAATAGTGAATCAGCTATTTTGAGGAACACGTGATCTTCCTCAGAACAGATTGCATAGTAAGACCCCCAAACAGGAACCATCCATCCAAATCATTTCTGTTTCTCAGAATTTGGGTTCAGGTGACTGGCACCCATCCAGCCCTTTATCAACTCCAGACACTGATTCAACATTTGTATGTTCTCACCCAATTCAGATAAAGTGAAATACAGCTGGGTATGAGAAACATGTTTGTGACATTTAACTCTAAATCAGCAAATAAATTCACCCACCAGCATCCTACCAATATTAAACAGCATGGGGGACAAGATGGAACCTCACAGTAGCCAACTACACCTCTGCCAAGAACCAGTTCAGAAAGATACGACTCATGATACTGTGATTCAGTAAGGAAAGGAAAAAAACAGGTTCACATTCTTCCAATCTTCCCAAGATGACAGACATGAAGATAGCCAACCCTGTTTCCATGTAAAATTATGCCTAAAGTTAGAAGTGGGCCTCTAGATCAGGAGGAGAGATTCTCTGGCCCTCCATATTATTAAAGTATAACTCCCATCTTCACTGATCTATGGACATGCTAAGGCTGATGGGAACTGCAAATCCATCACCATCTGGTGTGCCTTTGGATCCCTATCTAAATCCCAGCTTTAAAGCATGTTTCATTCACAAGACCTTGAAGTTCAAGAGCAACCATCTATTCAAGGACCTTTCTCAAGAAAGGGATTTCCATAATTGGGGAATAATTTGTATAATGGTTCAGGTTCAAGCAGCTGAAGCAGCTGTACCACCACTTTCTTCTCAAAAGAATTCCTCTTTCAACAAAGCATTAACTAACTCCTACATCAATCTACCCTATCCCTTTCTGCTAGAAGGTAGAAAGGGATGCATAATGGACAGGGGGCAAATATGCAGGTGTCTAGCTGAACCCTTCCAAGCATCTAGAACAGGGGTCCTCAAACGTTTTGACCAGGGGACCAGTTGGAAGGTGCCGGGCACAGGCTGGAAAGGTGGTGCCTGGTCGTGTGCGTGGGCTGGCGAGGGGGCGGGGGCAGCGCGTGCGGGCGCGCTGAGGTGGGAGTGGGGCACACGGTAAGGTACGGGCAGGCGTGCATGGCGAGGGAAGGCGAGGCGGGGCGGGGCAGGCACGCTCCGCAAGGCAGCGGCTTGCTCGCTTGGAGATTGTTTTCTCCAAGCGAGCAAACCGCTGCCTCCCTGTGCACAGGGCAAGGTAGGCAGTGGCCGGCGGGCACATGGTGGGTCCAAATGGACATGGTGGGCCGGATAAATGGGCATGGCGGGCTGGATCCAGCCCCCGGGCCATAGTTTGAGGACCCATGATCTAGAATATATCTCTAGGTCACAACAAATGAAACTGATACTGTAACAATAGACCACACCACAGATACTGCTCCAACTGGTTGCACCAAGGAGGTTGCACCAAGGTTGAAGAGGATGGAAGTAATTGTAATCAATGGAAATCATTCAGTAAAACTGAACCTGAAAGCTAGGATCATGTTATAAAGGTAATTTACAAAAATATTAAAAGAGACAAGACAACACATGTTAAATGACCTTGGAACCCACTTCCTTAATGTTCACTCATCCATTTCTATTGCAAACATACTCACTACTACAACATAAGACTTCCTCACCTTGTAATTACCTTTCTAGGAGGTGCCATTTATTCATCAGACATGTCCAGAACCCACTATGGCACCACTTCACCAATCTTGTATCTGGCAGCTGGTTTCTAAATATTTAGACTACCTCAGTGTAGAAATGACATCCTCTACTATAACACTTAATACTCACCTATGTCATTACCATTTCCTTTCTGTTTTCTTTTCTTGGCAAGCTGAATTGCTCGATAATCTGTTCTTGCAGAGCCACCGCTCTCCTGATAAGAGAAGGAGGTTTGTTCATGTCACCAACACAAGGAAAACTCTTGGGATCAATTAAGTTTCAGACGATTTGTTTCTCATTTTGACATTGGAATTTTGGTTGTACCCAACTGTGTCCATCCACTAAAGACACATTTCCTCTTTCCTTTAGCTCCCTGTGCTACCGCACAATCTGTTCTGGAAGATTGTGGGACACACTGAACATTTTCATGGGCTGAGGGGATAAAAAAAAGAGGGGAAAGGAAGGTCTGACTGTGCAAGGTGAACTTGGTTTGCTCAGCACTGGATGTAACCCCTTTTCTATGCTAATGAACATAACATCATGGTGGGGTAACAATGCAAGCGCAGGAACAGTGACACTTAGAATCAACCATTTACCTCAACTGACAGGACACTGGAACAAGACATCTTCCATAAAAATATAATATACAGTTGTAGCTCATGAGTATGTTTCTGGTCCTCTTCTGTCTTCCTCAAACTAACACAAAATTTTTGAATGCAACTCCTCATATAAAACCTGCCTTCAGTTTAGATGGTCTAATATTTCAGTATAATCTAGTTCTTACCCTGAACACAATCAAAAGCAAGTAGGAGAGGCAACTTTTTTTTTTTAAACCTTCCTGTTCATTCTCCTAAAGGTAGTTAACAGGGTAACACATCTTCCTCAGCCAATCCCAAAGCCACTTATTACTGTTTTTAGTACTTACAACTAGGGAAAGGAAGTAATTACACTAATCTCCAGTTGGGAATACAAGTATCTTCTTTCATCCAAGTGTGATGCAAAATGGGTAACTGGACTTAATACTTTCACAGGCAACCACAATTTATACCACTTACATTGCACAAAATATACGGCGACTTCGTTCATGGCAGACATTCCACAAACCCATTTGATGTGGTAGAAAGGACGGTTCATACACGGCAATATAATATCCTCAAAGCTAAGATACTAATGAAAACTACAGTTATTGAGAGTTACTGCATACCAGAAAGGAGCTGCCAGTCACCGTGCTCAAATCAGTTTCTTTCTGTGCACTGTAACTTCCTGATGGATTGGAGAACACAAACTGAGTCACCACTTTACTGCCTTCTTGCTGTCCCACAACATCCAGGCTAGGAAGCAAAGATGGCTCTGCTTTGCTTGGAGTGAGTAGTTCAGATGCATTGTTTCCTCCAAGGCTGCTGGAAGGGGTTAAAGTGGCTGTGTCTACTGACAAATTATTGCTGGAGGTCAAATCATGCAGGTCCTGACCAGAATTCCTTGTGGACAAAGATGCTAAAGAACCTAAAGCTTCTGCATTTACAGTCTGTACATCATCCAAATTTAAAGTGCTTTGCTGTAAAACTGTGGCAGTGGTTCCCAAGAGAAGAGAGCTATCCAGGCTGTGTGGAATGTCACTACTAGCCACTAAAATCAATGGGTCAACCGTCTGACCAAGAGAATTGCTACCAACGGAAAGATTGCCGCCAAGTGTGGAACCCACAGAAGCAACATCTATAGTGAGAATTCCAGAGTTTATCAGTGCCATCTCAGTCGAAATTCCAGAAGTGTGTCCAGACACACTGGAAAAAAGGGACACAAGATCTACATTGTTCAGGTCACTTTGTGCTGGACTGGAGAGTTCACTGCTAGGCGTAAGGGAACTGATAGTTTCCATCTGATTTAGGAGATCTGAAACAAAGATTTATTATGTTTACTTTATAAAATCCACACATTTTATACCCATGGAATATGGGGATCAAATGCCCGCAATTCACACCACCTGCTGCTTCTACCTCCAACTGGGCTATACACCTGCTACAACCCGCTATACTAATCAATCCAGCCACCATGCCACTCACCCGTCAGCAACCAGTGTCACCAAAGTTTGCTATGACTCAACTGCTGTGTCACTAGATACCTCCAGTATATGGCTCTTTCATACCATTTTTATTTACTCTCAGCATCTATCCTCTCCCCTGTAAAACAGGGAACCAATTTATTTGTATCCATAGCAGCATGGCTGTTGCAATGTTTCCATGTAACTCAGTTTTAAGCTGGCTTAAATCAGCTACCTGAATGTGCCATCCAGCCTATATAGCAGGTGCTGCATCTCTGCAGAAGCTGGCATGAGTACCTGCTACTCCATTTGGCTAAACCACATGGGGAACTACTTTGAATGCTCTCACAAGCGTGCCAAGCTCCTACCATACAGGAACAATTTTCAGTGGTGAATAAGACATTACAGAAATATGGCTGATTCTCAACCACGTTTTTAATACCATAAATAAAACCAAGTAATATATCTAAAATATATTAGATTATATTAATATATAATATTAATATATGTGCAGTAAGGAGATCATACCTGCACTTAAGTTGTGTTGCTTCACCATGTGCGTTTTCATACTATGCTTTGAAGTGAACAGTTTGTTACAGCTGGATACAGGGCAACGGGTCTTCAATGAGTCCACATCCTGAAGGTGTTTCTTGGAGTGAATGTACAGGCTGCTGCGTGCTGAGAACTTTGCACAACAACCTGAAATAAGTTATCCAGGTTTAGATGCTGTCCCTCTTTCATTCAGGAATGAACAACAACAATGCATAATTGTTGCAAATAAGACTGCCTTTGAGCATACCTTTCATATTTAGGTTTATATCCTCCTTTTCCATTTGTATGATGAAAGTGACTATCACCACAGGTTTGCACTGAAACATGCAGTGGGGCTTAAAGCACAACACTGGTGTGAAGGGAAACTAAATCCTTCACCTCAGCAATGCTTTAAAATGCATCTTTCTTGCTAGGGGTTCTTGCTTTACAAGGGTGTTGTTGGGAGGATAAAATGAAAAGGAAGAGAACCTTATAGGCTGCCTTGGGTCCCTTGCAAGTGGAAGAAAGGCAGATATAACTGCAATGTAGTACCAGTAATACAACAACAACATGACAGGAAACAAAGCGGGAAAGAAAAGAACATGCGACCACAAGCACAAATAATACCTTCTACTGGGCATTCAAATGGTTTTGTGCCAAGGTGAGTTATACTATGGCCTTTCAAGTGTTCTGCTCTTGTGAATGATTTTCCACAGCCTTCTACAGAGCATGTAAATCTTCTGTCATCTTCATGTTTCCTACAAGGATTAAATCAATTTTATATTAGAATAAAGCACCAAGGGCACAGTCTAGAGAAGTCAGATATCAATGTGAAGACTGATTGTAGTATAGCACATCCAATCCAGATGTCTGTAGCCCTCTGAATCAAGAGGATTACAGGCATCCTATGCAGGATAGGAGAAGAGTGGTGGCAAAGGCTGTCTCCCATGCTCCTCCTGCCCTGCAAAACATTTAGCTAATCTTGACTAACAGATGTTCTGTAGGGGATGGCATAGAAAAGCTTTTAATTCAGTAAATAACAGCTGTGCGCAGAGTATGAGGGGAAAGTGGTTGAGTCACTGACAAGATACTTTATACTGAGGCAGAGCCAGTGTCTTCTCCAGACCATCCGCCACAAACTCCCACAAAACGTATCTTCTGAGGTTGCTACTGCAACCTTAGAGAAGCAGCCAGAGCAATTCTTTCTATGCCGGCTGCAGCGGGACAGGGAAGGCACTCTGGGCTTGATGATCCAGCTACAAGGTTGAAGTAATTTTGTAGCTTGGTCTCTGAAAAATCCTAGATGCTACCTACAGCCAAAGGTGTTGCCCATTCAATACCAATATTACTAGCCCGTCAACAGGCAGCAACATGGAGTGAAAATTTTTCCAAAGCAAGATATTTTCCAGTGCTTAATTTTTCTATTTCATACATTCATCAGTAAAAACAAACAGGTTTCAAATGCAAATACAAAGTTAGCCAACCATGGCAGCTTCAAAGTTGTATTGAATGCTTTTCAAGTGATATCCCTAGAAAGCATGTCAGAGAATACAAAGTGTGAAGGTTTAGAGAATAAAATTGAAGCTTTAGAGAAAGAAAGCAGATCTGTGTTGAAACAGACAGCTGGATGCCAGCATATTGTGCACAGTTCTTAGGGCTACTAAGATGCATTAGTAGCCCAAAGTTCCTTTGCAGCACCCTTGGGGGTTTTCTCCTTAAAATTTTAACAATTTAAAGGAAGTAAATACTGTGTTATTTACTTTTATCTTTAATTTGTGTTTAAATTATTCCAGCAATTTTTACATAACATATAAATCCCAGTAAGTGCATTTTTTTCCTTCATGAATTTCAGGTCAAATTTTTGTGGTGTATTGGGGCAAAACATAAACATGAAGTACTTTTAACTTTGTTGTTTACTAAGTACAAATATAATAAATATAACTAATTACATCTCTGTAGACCAAGAGAGAACAATTTCTGGCCCTCCAGGTGTTTTGGGCTACTATTCCTATCAGCTAGTCAACAGGACACTGCCAAAGGATGATAGCAGTTGTAAGCCAAAACTTCTAGAGGACTACAAGTTACCCACCACCACCTTAAGGCATCAATACATTTTCCAATGTCAAATGAAAATGTTCGTGTGCAAACGGCCCTATGCAAGCCTAGTTTACACTGGAAATTTTTCTGGATTTTTTTTCCACATCATTTTTAACAAAACCTTTAGAATTCTAAAAATAATTGTTTAGATACAAAGCATGTCTCATTTTAACTGGAAGTCTGTTCATATGTAAACTGTATTTGCTCACGTTCTTCCCTCTTCCTGTCCTACTCCTGCACTGTCAAGAGGGACCTTATACAACACTAATAATTCTACATCAAAATTTCTGCATCAAAACTTTTACCTTTTGTGTCGTAACAACTTGGACATGCTGGTGAAGGACCAGCCACAGCCTTCAAAGTCACAGATGAAAGGTCTTTCACCTGCAAGGAAAAAATGAAAACAAAGACTGTGACTACCTTACACTGCCACCAAGAAAACAAAGAAATGTATTCACTATAGTAAATTCCCCATAATTTAAGGGTTCACAGTCAATATCTGCTTTGTCTTATATTTACTGCTTGTTTTATTGTTTTGTTTTGTTATTTGCAAGCTGCTTTGAGAACCTTATTCCTGACTGACTCAAAATTTTAAACTAAATAAAACATGCTCACCTACCTACTGAATCTCCTACCATAGTTCTCTCTCATGGGTCATGTTCACACACAGGTGGTTCTCAGGTTATAAATGTCCAGGTTAAGAACAACCTTTGTTTAAGAATGCATGGACTGCATAAACCCTATATGAATATAACTAGCGAAAAGCCATGAATATCTCTAGGGAACTACACAATGCATTTGGCAATGCATCATCAATGGCCTGTTGTTCCCTAGATATTCACTGCTTTTTCTAGAGATAAAGATTTGCTAGAGATAGTAATGGTTATCTCTAAGGAACTATGTGATGCATCTATCAGTTGCCCATGGTTCCCTAAAGATAGTCACAGAACCCCATTTCCTTAGACCACATGTTTTCACCTTCTCCAATAAGCTTTTCAGAACCTCAGAAAACATATCTGGCTCCTCTTCCACGTAAGTCTTGTGCTCCATCAGGAACAGGAAGCTCAACAAATGATCAGCCATCTCTGGCCCTGTACATGGACCCACTGAGACTAATTTGCCATGGATTTAAGTGTTTTGAATGTAATAAGCAGGCACTGGACTATACTGCCTTAGCAGTACTTTATCAGAGAACTTAGGAAGATAATGAGGGACTGATAAGTTACTTTTCAAGATCCAAGTCTTTTTTAATTGGACTTCCATTAAAATTAAAGATGGACAGACAATGAAGCTCAAACATTTATTAAGCCAGGCATAAGAGGTAAGTTTTGACAATTTTTTCAATACTGTATACCTACACACATACAGATTCTCTCTCTCTTCAGTACCTGTTGCTACTTTATTACTACTGTATTATCATCATTATTACAATGCTGTTCTGTGTTTAAGATGTTTTAGTGAATATGGAACTGTTTCTTAAGTGTTTATATGCATAGAAAAGTAAAATATACACATAAACTAAGACAAACATTTGGCTTACTCATGTGATCTGACTTACACATTCGACTTAAGGACATTCTCAGGAAAGAAACACATTGGACATTCTCAGGAAAGGAACACGTTGCAACCCGAGGTCTACATGTGATACCCTTGTAACAATTATGTTGGCATGTGCTGTTAAGTCTCACATGCCAACACTTGGCTCCTCCTGCAAGCAAGACAACTTTCCCGAAGCCAGTTCTCTCTGGATGTATTCGACAATACTTCCCATCAACCCCAGACAACATGGCCAATCCTTTGTGTGAATTCAAAACCTGAATTAAAGGACCACTGATTTTTCTTTTCTAATTTATTTAAAACTTTTCTATCCCATCCACCACTGACATCTCAGGACAGCTTACAATAAAAGAACAAATAAAATAAAGCAAAACAAGCATAGCATCTGGCAATTCAAAATAATAAAACCCCAGTTAAAACCAACTAGACATTAAAATAATGGGAAAATAAAAAGGTTTTCACTTGACACCCAAAAGAATAAAGCGTTGGCGCCAGGCAAACCTCTCTGGGAAGCATATTCCATAGTTGGGGTGCTATCATAGAGAAGGCCCTCCTTTTATGCCAGAGGACTCAGGGCTAACCATCAGGGATTCCATCATTCAGCTCTGAAAGGACTGGATGTTACTCATCTAAGCAAGTGGCAAAAGGTAAGACTGTTTTAAGATACTTGCCATATAAAGCTACAAATGCTATCAAGTTTCCCAAATCCAAGGGCATCATGCCAGGAACCACAGGATGGTTTGCACCACTTCTCCATGGTCAGAAACAGCACTCTAAACTCAGAATGGTGAATCAGAGATTCCACCTCAGACCCTCTCTCCCCGCTGCAACTGGTGTGGAGAGAACCGTGCTAGCTGCCCCTCTGACATTGGAAAAGCAACTCTGGCACATCAAGAAGGCAGTCTTTAAGAGGCCCAGATTTAAGTTAACCTGAGCCTCTTTTCCACCCCTTCTAAAAAGCCCTCACTAGTCAGGTTGAAAAGCCCATCTGGTGAACATACAGGAAACTGCAAGATGGGGAAGTGAAGATTTCCCTGCAGCCTGACAATACACAGGAAACTCAGAGTTCTTCAAGTTCAGAGGATTGCAAGTGGCTAGGGCTAAACTGGAAGGAGAGTTTAGGTTTTTGGTTAATAAGTAATAGTCTACTAAGACAACATTCTAAGGATGTACCCAAAGGCATCAAGGTAATACCAAGATTCAAATATATCAAACACAGTTGAATGAAAAATCATAAAATCACCGTGTTTAGTCCTTAATACTGCAATTTCTATAAGGAAGTATTTCATGTCATATTTTTTAAAGAAAAAATAGGCATGTAGAGATCAGGAATACATTTAAACTAATTCAGTTGTTTTATGTCAACTACACAGCAACATTAACCAACATTGTAGTTCCCACCTGTGTGACTTCGCATGTGGATTTTTAGTCGACAGGCTTTGTCATACTGCTTGCTACAGCCTGGGAAGGAGCAGGAGAACAATTCTTGTTCCCTGAAGTGAACTCGATTATGAGAAAACAATGCACTCACTGTTATGAAGGTCCTCTCACAACCTGAAAGGGAGAAAAACAAATTATATTTTAAGGTGAAAGTGGAACCAAACAATGCTACTTATTATGTAGTTCATTACAATTGTTAATAGTGCAACAGCAATACAACAGTTTATTCTGGACCAAGTGTATGCCCAATAATTATCTTTAATTTACATAAAAAAATTGTCAGATCTATAGTTAAATTATTATTTTTCTTCTAAGGTATCTTACAAATGAATATCCTGGCATAAGCCATAATTATATTACATATCATTTTAGCTATGCAAGTTAAATAGAACTTCCATTTTCATAGATTACCTCTGAGTACCAGGTGCTAGGGATACACGACAGCAGAATTTTTCCATGTTTAGCTTCTTTGCTTCTGGCTGTTCACTTTTACAAAAAGAATGCCAGACTAGATGTGTCTGCTGTTGGTCTATTACAAAGCATGGCTCAGATCTGTACCAGCATTCACAAAATCTTTCCTCCCATCCCATCCCAATTAATAAATATAAATAAAATTTATTCTATTTGTTTGTAGTGTATTTAAGTGTAACTTTTTGGAAATTACACTTGTACCTAAGAATATGACTGCATTACACAACACAATATAATGGACAGGAACACAGGAAGAACTCTTTGATCTAGTCCAGGATTGCTGACATTGACTGGCAGCTGCTCTCCAGGATTTCAAACAGGAATCTTTCCAGCCCTGCCTGTACATGCTAGAGCTTCAAGTTGGAACCTTCTGCATACAGAAGCTTATGGGAATGGGGCAGTATAGAAATATTTAGATAGATAGCATGAGCTCTGCCCCTGTTTCACAGTCCCTTTCCTAAATAATGCTGGGCTTGGTTCAGGAAAGTTTGGATTTAAATCTCCACTTAGTTACACACTTTCATCTGGCAACTCACAGTCCATCATATAGTCTCACAAGGTTTACCAAGTCCTTAGAAAAGAAAGCAAGATTAAAAAAAAAACTTTAAAAAGCTTTTCTATAGTGAAAAAGACAACATTAGCATAAAGGACTAAGACAATCAAGACAGTATTTTATCTATGGTAAACTCCCAGAAGCAGCTCCAAACTTTCAAATGGAATGATGAGTGAAATCTTCATAAATCTTCAGAAAAAAATGTACACTTTTCAGCACATGATCAACTACAGAACATTTACAACTCATCCTCATGAAGTGAACATGAAAACAATTGTCATGTCTGCCGACCCATATATGGCTTTTCACATTTCTACCTTAAGGAATTTTTTAAAGATATACTATAAAGTTCCTGACACCACAAAACAGAAGAAGAAAAATATTTTGTTTCTATGATGAAAAATTCTGACCAAAGGAACTTTTCTGGGTAGTTTAAAATCTGTTACACACTGATCCAAGGTTTGCATCCACTGCTACCATGACTTCACAGTTTAAGCAGATCAATTTCTGGGGGTGTCCACAGCACTATTCAGTATCACTGGTTTAGGTTCAGTATAGTTACCAATACAGCTTAAGGATGTGGGCAGATGTTTGAAAGGCTACATGTGAGCCCTTGCATGTTGGATTCTTTCCCTCCTTGCATGCTGGGTGGTGGAATCTAACAAGTTAATGATAGCTATTTGGGTCAAGGAGGTGATAAATACCTACTTATAAGGGAGTGGTCCCTGCCACTAAGACCCTCCTTAAGAAGCACACCTTTGTTCTGGAAGATCTGAACAATTTTAGACCAGTTCCTTTCCTGGGAAAGGTCTTTCCATATGTGGTCACTGACCACAAGCAGACACTCTTGGATGAGACCAATTTTCTGGAGCCACTTCAGGTTGCATTCAGGTCTGGTTTTGGCATTAAGACCACCTTGGTTTCCCTTCAGACCTGTGCCAGGAAAGAGATAGCTTGAATGTGCCCCAGCTGATACTCCTTTATGTCTTTGTAGTGTTTGATACCAAGAATAGAGATATCCTTCTGGAGAGGCTGGCTTGAGCTGGAAGCACTGCTTTGCAGTAGTGAATTCCTATCTGGTTGTTTCCAAAGGATGGTGCTTAGAAGCTATTGATGAGTTTAATGAAGTGGAGTTCTTCATTAAGGGGAGTTCCACAAAAATTGCTTTAAAACCCTCATACTGTTTTACATCTAAATGAAACCACTGTGTGGAGTCACCTGGAATTTCAGGGTGTGTTATCAATTGCTGATAAAATGCAACTTTATTTCTCCTTTTCATCTCAGGCAGATGTGGCAGTGGATGTGCTAAGTTAGTACCTGGCTTCAGTAACCAACTCAATGGCAGTCAATAAAGTAAGGACCACTGAACATTATCAGCTTTTATGAGTAAACATACATTCGAGTGTAGTAACTCTAGCAGTAGTAATGTCTGCTCTCAACTTGGGGGAAAAAACCCATCAGGTGTCAAGTCTGCTTGTAGTACTACTAATTAGAACACACAGATTCTTGTAGAGAACATAAGTTTAAAAAAAAAAGACACAGGTAGCCTTTACATCAGCATAATGTTTGGAAATGCACCTTAACTGGCACTTCTGAATTCTCTATCTCAAAATAAGCTAAAACAGTTCTCTGACATTTCTGTATTCTCTAAGGCAGCTGTAAAACCTGTATAAGCTAGACTGTACGCAATTGAAAATTGCTTCTCTTCCGGTATAAACACCATGCACATAAAGACTGGAAAACAAGCTATCCCAGCATGCCTATCCCTGCAACTACTAGGAATAAATCCAGAGGTTCTGATATCTGCAATTTCAAAGGACTTGTCTGAGAGCGTCTAACGTACTAACAACATTAGATTACAAACTTGATAACGATGGTAATAGTGTGTGAAAACTTTTAGTGGTTAATACACACTGTTAATAATAGTAAACATAACATATTATAGCTGATAATTAACAACAGTATTAAACATAATATTAATAACAGACGTGTCTCAGTAACGGGACGGTGGGGCAATCTAGTTACCTGGATACTCGCAGCGGTAAGGGCGATCTGGTTCCAGATGGCTCCGCCGCTGATGCGCCCCAAGTCGGGCTGCGCTGGGGAAACGCTGCCCGCAAGCCTCGCACTTGTGCGTCGCCTCTTGCTCGTGGGCCCGGCCGTGCGCCCGCAGATTGTAGATGGTGGTGAAGCGCTTCGTGCAACCGGGCGCGGAGCAGGCGAAAGGCCGCAGCTTGTCGTGAGAGTGCAGGTGGCGCCGCAACTTGTAGGCGGTGGCGAAGGCCCAAGCGCAGCCGGGGACGGGGCAGGAGAACGGACGCGCCGCTCGGCCTGCGCCCGCCGCCACCTCGCCGCCGCCATCCTGCGCCGCACCCGGCGGGCTCCCGCCGTGGGCGGACAACCGGTGCAACCGCAGCAGCTGCTTGCGGGAAAAGGCCTCTGAGCAGCGAGGTTCGGGGCAGGGGTAAGACGCTGGAGTCCGCGAGGGGCCGCTGGTGGCCGGAGTCGGAGGCTCGACGCAAGGGCTGGGGGGCAGCACCTGAGGCGAAAGAAGCGGAGGCGGCGGCTGGGCTGGAAGCGAGGCTGGCGCTTGCGGCGCGGGCCCGCCGAGGCTGAGAAGGCCGTTTTCGAAGCGCACCAGCAGGCTCTGATTGTTGATGGTGAGCGTGCCCGAGAAGGAAGAGCCGCCCGAGCTGCTGCCGGGCTCCTCCTGCTGTCCGCTGGCCTCGGACGGAGCCCCTGAAGCCGGTCCTTCCCCTCCTCCTCCGTCACCGGCTTTCTCCTCCTGCTCCCGCGGCGGCGGCGGCGGCAGCGGCGGCGGCAGCTCCTGCGAGGGCCCGCGCGAGGGGCTTCCGGAGGCTCCGCCCTGCCGCACCAAGTTGAGCACGAGCAGCAGAGCGTCGCTGTCCGCCGCCGGCTGCGGCTGTTGCGGCCCTGGGCCTGCGGCTCCCGGCGGCAGCGTGACGGCGGTGGAGGCAGGAGCGGCACTGGTGGCGGGTGCTGGCGGTGGCACTACGGGCTGAGGGGGCGGAGGAGGCGGCGGCGGCGGCGGAGGCGGCGGCGGCGGCTCCGGTAGTTTCTTCCCCTCCAGCAGCAGCAACACCGGGAATGTCACGTCCAGGCCCCAGGCTCCTGCCGCCGCCGCCGCGTCTCGCGGCTGAGGAGGGTGCGCTCGGCGAGCAGGCCCTGCGGAGGAAGCCCCGTCGTCCACGACGGCGCCGCCGCCATGTTGTTGGGTGCCGGGCTCGGGCTGGGCCGCCTCCACAGCGGCAGGCAGCCCCTGCGTTTCCATCTTGGGGGTCCCTGTAGCAGCGGCTGAAACCGGAGCCACGGGGCGGAGCCGACCGTGCGATTGGAAAAACCCGGAGTGTGGATCGTTGCTAGACGGAGAGGAGCTGGGATTGCGCAACAGCATAGAAAACCCGGAGGCCGGCGTTCTCGGTGGAGTCACGTAGATAGCGGAGAGGTGACTCTGGTGGAATGGAGTCGGGGAAAGGGCAGGCGGTGGGGAATCGAGGAGAGAGGGCTGGGGTGGCACGAAACGTGGGAGTCGCGTGTAGAAGGGGAAACCTGGAACAGGTCGAGTACGCAAACGAAACCTGTAATGCTTTATTTGTAACGTGTAGCACGAGCTGAAGCATGCTTGCTCAGAGGAAAATCTTACTGTGATGATTGGGATAAGTGAGAACCGGACACTAGAAAGTGTGCTTATTAGAGCAGTCACCCGCTGCTCACGTCCAAAAGGCTTTTGACAGAGTCGTTCGCCAAAGACTCCTGAACAAACTTTGTGGTCATGAAATAAAAGGAGAGGCCCTAGGGATCAGTAACTGGTTAAAGCACAGAAAGAAGAAAGCACTAAGAAATGCTAAATCCTCCCAGTTAAGTGAGGTATACAGTGGTATCTGTACAATGGAAGCACAGATTTCATACAAACGTGCTGTTACTTGTGAGTTAGTGGAGAATTTTGAAATTGCAACATTTCAGTTTTAGGAGCTGCATTTTTAAAAGTTCTAAGGGAGGACCACAGACTTTTATTTCAAGTGTAGTTCAGCATTAACTTTGTCTATATAAAAAGCAAGATTTTTTTTCCTAATAAGAAACTCAGGTGGTGTGTGGTGACACGATGGGCAAAAGAGTGGGGCAGTTGAGAAGTGGAGGAATCGGCATGCATAGTTGCTGCCAACATTTCCATACATACATGATACCTTTTAAAAAAACACTCTTAAGGATGTAAATTGCTATTCCGCCACACACACACACACACCCCAAAGAGTACAGTCTGCTCAGAAGCCACAGAATACAGCGTGGGGGTGGGAAAAGAAAAATGGAGAGGCGAGGAAGTGAAATGCCCTGCTTGGAGAGAATGGCTCAGTAGACTCCGAAGAGGAGCACACATTTTGGGAGAGAGGATACACTGCAGCATTTTGTTCCCGGTGACAAACTAGGAAGAGTAGCTAGTTTAATAATGCTCAACAGGAAAAGATGTAAATCTTGACCGAAAAATAATCTTGAAGGGAGGAGTCAGGGAACTTGCACTGTTTAACTCTCTAAAATAAGTAGGCAGGTCCATGAGTACTGATGGTCCTTGCTTGACAGGATTAGGAAAAGAAGGCAAAGATCATTTCAGCTATTTTGCATGCACAGAACGTGGTGGAGCGGGCCAGACTAACAGGTGCCTACTGGATTGATAGTTGCAGATCATGCTTCCCCCCCCGCCCCCCCCCATGCTATATGCACAGCTAATTGTTGAAATTATGAAGTCCCACTAGTTCATTAAACCCCTGAAATCACCCAGTAGTACTTTAATGCTTGATTGTGGGGCTTAAGGTGAAGCCGAACATTCTAACACACACAGGTGGGATCTGATACAGGGTGAAATGCTTCTGTTTCAGTGTTTTGGTCATATAGCCATGCTTCTTCCCGGGATAGTTCACTCTATTTCCCCTCGTGTTGTAGATATTTATACTTCTTGTTCAATAGCCAGCATTTTGTTTCTACATGAGCATCTCAAATGTTCACTGTGCTCTTTTGGGCTTAACCCTCACACACGTGCACACACACACACAGGCAAAGGGAATTTTTTGATAAAAGTATTTTTTGGGGGGGCGGTACTTCCAGTGTTAATATTTCTCTAAACTTTCTCTGTGGGTAGTGCCATTTTTGCTACATAAGCATCAATATGGCCCTGTGAAATCAGAAATTGAGAGCATAATTATATGCTTTGAAAGCAAATACAGTAGGTGTTCCGCATCTGTGGGGGACATGTTCCAACCCCCCTATGGATGCTTGAAACTGCAGATAGTAGCAAATGCTATATACAGTTGAACTCCAACTTTTGCAGGGTTAACTTCTGTGGAGTTTATTATTTGCAAGTTTGCTGGTAATATTTAAATGGGAAGTTTTTTGGAGTTTTGCAGCCTGCTGCACTGTGGACAGGTGCTGGGGGGGCACACAAAAGGGAGGAGACCCACGCAAGCAGTGCTGTGTCTCCACCAACAATGGTGTGGGCAACGCTCCCCTCCCCGGCTGCGGCTATGGCTGGCCTGGAACAGTGCTGACCCCCAGCAAGGGCAGGGTGGGCACTGAACTCGGAGCCAAGTATGCGGCTGCATGGGAGGCTTGCAATGCAGGACAAGCTTCCCTGGAGCAGGCCATGTTCTGGCATGTCGAGTCTTGTTTTCAGACCGTGGTCAACCACAGTTAAGTGAAACCAGGGTACCTGACTGTCATGCGTGATACTTCTCCCTCCCTGCAGTAATAGTCTCACCAGCAGTGCTCTGCCAGACATCTTTATTTTACATGCAAGTCTCTTCTCTGAGCATACAGAAAGCAAAATGTTGAACCCTCTCTGACATCCTTCACCCAAAGCTTTCCTTATGAACCCTTCTGCATCTGCCCCTGGGAAGGAGCGCTGTGGAACTGGACATGCCTGTGCTCCTCCTCCCTCAGAGATCCCAGTTGGGTACCCTACAACTGTGATGATGAACTATCAGGTCTACCTCCTCAGGATGCTGGAGTTCCCCACCCAATAGACACCCCATCTCTAAATCTCCCTCAAGATGCTGTTCTTCCCCATTCCCAGGGGCGGGTTGACTGGCCCCCTTGGCTGCCCTGGAACTGATCTCCCCCATAGCAGGCACATGTGGGTACCCAGGGCCTTGGACTGCAGCTGGAACTGGGACCATTTCAACAATTATCTTGTTATCAGAGTCTGAGCTGTCAGTCCCACCAGGATAGGCAGCCTCCCCTGCACTCATCTCATCCTTGGATTCTGAGTGGTCAGTCCCTCCAAAACGGGGAGCCTCTCATGCACACACGAGGTTTGCCAGAATGAGCATCCACAACACTGAAACACCAGATACAGGAGGTTTTACTGTACCTTGAAATATAGGAAATGTCAGTTGGAATTACACTTGGAATTACATGTTTCTTTTCAGCCTTCAACATACTTTAATTCTGGTCTTTAAATGCCTACAAAATGCTTGTTTCATAGTGGTTGGATTGTGGTGAGAAAGAATTGTGATAGGTTTTGCTGTCCTTTTATTCAAACAGCAGATGGTGCTATGCCACTTTGCAAAACCTTATACACATCTTCGGGGAAGGGGGAGAAATTCATTCAGCTTGCATTTTAATTCCAGCTTAGTTAATTTTGCATTTTCCAACTATTATTCACAAAACAAAGTTATTTTTCAAACTCTGCACTTCTCCAAAAATGTCCCCAGAACCTCTGGAGCTTGATTATCTTTGAGGTGACTTCAGACCCTATGACTCTATAAAGGCCTTATTCAGATATAACAACAAACCATGGAGCAATCTTATCTTGGGTTGTGAATAAGCCAGTTTTCTGTACTCTTACGAAACTGCTGTTACAAACCACAAATCAGAAGGTTCTCATCTCATACAGAAGGAAGGGGCAAGAGAATGATGGAGCATCTGAGCTTTAGGCTGACTCTTCATTTTCATCACCATATCTGAAACAGGCTATTTTTTCTCCTAGTGCACATATAATCTCAAACAAAGCAAATCAGTGACTTGTGAACATATGCATGCAACCACCATTTTAATGCATTTGCTTATCTACTGTCATAATCAGTCAAAAAAATCCAGGAAAGATACTGGCTTTATTATTGGCTTTATTAATGCCATTTTAATATATCTAAAATCATGGGAAGAAAAGTGTTCACAAGTGTGGTCATTTTGTGACATTTTGTCAAATCTTTATAAGACTTTTTAAAAATAACAACTACCGCCTGTTACTGGGATTGTGAAGTCTTCAGCCTTTATAGCTAGCTTAGACTACCCAGTATGGGATGACTTTATATCAAAGCTTGAACTGCTTGAACAAAACCACGAGGTGAAAAGCATGGCGAGGATTTGCAGATTTGAAGGAACTGAACATTCAGCCTGTTCCATCTTCTGCACAAAAGGACAAACCACACTTATTAACAGTTCACACTATGTATTTATTTGACTGGTATCCCAACTTTCCACCAAAAGTGGCACTCAGGGCAACTAACAATCACTATTCAAACTGGATAGAAACAAAATACAAAACCACTGGCTGTAGTTGCATTCAAACGTCTGTTGCTTTGAAACAGAAGTGTGATCTTTTAAATTTAGTGTCATACTCAAATATTAAAACACAGGTGCATAAACTATATGGATAGACAGTGCTGATCCAGCGCAAAGTCGGGGATGTTTTGACCTGACATTTTTACTTTAGTGACTCAGAAAATCTTAATGTGAGCTGCTTTCCTTGACAGTATCACCACAGAGTGCAATTGATCCCTTGGCAAGTAGGATAATTTCCTGCAGTGGAGGATAATGTTGGCCTCCATGCCGCCCACAGGCCCATAAGTGGTCACAGCTGCAGCCTGCCACAGTCCATGTCCACAGGCACCAACCCTTTTGGACCAGCAGCAGCATGATTAAAAGAAAAATCAAATTAGAATTTGCATGATCTTGGCTCTTCTCCAGTTTAGATTTCTAAACTAGAGAATAAGTGTTTAATTTTTTTTTACATGTATGGTTATATTTAATAAATTCTTGGGGATCCACTCACTATGAGATGTTTGAAAGACCTCCATTAATGCTGAATATTTGTAGATGGATGGCCCTAATGATGAAAATTAAAGGAGAACAACACATCTGGAAGACAGTGTCAAAAAACCATTTATTATATCATTCTAAACTAAGGCTGTTTAAGGGGTGGTAGAGGAGCACTGGTCAAAGCCTGGTTTAAAAAAAGAAAGGGAAAAGAAACAATAAAAGCCTTAAAATGAAATTAACAACTCAAGGCTTGTTCCAGGATGTTGTCATCTGTCACCTGATGTGGAAGGGTCACCATTAGTTTCTTGTCTCTCTCCATGGCTCGACAGATGGTTTCATAAGCATAATTGTTGCCGGACCAACAGCGTCTAGCAACCTGGCCATATAGGAAACAAAAAATGGGTATAAAATCAAAACACATATTTTGTCTCACATATATGTCATGTTAGGAAAACAAATCTAGGCAAATCGCTCTAATTCCTAATCTTTGTTACTGGTGTTACGCGCCATCAGGGAGCGTCTAACTTACGGAGACCCCATGAACTGGATCCTCCCCGAAATGTCCTGTCCTTAAGCTTGTAAACTCCAGGCTGTGGCTTACTTGCGCAACCAATACCTCTCATATTTGGTCCTCCTCTCTTGCTTCTGTCAACTTTCCCTAGCATTACTGTCCTCTCCTATGACTCTTCCATTCTTACAATGTGCCCAGAGTATGACAGCCTCAGTCTCATCATTTTTAAGGGAAAGTTCTGGCTTGATTTGATCTAGGATCCATTTGTTCATCTTTCTGGTGGTTCCAGGTTTTTGCAATGCTCACTTCCAGCATCCAGTTTTGAATGTATTGATTTCCTCCTGTCTCCTAATCTTTAACTTGTTGGATTTCTCAATGGACTTTGGAACCCTTTTTTAAAGGATAAACCTAGTATTAGTTCTGGTTAAAATATTATTGGATAGCATTTGGTATAGGTGGGCATAGTATAGGGTTAGGGTTAGGGTCAGGTCCCCTCAAATATTAAAAGAATAAGTGCATGTGTGTGTTCTCTTAATACATTGCTCTGAATTTTGTTCCAGCATGAAAATCATGTTCTCCTCTGTCCTGCTCATATAGTTGTGGAATTTGGTGCTTTGTGCACCAGCTACTCAGGTAGCCTGGGTGATGGTGGCAAGAGCTGTGAAATTTGTGGTGGTTGTTACTCATAATTCACAAGTCTTGTGCTGTTATACTTGGAGACATTGGATGAGGGTTAACAAATTGAAGCCCAATCCAGACAAGATGGAGATGGTGCTGGTGGGTGGTTCCTCTGACTGGATGGAGGCTGTTTGACCTGTTTTGAATGGGTCTGCACTCCCCTTGAAGGAGCAGGTTCACAGCTCAGGGGTGCTCCTTGAGTCATCTTTGTTACTGTGGGGCTCCTGTGGAAAACGCTCCATCCTGGGGTGCTTCCAAATGATCATGTGGTCCATTCCATGATGAACTCCATCCTGGGGCACAAATGATGATCATGTCTTCCCTCTGCAATGCTTGTGTATTTCCCAAGTATGACTACCATCTTTTTGCTAACTACAAGAAAGTCTGTTAAGAAGGGAAAGGGAGAATAGCAGCGCCATGTCCTTTGGTTAGCAGCCCTAGGAAATGTTGCTCTGAAGGCTTCCTGGTACCAGTTGACTTGCTAACTCTTAATGGTTGGCCGTTAAGCAGGATCTCTAGGGCTTATGTCAAGACCCAGGCAGGTCAAGAAGGGATACTGTAAAACAACAGTGCCTTTTCCATACACTGCTAAAGAATGGAGGTGCAATGACATAAAAGGGCATACATGCTGTTCCAGCGTGCCTATGCTTGGGAGGGATCCAAATCAATAATCAGGAACGGTGTGTTGTGTGTGATGGAATGACTGGGAGACTTGAATGCCAGGGCCCAGGAAAAAGGGATTTTGCCAGACTTGCAATGATTTATGAATGATTCAGCCCTTTATTTGGACATAGCCAAGGGCAAAATCCAAAAGCCATCTCTTTCCAAAGAGTCTCATTATATAATAATTCAGCCATCTAATCTAAAGATCTAAGTAGCCACAGATTCCAGGAGACTTCACTGGACTTGCAATAGCAATCATCATTAGAAAACAGCTAGCAGAGGAAATGACTAAAATTTCACAGGATCTTCTTAAGAAACCTAGGAAATTCTATATTTTGATTTTTAAAAAGGCCTCACCAAGCAGCATTTCAATATAAAAAGATTAAGTATTTTTACGTACTCCATTGGAAACATCCCAGCTCAGCATCATCTTCGCACGTTCTTCTGCATCAGCTGAACCATCCAAGACAAGTCCAAATCCTCCATTTATTACTTCTCCCCTTTAAAATTAATACAAAATTACATTCTTAGCTTATTTTCTTGGAATTAATAAATCATATGCCATCATACTCAAACTTGGCATACACTTAAAAGGAAGGAAAGGTGGGTGTTTGGCCTAAGAAATACTGCTGTTACTGGAAAATTTGAATATAATTGGGTTGATGGCATTTACAAGGTTGGATCACCATCCATCAGGTATGCTCTAGTTCTGGGACTGGCAACTGTAAGAGGTTTTGCTGCAATTTTGCCCCCACCCCCAAAGGCTGCACTCCACAGGATGCTGAAAAAAATTAAGTATTAAAAGTTCTCATTCATTAATTTGGACAGTTTGGGCATTCTGGATATGATTTTACCGTTATTATTGTTAATTTGGGAGGAAAGTGCAGGCTGCATACTACCCACTCCTGTTCTAGTTGTAAGATTACATTACAGCAGTCCTTCATTGGTTGCACTGGCTGCCTGTGGGCTAAATTCAAGGTTTGACTATGACATATAAAGCCCTAAACAGCTTGGCACCACACTACCTTAGGGAGCGCCGTACTCCATATATTCCTGCCTGTTGCGTGAGATCATCAACTGAGATCCTCCTCCGAGTTCCTCCCCACAAGGAAGTTAATGGTGTGGTTGCAAGGCAGAGGGCCTTTTCTGTGGTGGCACCCCAACTGCAGAATGCTTTACCTCATGAGATTTGCCAGGTGCCTACTTTGCTGAGTGTTAGGTGACTGGCAAAAATCTTTTTTCGGCGCACCCATGGCACTACTTGGACCATTCTCACTAATTCCACTGTTTTTTAAGATATTTTTATTTTCATTCAATTATGTAATCTGTAATTTTATCTGGTTCAATTTTATTATATTTTAAATTGTATTGCTTTTATATAATGTTATTTTATTAGCATTTATTATTGCCACAGCTGCCCAGAAGGTGTGATGCTAGTTGGCAGCTCTCGAATGAATGAATGAAGTTTGTACTGAATTGTGGGTGTACTAGATGAACTCCATGGCAAATTCCAATTCTAAAATGCTGTGATGCTATGATCTTAAAATTGAAAGGTGCTTGATGCAAATAATGGTCAGTGAGAATCCTAGTGTGGGATAAGGATTCCTCGATTATGTATTTTCCCACACTGGCCAGCCTGACAGCTCAATTCTTACTTAAGTGCCAGTGCCAAAACCAGAGACTGTGCTAATTCTCTTGAGTACAGGAAATTCTAAAAAGCACTTGTTTAAACAAATAATGAAAATGCCTACATGTCTGATGATTAAGTGGCTAAAGTTACTGAGTTACTTAAAGGTCAGGCTATGGTTATTTAAGTTTTATTATGCTGCAGTTTAGAATTCAGTTCCTATGATGGCAATGGTCGAGTTGGAATCTAAATAAATACTTCAGCTGATGTTTCATTAAACCAGGAACAAGTGTATTGAAAAAATGAGTTAGTTTTTCATGAGACAACAGCTCCAGAATTTGGGATCGATGGGTATAGCATCAATGTCTTTTGTTTCTAAGTTATAAGAAGATGGCAATTGTCCTTCTGCATCAGACCAAGAGTCAATAGCTATTTGCAAGAGCAACCAGACCGGTACGTTGGAAGCTCAGAAGCAAGGCATGCATGGAAGTTACGGGCACACCTGCTCCTTATCCCAACACCTGGAATATTTCCACTGTATATCGAAGGTTCCATTTATCATGACTAGTAGCCATTTGAATGGTTGACTCTGCATGAATTCTTCAATAAATTAGATCTAAGTTCTGATTAGGAAATTAACTTGGGGTTTTGGGAATAAGTATGCCTGCTTAACAGGAATAATCAACCTCTTGTCTTCTAGAAGGAAGGGCAGTGTAAACATGTAATTGATTCATTAAAAAAAAAAAACCACACACACACATCTGCACGTGCGCACACACCCAAAAGGGAAAAAAGCACAAATTTCTCCAAATTTGTCCTGTTTAGGGCCAAGTGCTTCCCTGTAGTTCTGGGCAATATACTGCAGATTGATGGGTCCTTAGAGGTTCCTAGGTTTGTAGCTCACTCCCCTGCTGGAAAATCCCCCCTTTTTTCCTTGTTTCAATGACTTCTTCACTGATCTTGAAAAGTTAACCTACTCACACAAGTACACACACAGCTCTGAAAAGAGAAAGTACCCTGTCCATTTGCATGCCCTGACTGTCCTTACCTACAGAGTGCAAAAGCAAACTAGTACCCAAGCAAGCATATGGTATCCAGAGACTTAAGAATTTGTCCATGCCCGCTTTATATTATCTAAAAGTTCAGGCAGACTGCCATGGAAATGCCCATGAGTCTTCAGACTTGGGAGGATTAAATGCAGCCGATGCAGAGCGGGGGCAGCACAGAGGCAATCTTCACCTCCACATTGCCTCCACCCTGCAAATCAGCTATATTGATTTTGGTTGTCCAGCTGCAGCACTTCAGAGGAAGAAGGAAGCAGGTTGTGATGTCACCAGGACACAGCTGTGTGTGGAGAAGGGAATCCAAGCACAGGCCCACAGCTCTGAGGTTAGAACTCCCTCTGGCCTTGGATCTGGGAATCTGAAGCAGCCTGTGATCCTCCTGATGCTATCTAGGGGCACAGGATCACTCTTCCTTATGACTGTAGTACAATTTAACATTTAGCATCAATGGTATATACAGACCATTGATACAACAGTAGCTTGCCAGAGAATGCATAAAAATTAGATGTACAATGGAGGAGATTGGCATGAATGTTGGTAGTGGAAGTACAAGTGTAAAGCAAAATTCAAAAAACAGTAAGTATTTGGCTGAGGAAATAATGACTAGATGAAATCTACTGTTCGTCTCTTATACAAGGCCTAGCAAATGCATGCGAAATCATACAGTATGGAAAGTTCTGCCTTATTTGGTTGTATTTCATTCTTTCTGAATGTAGAACCAAGTGGGCGGTTCTGCAAATAATTACAGTTTCTGTATATTCCATGGTCAGAATGACTAAAATCACAGCTTTACCCATAACCTTACATGGTTATTGTGCATTAATACAGGAGTGAGCAACTTGTGGTCCTTCAGATGCTTTGGCTTACAATTCCCTCACCATTTGCTAAGTCGGCTACAGCTGATGGACGTTATAGGCCAAAATATACAGAGGGCTACATACTTTATTTATTATTTCATTTATACTGCCCATTCCTGCATTAAAAAGGAAAATTAATGAAATCCTTAAGTGGCAGCATATGCTATAATAGTGGCTAATTTTATGCTGGAAGTCCTCCAAATATTTTTAAAACAAACTCAAAATAAAACAGACCACACAGAGCAGAAGCAGAGTCTTTTAAGGGTATGTTCCTATCTAGAGGCTACAGCTAGGACAAACATTCAATATTACATTTTTTTTTTTAGCTGCCCAGGTGTAATCACAGAAAATAGCAAAGAGCATGAAAGTTCTAAATGACCAGTTCCCCTGCAGTATTTGTAAAAAAAAAGGTTTAGACTACAAATGTGAATAAACCTGTTGCAGTTTCTTCTAAATGTCATATTCCTTCCACCTGAAGAAAAAAAAGTGCCCTGGGAGTTATAGATCTGTGGACATAGTAACATGGAATTAGCATCTCCTCAAGGTGTACCACACATGAAACTGGTACAACAAACCATTTTGCCCAGTATTGTCCACTCTAGTGGACAGCGATTCCCTAAGTTTTTCTGCCTGAGGTTTTTCTTTTAACCTGGAGATGTTACAGATGGGACATGGAACAATACATGCACCGTGTGTTAACTTTTATCAGTCCTGCATTCTCTGGATGTGTTGAACTACAGCTCCCGTGATCCCCAGCGACTATGGCTTTGTGCACTTATTCCTCCCATTTGGTTGGAAGGGGAGTTATGACAGAGCAGTTTCTGAAGAATCTAAATTGTCCTGTAGATGTGTCAGAAGCCAGAATTTGACCAAGCCTGAAGCCCTCGTTGTGCAAGCATGTTTAAACATACAGTATATTCTGCAGAGAGGATGCAAACCTCATGCTCATGCGATGGGGCGGCATATTAGTTGTCTAAATAAAATAAAAAACCGGAGGGAACCTGAATGCACCTAAATCCCCATGCTGCAATAGGATGGAAGACACAGTTCAGTGCCAAGGCTTACATTTGAACAGGGCAAAAAGAATCCTGTAGCGCGTGCCATTATGGCATAAGCATTCAGGAACTAGAGTCCTTCTTGCCCAATGCCATCCACGAATGCTCACAGCGTGCCATAATAATGTGTTAGTCTTAAATGTGTTTCAATAGTCTTATTACTTTTTGCCACCTCTCTGGAAGATCTTAAATTGGAGAAAATTAACTGTGCAATAGAATCAGACCCAACTGATGTTGCTGGGGAAATATCTTCAGGGATCAAATCAAACAGCTTGATCTTAACTAAACAGGGCACTTGCTATTGATGTAAAACTTCCTGTCAAATGCTGCAAGTCCTCCAAAAATTTGTGTATGATGCCCAACCATAATATTTTTTTAGGTTTCCCCATATTGGAGCCAAAAATAGAATTATACTATGTATTTTGATAGGTGAACCAACATAAATCCAGTGCCAGTAAGTTTCAGATTTGCCCCACTCCACTTACCTAAAAACACCCATAAATTAAATGTACAACAAGTCACGTTTGTTAAGTTGGGTTTTCCAACAAGTCTTCTCACTTTTATAGGAGAGCGCTTTGCCCTCATTAGCACTGGGTCATATATTCAAATAATTAAAGAAACATGTGGCATTTTGACCTAAGCTACCTCCTATAATTTCCAGATGTCTCCATCCAAGGTGATCAAAGAACTCCAGGCCCCTCTTGCAATCAAGACATCACACTGTTGACTGTGTGCTTCAGTCGGTAAATTGCTTCTGTCTCTTTGTTGCTACAAGCCACTCCGGCCTCCTGCTAATAAAGAGGCTTTCAGAACTGAGCTGCCAAAACAATGGTCAGCCCTGATGTAACTCGGTGCGCCCATGATGCAGATCCTTGAGTAAATGATAAGCCCCTCCGTTGAGGCTGCACAGTATCAGCCTTATAAATAACAGGAAGTATACTCTCGAGCCTCGGAAAAAAGTATCAGGATCAGGTGAAAGCAAAGTAAAAGAGGCATAGGAAAAGCTGGCTGATAAATGCATGCATTTACATGCAAGAGATACATTGCGGGTCACCTTTCTCACTTCCCTAACAATGGTATCCCAAAGACAGATGGAATGCTCATACTTGGTCATACACTACAGCAAACTCAATTATCAGGGACCAATGCTGGGAAGTGGAAGAATCAGGACCCCAATAATGTCTGCATGGAAGAATCTGCAAGGTGTGGGTGCATCTGATCCCCACAAGCCTCATAGTTCAGACCACCCTGACAGCTTATCAAGTGTGGTGCAGACAGGCAGGACAAGGCAGTGTTATCTTCTGTTCAGCTGCTCAGTCGTGTCTGACTATAAGCCATCCCATGGGCCAAATCTCACCACACTTTCCGATCCCATGCCGCCTCTTTCAGCTGAACTACGCTCTGGCCCGCATCCTCTTTGATGGAGCCGAACCACCTTGCTCTTGGCAACCTGGTTTTCTCTTGCCACTGAGTGTTCCAAGTATCGTATCTTTTTCTGATGAGCCTGATTGCATGACGTGGCCAAAATACGCGCGTCTCAGCTTTGTTATCTTGCCGATCAGGGACAATAGGGTTTCTCATTAGATGCAAACCCGACAAAGATGTGTTGTTGGGGTGTTTGACTCTGCAGTCCACAGGATTCTGGGTGGCTTGTCAACCACCCCAACAAGCCACCCCTGAGCGGTGCATATGTTGCCAAGACACTTGGACGCTGGTGGGTACTTGGACTGCCACCCTGTGCCCACGGACACCCCATCTCTGGGAATTGTGCAAACCAGGCAAGTGCAGGCAATACTGGGATAGATACCCTGACTCGTCACAAAACTTAATTCTCAACACAGGGAGCCAGCTGTGCTAGCTGGATCTTGTCCTAACGGTTCCTGCACTTCTCCCTTCTATTAGCACAAGCAGAAGCAGGGAAGCCCCATGGGGGCTGCAGAACCCAATGCACAGGTCCTGCCCGGCAGAGGTGCAGAAAAACAGCCACTCTGCTCCCACAAGCAGTGCTGCTGCTAGGTGTTTTTAAACTCTGGGCTTGGGATCCACTCTTTAGACAGAAGTGTGTACTCCTTGGCTTTATTCAAAACAATGAAGCCACCCCGGCTGCGTCTGGGGACACGCCTGCTCCTTCTGCAGAACAGGGCCCTGGACTTCTGTCCCACAGTCCTGCCTTGATGGCACCACTGCCCTTAAGTTGGGAGGATATGAAGCTCTAAGAATTCTTCCAGGCTGAGTGTCCTGTAAGGGAAGCCAGTTCCTCCTCTGTTGCTCTTTAAAAGAAATATGCTAGAACTAATTGGGGTAGGAGCGGAGCGGGGGAGATGGCTGGCACCTGACCTGTTTTATATCAGCAGTCCCCTACTACAGGTTAGCATATGGCATGTTATATTGGGGTCCAAAGGTCACAGACTTAAATGCAGCTTGAGGGGAGTCTATATACATCTCATCCACTGACACTCTGCATGCAAGTGAACATGCTCTTGGAAGCAAGTTCTCCTTAAAACACACACGCAGACATTCTGCCCTTGTTCAGCAAATTAAGTTTTTCAAAGTATGCTGTAGTCACTGTCTAAAATATTTAGGAGTTCTTCTTTTTTAAGACTTGGAAATTAATTAAAAGAGAATCATGGAACATTATGTCTGAAAAAGGATTCTCAAACTGCAGCAAAGCCTCCTTAAACCAGGCAGGAAATTGTCTGAGTTGCCTAAAGGGAGCTGAGGCAAAATAAATCCATGCAGATCACAGAGGCTGTTCTGAATGATCCGTTTGTTGCACAAGAGATCATCTGTTGCATCCAAATGTGGCAGAAAGGGAAGCCACTGATGGAGTCCCCACAAAAATCTCATCATATGATGTTCTAGAAACGAACCTTTTGGACAAAGCTGCAATGCAGTCGGTGATGAGTGGAGCCCGGGGCTAAAGACAGGTGGCTTCCAGCACTGGTGGTCAAAGGGGATTGTGCAGCTATGCCAACTGTTCCTCCTCCACTGCTTTTGTAATGAAAAGGACTGGATGAAGTGGTGGGAGGATGACGGGGAGGATGACATCATCTGGAAAGCCTGGACGGTTCAGGGAACGAGGCAAAGCAATGGCAGGGGAAAAGCACCCCAAGGAAGCATGATGTTGGCACAGGAAAGCCTGAGCCACACACTACGCTCTTACATCCAGATCTGTGGACAGACTTGGCAATTGTGCAATGACACTGAAAACTAATGTGGCGTAGCATTGGTGTGGCATAGTGGTTAGAGACTGTAGAACTTGGGAGATCAGGTTCTGGTCCCCACTCTGCCATGAAGCTTCCTGCATGGCTTTGGGCCGCTCATTGACTCTCTGACTAACCTACCTCATCAGGTTCATAGAACCATAGAACAGTAGAATTGGAAGGGGCCATGAAGGCCATGGGGTCCAACCCCCTGCTGTGGCAGGACACCAAGTTACACTATCCCACTCAGATGGCTGTCCAGTTTCTCTTTGAATGTCTCTAGTGGGGGAGAGCCCACCACCTCTCTAGGCAGCTGGTTCCACTGTCGTTTTGCTCTGACAGTGGGGAAGCTTTTCCTGATGTCCAGCCTGAATCTGGGTTGTCGCAGCTTGACTTGATTATTCCGTGTCCTGCACTCTGACATCAGCAAGAAGAGATCTTGACCTTCCTCTTTGTGACAGCTTCTGAGGTACTTATAGAGGGTTGTTGTGAAGATAAAAGGCATAGGAGAATGGCATGTAAGCTGCCTTGAGTTTGTCACAAGAGGAAAAAGATGGGATATAACTATACCATTTTAACCATCATAATGATGGAATCATCATAAATGATATTGCACAGCATGTCATAGGATGAGGCTGTTGTTAGGCCTCCTAGAGGTTGCTCCAGCAGCAACTCTCCATTCTTCTTGTTTCCACCCTGAATCCAGGTTCGAGTAGACAATATCCCAAGAGATTGTGTTTGCCAAATATGACACAGCAGCATTGGAAACCCCCATGATGGCATGTCCTATCAAGCATGTTTCCCCAACAGGGTGCCCTCCAGATTTGTTGTCCTATAACTTCCATTATCCCCAACCAGGAACAATTCTACATTCTATTATATTCCTATAATAGGTTTTGCTCAGCTAAACCCTAATCCTTACCCTACAGTCGACGTTCTTTCCCGCAGCTTCACGTCCCCTGCCTGTCTTCCTGATACAGTTTCTCTACCCACAGGACAGCAGTCCTTTCCCTTCGAAGGCAAGTTCTCCTTACCAGCCAACACCCCCTCCATTGTGCAAGGCCACCCAGGTGGCTCCTCTAAACGAGTCTCCCACAAAATTCTGCACAGCCATATCTGTGGAGGAAGAAAGGAAAGAAAGGACTGAATTTCCCAGTCAGAATGAACAAACAAGCACACCAGCCAACCAGTGGTCCCACAGTCTGTTTGCAGCTGTGGGGCACAAAGGTTTGTTTCTGTTTCTCGTGTGCTGCCTGCAGGTACTGTGCCCCCCCCTTGCATTGTTACCAGAAGGCCAAAGTAAATGTAATGGTTGCAGCTCCGCGAGGCAAGCTGGATTGTTGCCAGATCCCAGCAAAGCAATGGTAGCGGAGGGACTGAAGCGTGGCCAGTGTGTGTTTGTGCTTCAAGACTTCTTCAGAGAGACCCCTCAGACCATGCTGCCTGGGCCAAGGAGGCAGGAGGCTCACCACTGCGGTGTCTGCTCCTTGTCACCGTCGTGGCCCACCCGCCGGCCTGCCCTCTTCCTCTCAGACGGAGGACATGAGCAAGCGGGCAGCAATCCCAGGCCGTGTAGTCCGGGCAGCACCGCATCAGTCCGAGGCCCCTCTGGCTTCTCAGAATGCCATCATCTACCTGCAGACTATGCTGACTTTTTTCCCCAGACACAGAACCCTGCTTTGTTTTCCTGAAATCCTCTCCCTGGGCTTCCTGCTCAGGGCAAATTCACATTACTAGGGAGGGGTTTTGTTTAGTAATTTTCCTGCAAAATAATAGATCCATAAACCATTCTAACCCCCGCCCCCCGACCCACACCCTCCCCCCAGGTCCTGTGAAATCACCCTTTCATATAAAGAGACACAATCTTCTCTAAAGTTTGTGGCAGTTACTGGAAAGATCAAGTCCATCATGATAATTTTCCCCTGGAAGTTAGACAAAGGCCAACACTGTTTACTTTTTGTAGCCCAGTGAAAACAGTTCTTTTCTGCCAGGCCTTTTAACAGAAGGGCCTGCAGGTGAGATACAGTGAATGTGACGCTGGCTGACTTTGCATATTTTATTGGATTATATAATGAGGACAGATTACATATTGTGATTTCCCTGAGATAATTTCATGATGATGGGTGGGAAATTAAAACCTTTCCAAAATAAATAAAATAAAGTGTATGTGTTCATATGTGTGTAACTGATAAACAATTATCTTGTTTACCACCCAGATTGCTTCGGCTATTGAGTGGTATAGAAATTAAAACAATAAATCAAATAAATATCTAAAATTTAATCCTAAAACTAGAATATTTTGCTTCATAAATTCTTTGTGTAGTCAAGATTTATACTCTAGCTATGTGGGTGTGCTTTTTTTAACAACCCCATTATTTTTATCTTGCAAGCTTTTATCTCACCTCATATTATTTTTGCACGTGCCCCCAACCTTACTACTGCTTTCTCAGATAAAGTCAGCTGTTCTGTGACAATGCAGCTCACAGGGACCCAGGTACTCTCCAAGGTGCTGCAGCTCTTTGGCATCTGTTGTCATGGCAGAACTGCAGGCAACCTTCCTATGCTAGGAAATCTCACTCCAGCAGATGAAAAGGGGAAGCACATGCTTTGGCAGATAGTCGATGATTCTTCCGCCTCATTCTGAGCAGCTCTGTTTGCTAAAAAGAGACGCCCCGCAACTATTTGGCTGACCTGCACAAAATGCAGATCCATCGTAGATGTTCGAGGTCTCTCTGTAAGGACTATCCGTCCCACTCACATCATGGTGGTCTCGACTAAGAACAACAGGAGCCTGGAGGGAAAAATCCAGGGGAGAGGAAGTGGAGATTCTTAGCAACATTTAAAATGTCTCCCTTGAACAGAGAAGTCAAAGCCTTTATGCTTTGGATTAACTACCCTCTTCTATAGTTCCCCAGTAGAAAAGTATCGCAGTCTTTCAGTGATAAAGCCAGTGCTAACATTGTGGTGGATTTCCTCTGGACATAGTTTTAAAGTAAAATTAAGTGGCAATGTATCTTAAATTATTATTACTTATTTTAGTTTATAAGTTGCTTTTCTGCCAATAAGGCTTTAAAGCAGCAAAATCAAAAACAGGCAGTTTTGCCTTTATACAACAATAAAATAAAACTAAATCAAGCAAAAGCACCGTATCATGTATGAAAAATATCTTAAAGAGCCTGAACAACAAATCAGTCAAGGTCAGTGTTCATTATGATATTTATTCACTGTAGTTCATTATTATGTTTTGACTGTCCTAGGGATTCCCTTTTGAATTTTCCTCCTTGGGCACCCAAAATACTATGGGCCACCTCTGAAAAAGGCAACCACTTGGGAATATTACTGGAGATTCTTGAGCAATACATAAACTTAAGAAGAAGTCATGAAGCAAGAGCTCCAGCCTCTGATCACAAGGTACAGTTGAACCAAGCACTTCATAGCACAATCCAATGGGTATTTATCTTGAAGTCCTATTGAGGCCCATGAGACTTATTCCCAACTAAGAAAATCCCCCTATTTCACTGATTAAACAGGTGCTCTAGCTGGATTACACTTGTAGCCATTTTTCCCTTCCTTGGTCTATTCTTACAACCCTTTGTTCACCATTTGATGTGCTTAATAACAACTTGCATTCTCCCACTGTCATATCACTCCAGCATTTCAAGTCTTCAGCTGAAGAGAGAAGAACCAAAAGCAGGCATGTCGTAACTCTTTCAGCTCTGGGTGTTAGGATCTGGGTTGCTCTGGTAGAACCAGAGCAACTACCTTGGTATTTGCAGGATTGGTCCCAGAACCCTGCCAAAGCAAGCTCAGCCTCCTAACAAGCACCAGCTGTGAGCCCTGGGGAAGGGCTGTATAAAAGCAAGCCCTTCCCTCCAGAACTGGCCTCAGCATCACAGGTCTTCATGTCTAATCCACCATAACAACTTGGATCGGCTTGCTGACTGAGGTGCTGTTCGGCTCCTGCACTTTGTCTGGTCTTTGCTGCATTCGGTTCTTGTTGCATCTTGCCCTGCTGGGGTGTTTCTGCAATGCACGTTTGCCTGCTAGCTGTGGCGCAGCTCCTGCTTCTTGCCTGGCCCTGGCCATTTTTCCTGCCCTAAGGGACCTGCACCTGTTTGTCATCCTGCTCTGACCCTGGGCTTGTTCTGCCCTGATAGACACTTCCGGTGCCTGGCCTTGTATCCTGAGACTACAACCTGGACTTGCCTCTGCACCTTGCCCTTGGACTCTGGACTCTGTCTCATCTCACGTTCTGCAGCCCTGGTCCCAGTGCCTCGCCTTGTATCCTGCAACCCACATGCCACCTCCTTACACAGGGGCCGGATTCATTTTCAGTGAAACTCTGGGGAGCCATTCTCCAGTGGTGAGGAGTATCAAAGCAAAAGAAAGTGGGACAAGGGAAATAAGAAAAACGTCTGCATATTTTAGCTGCACATTGTGAGCCATTCCGAGGCTGTGTAGCAATGAGGATGGCATATAAAAACTTTAAATAAATAAAATGCTGCTGCTGCAGTAACCAAGCCTTAGGAGAGGCGTTTCAGCTTTTTGCAAAAGGCAAGGGGAAAAACTGGGTTAGGTTAGGAAGAAGGGGTGGAGCCAGGGAAAAGGGAAGGCCCTCACAGATATGCATGGAGGGGAGAGCATGTGGTATGCCGTACAAGTACCACCACTGTTTCCTTTGCCTCTCTCCTGTCCTGCCTCTTGAAAGATGTGGACACCGGCTTGTTTGAACAGTATTGCTCTAACACCATAAACCCACCAGAGGGCAGAAAGCATTCTCCACTCACACAGACTTAGTGGGACAAACACTCATCCCTAAACATGGCTTTGTTCCCACAACCAGGTTGCCACAGCCCAATATCCAGACAGATGAGCACAGGTTGGGGTGGAGCTCCGGCTGAAATATGTAACTGCTGTAGCCACCTGCCATCGCTCCCCCTCCAGTCCTCAATTTGCATGGTATGTTCACTGCACCTTTATTTATTTATTTTTCGATTTATATCCTGCCTTTTTACTACAAAGGGCTCAAGACGGCTTACATCATTCTCCTCCTCCATCTTATCCCCACAACAACAACCCTGTGAAGTAGGCTGGGCTGAGAGCCTGTGACTGGCCCAAAGTCACCCAGCTGGCTCCATGGCTGAGCGGGGACTAGAACCCAGATCGCCTGAGTCCCAGTCCCATGCTCTTAACCACTGCACCACACTGGCTCCTTAATGCCAGCAGTCTTCCCTCCAGGAAGTGGGGAGCAGCATCTTCCACATCCAAATAGTAACTGATAGCAGGTGCTCTGCCCCACCCTTTGGGCTGCTGTCCACACTCTCCACTGCCTCCCCACTTAGCCAAACCCCTCTAGAGTAGCACTACCTCCTTGCCCCTCTCACTTCCACACTGTGTGTGCAGGGTCAGGGGCCACATGCTCCAGCCGCTCCCCATTTCTCCTTGTCTCCCTGCTGTCCTACTGGAACAGTGTCAACCCCACCTGCTTTCTGTTCCAACCGCAGTGTCTAAAGATACGCCAGGCTCTTCCTGCCTGGGGCGGCTGACCAATTTGTTCCAGGATGCCTTTGTGCACCCTGGAACAGTTTGTGACCAACACTGGTGCACGAAACGGGGATGTTCTCCCCTGGGAGCAGGTACTCTGCTAACGGTTCAACGGCACAGGACCCTGCTGGGTTAAGTGGTTCACAACCCTGCATATGTGATCTTGAAAAGGAAAGACACCTCTGTCTGAGATGCTGGCCAATACGGGTGAAGGCTTTACTGTGTGTCTAACATCGAGACAATTCAAATACATGGGGATCCAAGAAAATGAGCACCAAAAAGCTCCTTCCGCAACAAACCAAAGAGTGAAGAGTGATCTGAATAAACAGGCCTTTGCCTGCTGGTAGGAGGACAGCAGGGAGGGGCCAGTCTGGCCTCCATCACCAGTAAGGCTCAAAGCCCTCCTGGGTCACCCTTGCCCACCCTGTGCCATGCTTCTGGGACCTCTGGGCAGTGGTTTGGGGAGGAGACCAACAGTTGCCCCACGAAGCATGCGCTTGCTGTCTGCTGACGTGGCTGCCCTGTGATGCTTGTGGTGTCTTGGGAGCATCCTCTCTCTGTTTCCCAGCTTCATCTTCTTGCAGGCAAAAGATCCCTCCACTTTTCTGTGTCCAGTATCCCAGTCTGGCCTCTCTGAAGAGGATGGGTGGGGGGAATGTCAAAGTTATAATAATTGGAAGCACCCATGTCCACACGTCCTGGGGGGGAGTCACTGTGGGCACCATCTGATTGGCTGACGTGCAATCTCAACAGGAGGTATGCCTGCCCCTTCCCTCCCCTCCCCTCCCCTTCCCTCCCCTTCCCTTCACCACCAATTTATATTCTCCTCGCCCCTATTTCTCTTCTTCCATGCCAGCCTGAGCAGCCCTAGGGTGCAGCAGCATTTTCCCCAGCCTACCTGGGACCAGGATTACAATCACTCCACCCCAAGGTCTTTCTGAATCCTTAAAAAAAGTCGATGGTATTTAAAATATGTTAATAAACCTATTTTATAATGTAACATAAACCAGGCATAGCTAAGTAACATAAACCAGATGCAGCTACGTCAGGAGTCACCAGGCTCACTTATACCATGTTAGGATAATTCATCTTGGGGAATTCAAAGAAATAACATACAGTGTACTACACAGTATTCCTTCCAGCACGTGAATGTTTTGACCTGTTGCTGACCCCCCGTCACTGCTAACATTACTTTTCTCAGCCACGTGTTACTTTTTGCCACTTCTCAGGCAGATGAATGCATGTGCTCTGATGTATATGTGAAGTGTGCTTGTTTGTTTGGAAAGGTCTCGAGGTGTCATGGCCCGGCTGGGGCTGTGGAAGGCCATGTCTGGTTTCTGCCTCAGGATCGCTGAGACTTTCAGTGGAGCTTCAGCTAGAACTCTGGCACTATGCTACAGGCTGGCAAAGCTGGAGCCTGAAGCTGTGCATGCAAAAGCCAGAGGTCATTTGCCCTGCTGAAGACAGAAGGCGACCACACTCCTAGTATATACACCAAGCCCGGCCAAGCCAGATCCTTCAGACTGCCTACCATGATGTTGCTCCCGTTTCCTTCTGTCTCTGATGAGGGTGCCGAGGCCTCCAACCCACACAGACTCCCATCATCTCTCTAGACTATTCCAGACTGTAGCTACAGAGCAACATCCATTCTTGTTGTTGTGCTGGCAGGAATGACCACAGTGCAATCAGAAAGTAGCATTTCCTACAGCAATGGGAAACGGAGGGGGAGGGGGACATGGACGGACCCATAGTATATCTGGAAGAGAACTAGTCAGAGGGCTTATGGAAGGGGTTTCTGCTGACTTGTTCCTCAGCCTGTGACCCAGGAAGCATTAGTGGATTGCCAGCACCGGATACTGCCCCTAGTTCATACATGGAACCCCAAACATGGGTGCTCCTGGTGGTTTCCCAGTGTATGCCTTGACCTGCCCTTCTTTGTGATAAATCTCTGCACCAAATCACTGATTCTCTGTACTGATACTGAAAGAAGTAGGAAATGGGTCCATGAAAAAATATTCTGGAAAAGTCATACTGTGGATGATTCCTAATGGGATTTTTAAAAAATGGTCTAGACATGTTTTAAGTCATATTTGCAGAACATGTGGCTAGTTTTAAAGCTAAACTAATTTCAAACTCTTATTCCTTGTTACTCTGTGGAAAAAGCATTGATTTCAGCTGCTTTGTGTTTTAATAAGAAATAAAATGTCTACCAAAGAAATAATGTCTCAGCATCTCCTCCGATCCTGTCAATGTGGTGTCAACACTTTTTGCTAGACAGTTCATCTTCCACTGAAGACCAGTCTTGCATGTCAGGGCAAAGTATGCAAATTACATTGGGTAAAAAGTACCTTAATTCTTCCCTCAGCGATGGCTTGGTTAATTGCCACTGCAATTGCTATTCGGCCTTTCTGATCTGAATACAAAATTCTGGCTTGGGATCCTACCACCTGCAAAACAGAAATAATTTGGTAATTGCTTATCTCCATGATCTAGATGTGGGCTAGAGACAACTCTGTAATGGAAAAAGCAAAGATAGTAAATTCACAAATATCTACTTTCCACGGCTAAGGATTAATTGAGTTTCTATTGAGCTGCTATAGCTGATAAATCAACAACTATTGCTTTAGACCCACAGTCTAATATCAGCTGTTTCCTTATTGTCAGATAAGAAGCACAGGCTAACTTAATTATTCCAGATATTTATATATTTGTACATGCACATACAGTTTATTTCAAGAGAATTCTTAGCAGACATTGCATGGCTGAGCCCTGGAATGTTTAATGTTTAAACACCCCCAATATTAAAATTCATTTATTCAAGGGATTAATATGAATGAAATTTATTGCAACCAAGACAAATTCAAATGGAGTTCTGTATTTGAACAGTTCACTAATAAAGAATTCCTTCAAATTAAGGATTCAGGTGGTATGTCCACAAAGAACTAATATAAGAAAACCTTACAAACTTATAAGAAAACCTTATAAACAAGTTTTCACTGAAAAAAGAAAAGGTTCCCCTATTTTGGATCTGTATGTATGATAATCAGCAGCAGGGTAGGCCAGGATATATTGTGCAGGCCCAAGATCACTGTAGTTTGTGGCTACAGCTACAGCCTGAACCACAACCAGCAGAAACCATCCTGGAATCCCAGTTTGGTTGGAAATTTCCCAAACCTGTGTCTGTGGTAACAAAAGGGCACATGACCCAATTCAACTTGGGCAACAACTACGGCCCACATCGTGCTGAAGGAGCTGGACTGTAATACAGCAAACTGTGGATGGGGGCACCAATGCTGCTCCTTGCAAAACATCCCACAGACACAGAAGGCTGGAGGTAGGGCCAAGGCTTCCAACCCACTCTTTTTCCTGGCATTTAGTTTTCCACATACAAAGGGCTTTTCAGCCAAAGAGCTGCACTTGCAGTCTAATGTGCATCAGGCAGCCCAGGACAGCCAAGGTGAGCCAGGCAGAAGTAGGTGAATTCGGCATGTGGTGACCACTGAAGCATCCAGCCAACTCCCATGCTGGAGCCCATAATTTCCTTGGAGGAATGTTGGTGCCTGTAGGTGGAATGAAGTTGGGTTGTTGTGGGGTCAGCAAGATTGTCCTCCTTTCTCACTGCAACTGGGAGGGGGAAATGGCATCAGAGAACACAACATGAATGAATGGCAGCTTGCCAAATAGTTCTGTAACTATGAATTTTAATCTCTATTTTATCAGAGTTTTCAGACTTTTTTTTTAACTTCCGTGAAAAGGTAATTTTTACCTTTTCACTCAGTTTAAATTAAACTGAGTGAAAACTGAGTAAACTTAATTTAAATTAAATTACCTTTTAATTTTTACCTTTTCACTCAGTTCTCCTGTGGCTGGAAGTTGTAGCATTTTGTTATCATTGCCACAGAGGAGTGGTGAAAATAGGAGGATTAACAGCACTTTGTAAAGGAAAGGGGACTTTTTAAACTCCACACTGTTTGGTGAACCACCTGTGAAAAACAGTTTTGCTCATATTAAGATTTTTGGTGTTTTACACAATTTTGAGAGCAACCCACCAGAAGGTTGGGGAGCTAAGAGAGGTCAATCAAAAATCACACAATTTTTCACAGTTAGGGAGGAAGAGAAATTGAAGAGGAAGTAATGACTGAAAAAAATCTCCACTCCTCCACTCCTTAGACTGATCTTTGGATCTTAAAGGGCAATACCATGAAAATTGGGTGGATGGCACTCATTCCCAAGCCAAGCTGCAGAGCTGGCTTTGGCTGGAACTACGGTACAGCGTTAAAGGAACACTCATTTGCTGACCTCCTAGGACTGCAATCACACACAGAATGGATGCCTGTACTGCTCCAGAACCTCCCATTGTTCCAGAAGTACATTCCTAGGATTTTGTAAGTCAGATGAAGGGGGGTGGGGCTCCTGCTCAATTTTCTGTCTCTTTGAACACTCAAAATATTAATTTTAAAAAATCCTCCGCACCAAATGACTCTCAGTTATTTTAAATCGGCAGTTTTCAATTGCACAGATTCACAATAGTATAAATACTCCAAATGCTCACTTTAGAAATAGCACAGATATGGGCTGGATCTCAGCCATCCTTCAGTGAACAAAGCAGAATGCGTGTGCACAGAATGGGTTTCCCCCCATGGTTCCCAGACTGCTGTATCCCCACTCCCAAATCTGCTCACTGGGGCATTCTTGGGAGCAGGGTGAGGTATCTTGTGGGAGCCTGCAGGAAGAGTTGGGTGTTCCTTTAAGTGGGCAGAGAAGCAATTTAAGACCCAATTTAAGACAGTTCTGTATGGAAGGTCCCTGCTCGAAGATGTCCTCCATTTGCAGTTCAAGTCCACATGAATGGTAAAGAACTATAGGAAAGGGGAACAGCAGCAGCCTTGAAGTTTCCCGTCACGAGTGACCATGTGGACGGCTGACCGAGTAGGCACACAGGTCACCTGGTCAAACTATACCCCACTATGAGGAATTGTATTATATCTCTATTCAAATTATAGTCAGTATTTCTAAAACTGCCTCTGTATGTATACATATTCAAATGTTATGCAAATATGCACTGACTTGTCTTTTTCTTTGGTGATGTACATCCTCTTTAAGTGGCCATCCTACTAACATCATATAGCTATCACTTCTCTGCTGTCACCTAACTCCTTTCAAAGCATCTTTTCTGAAAGTGGCGATGCGTACAATGCATGTAAATGCACTTAGCACCTTGAGGCAGGATCATACAATATTTACAGTTGTCATTTACCACATTCATTACCATAATGAATGTGTACAACCGTCCCCCCCCCCCCACGTTTTTCTTTCCACTCTGGCATTGAGTCCATACAGAGACCTCCCACCAGCTGCTAATTTGCTTGGTGGAGGGGAAAACGGCAAGGACAGTCAGCCCATGTATCAGGCAGGTCTGCACACATGGTGACAGGGTGACACACAGCAAAGGATCAAATAATTAGCCACAGTCCCTGCCTCAAGCGGTTTTACAGATTTCTGTAGTGTTTCACGCATTTCTTTAAGAAAGTCAAGATTAGGTGACACCAGCAGTATGCAACGGATGTGTGTTGGCTGTTGTGTTGTGAACACGCGGGAGAGTGTGGCAGTAAGGAAATAGTTCTCAGATCACTGCTGGCACCGCCAACTTTAGGATAAAGAAAACGAGGTAGAGAAGATTTCTCTCAGGCCCAAACTTCCATTTGGAGTCTACAGCCTATAAAACAATGGTTTTGAAATTGTACAGTCGTTGCTTCGGCTTGCTGGGCTCACCTACCAAATTGTGCCTTCTGGCTTCCTGAATCCAACGGATGTTGTCGGAGTATTGCTGCTTCACAGATGTGTTCACTAGGCACAGGGCGAGGAGAGAGAAACAACAAAATAGCCAATAAAATTAGGACATTCAAGCCCAAGTCTTGGATACTGACGGAAGGGGAAAGGGCATGCAGCACAAGCATTACATGACGTATAGGTGTGGATGAAGGGAATAGATGTGATCAATTTATGCATTACTAGGTTTAACCCATAAACACGCAAGGTGTACAGACAAAGAAAGCAACGGCATGTTCATGAGCACATATAATATGCTGCTAAAAAGAAATGTAAAAGAAATGTTCCAGCCAATACTCAGGAATGCCAGGCCTGCCCCAACTTGATCTTTCTCATGAGTTATGGTTGACTCCAAGATTAAATAATACACTGGGGATGAACATGCCAGCCTTTTTAAGAATAACTACCAAAACATCTTTTGCCTTAAGAGAAGTATAGTGCACTACAAATTGCATGAGGTAATATCCTATGCAAGCATATTAGCAGATCTGAGGCAGACAAAAAAAGATTTAATGGGATTTTGTGAAATGCACCAGGAAAAATGTAATAAGGGACACTCTGGTCTTTCAAATGGTTTTTTTTTTTATTACCCAGGGAGGAAAACTCTTGAATGGAAAAGTCTAAGGAATGAGATGTCACCCCTTCCCATGTTTCCTAGGATTACAGTTCAGTTGTTCTGCCGAGGTGCAATATTTTCCTTTTCATTAACTTGACTTTGCAAATCTTCCTGTTCAAGTTTTTCTAAAAGTTGCTACTTCACCCTCGAAAGGTTCCCATGTAACTTGACTTGTTGCCTCTGCTATTTGCTGGTCCATATTTAGGAATTAGGAGATACTAAAGGTACGTTGTGACCTCATCCACATTATTTGTGTCAACACAGAAGTTTACTCCCTATCCTTGAGAGTGATTGTTTATGTCCTAATTTATTTTTACACTGTCCAAGTCTCTCCAAATACACTCAGAACAGGAGGCACATTCCTCACTTAAGACTAGTAAATACCTTTTCACTCCCACTGCAGCCTGGTCTCAAGAAGCCATCAATATTCAGCACATTTTCCCATTCTTCCAGAGCTACCAAGTATCACTTTAAAAGGGTAGCTTTAAGAAGATGGAGCACTATTTGCCCAGAAATACACACTTTGAGAGAGGAAGAGCAAGGTAATGTGTGTATGTATGTGTGCATGGTGCAACACTCAATAAAAGTGATTCAGTTTAAGGCTGGATATATGCTAAGACACAACTACTCATATCCTGTGAATTTTGCAGTACAGAGCCTTGTTTGGTTACAGCTCGGACTCGCCGACTGCAGCTACTGCTGTTCTCCTACTCTCTCTCTTTTCAGCAGCACAAGCAGCACATTGGCATCCTGGAACATGAATGTCACAGCAAATAGACCAACCAGAGTGAAGATGCCATGGCTCTCCATTAACCTTTACCAGTTGTGAGGACTGATTACTAGCAGTGCCAGCCAGAGGCTTCTGAGATCATGGAGATTAATTCACAGGCTCTTATCTGATCTCGTACTTAATAATCTTTCTTTCTACTTTAGGTTATGTAGCCTTTTTTCAGGTTCATAATATGGAGTGTCAGCTGGGACAAGTACCACCTAACATTCAGCAGTCTGAAGCTCTTACTACTTTTTCTGCATTGGAACATGTATCCTATGCTTGTCGATCTCAGTTAGATGTTTAGGTACATGAGTTGCTTATAGTCATACATATACTGAAGATATATTGCATTAATATGATGCATATGCATTATAATTCATGTATTGAATTTCTACTAATGTTGTGAACTGCCATTTTTCTTTCACTATTTTCACTCCAATTGTATTTACAATTTTAAAAATATCAGAAACTCCCTGAGGGCACTGATTCTGCAACCTGAAGTACACTTACGGGCAGCAGGCTTGCTAAGGGGCACAAGGAAGGCTGCGAGGTGTGCACAGCTCTCTCCTCCAACATCTTGTCGTTCTCCACCCTTCAGTACCTGCCACTTGATGAGGTGGTCTCCCTCTGCCTGTAGGGGCAGCTTCAAAGGTAGCAAACTCTGAGGCCTGATTTGCGGGTAAATGATTGTGTACTTCAAATTATTGTTATTCAACAGGTGAAGTTTCGCAGCTGAATGTGAGAAGCTGATTTCCTTGAAAAGCACGGCTTTTACGAGAATGCGAGTTGAGTTAAGGGTTCTGCCTGTGCTGGGCCTGTTGCACATGCCATTCAACAGCTGATGCTTCAGGCACTGAATGTGGTTCATGACTTTTAAATCTTATATGGCTTGGAACTAGGACACCTACAAGACCTTCTCCCATATCAGCCCACCCAATCACCACGATCATTTTAAGAACCTAAAAGATCCATGGTGCATCAGTGCAAGAATCCTCTAGTCCAGGATTCTGTTCAAACCCAGAGGCGACTGCACCTTTCCACCCATGGTCTCCAGCTATTGGTGCACACAGGCATACTGCCTCTGATACTGGAAGGATAGGCTGGACATGCACATGGTGGGCATGTTGTGAGCGGAGCTGGCTGGAGCTGGGGGTCAGACTAGATGCCCCGGGAGACCCCTTCTGACTCGCTCTGTTTCTATGTTTCTAAGTAGCATAGAGCCATCCGTAGCAGCCACTGATAGCCTCATTCTGCATGAATTTGTCCAATCGGATTTATTAAAGCCATCTAGATTGGTGACCATCATTATATCTTGTGACAGTGAAGTTTAACTATTGACTGTGTAAAAAAAAACCCCGTATTTCCTTTTTTTTTTTTTTTCCCTGCCCTGAAACTCCCACCCGACTCCAGAATGTACTACTGTGAGAGAGGGAGAGAAAATGTCTCTCTATCCACTCTCTCCAGGCCATGCATATTTTTTAACCTCTACCATGTCTCCCCTTATTCGTTGTTTTTTCCTAGACTGAATGATCCCAGACATTGTAAACTGTCCTCATAGATGAGTAAACCTGTCAGACCCTTCAGAGACTCTCCTTCATGTTTCAGGAGCATCTGCGTTATATTTGTTTGGAAAGAAGAAGGTTTTCCATGTGGCCAGGCCTAGACAGTGGAACTTCTCTTATCCCCTTTCTGATGGCCTCATCCCTCACTTTATTTATTTCTTTTAATTCACTTCGTAGGAGTTAAGCTGCTGGCTAAGAATCGTTTTGTTGAAGATGAGTCCTGACTTCCTCCCTTGGCGCTCCAGTCATCATCCTTCCCACTTCATGCATCAGAGTTCCTCTGTATACCAGGAAGTTCTTTTGGAAGTAGGAAGGAGAGGATGCTCAGGAGCAATTGGCCCTAGTCAATTCCCAATTCTATTTTGTAACCAGGGACTTGACATGATTACCGGCAGAACTGGCCAAAGAATCCCCCTAGGAGTGACTGGAAATCTATTGTATCCATAAGTCTTTAGAGATGGACCATTCTAATAGGTCCATCTTCTCTACAGGGGCACAATGAAGGGGCTGAGATCTCAGCCTTGACCAGATGATCTGACCAACCCAAAAGCCAGGGTGCTAAAACTTTGCATTTGGATGTCCTTGCTTTGCCAGTAGCAGTATGATCTGACCTTCCAGATCATTAGTTTTAGTCACCCTGGCATATCATTCCTTGCAATGTTTTACCTGCTGCCTCTGCCTCTTCATTCTGTTTATTATTTTGTATTTTCAATGATTTTTTAAAATGTTTCTAGCTTGTTGCAAGCTACTACAAGCATTTAATGGAATGACAAGCAAAACATGTTAAATATCTAAATGTGGCTGAGCCAACCTTCCATCTACATGACCACTCAGGCAACTAGTGGTTTTCTAGGCTTAGAACTCCCATCGTGCCTCACCATTGGCTATGCTGACTTGGGCTGATGGGACCTGTAGGCATTTAAAGGATCACAACTTACCTGCCCTTATCTATGGGTCTTGGTACCTCTTCTGTCATTCATTTAATGTATGTATATTCTGCATTTCCTTATCAAGAATTAACATTAAGAATTAACTCAAGAATGCAGATGGGGGTTCCATGCAGTGTCCTATCAGGTACTGACCAGTCAGATCTGCTTTCTCATCCAGCTTGAGAAAGTTGGATGCATCATGTTCCCTTAGAGTATGCTCTTTGCCTCTATTTAATGAAGGTTCCTCAGAAAAAATCCAGGAGACTAATCTTAAAAATTAGCATTTGGCCAATTTCTTTGCATCATTATATTTGCTGTATGTACACATCACAAAAGCAGCTGCTGACCAGCCACCAAAGTACACCTATTTATCAGCAATTTTATGGTCACTTTGATCTTTGGTTGATCAAAGTGACCATAAGTGACCTGAAGAATGAAAAACCATAAGAAGCTGTGCTCTATCTAGCCCAGTATGGTCAGCACTGGCTGGCAGTGGCTTTCCAAGGTCTGAAGTAGGATTCTTTCCTAGCCTTAGCTGGAAATGCCCAGCATCAAGACTGGGACCTTCCACATGCAAAGCAGGTGTTCTACCACTGAGCCACAATGAATCCCAAGTCTCTATATTCTGCACCTATCCATTGATTTCAGAGAACTTCTAAACTGCTTTTCATTTAAATTAATCCCATATCAGTTTATAAGCTACAAATCAGGAACAAGTACAATATAATCAACAATTAAGACAGTAAAACATGACAACAGTGAAATCACATTAAAATAACCAGGGGAGCTGACAGTGCTAGCAATCAGGGAAATGCCTGGCAGATGTTATTATAGAAATGTTCTGATGATGATGATGATGATGATGTGTCTTCATTGTCCACAGAAGCACTCCATGTTAGGAGTCCCCCAGATCTCAGTGGGGAGTCATCCCACAGGATGGGCACCACCACTGAGAAGACAGTCCTTGCACCACAGCCAAGTGGACCTCAGAAGACTGACCTCAGTATGGCCAGAACCCCCCCCCCCTAGACTGCAGAGATGGGGATGGTTTCTGTGGGAGAAGTGAAACACAAGGAGCCAGTCCAGACTCCCAAACCCACCTTATGAGAACATAGATCGACTGGGTCCATGCTCCACAGGAAGGCCATTACATGTTTCATTCATCATATTCACAGCTTTGCCACTCATGCCATAATTGCCCGTTCCATCCACTACTGGAAGTGTTCTAATAAACAGGGACTGGATGGCAAGCTGGGTACATGGCAAACCATTTGTATCCTTCTCAGTCTACCAAACTCTGAGATCCCATCAACTGATTCTCTACATACTGCTTTGGCACTACTCAGAATTAAGGCCACAGTCTATTACTACTATTCTCTGGCTGGCAAAGGTAAACTCCAAGCAGAACATGCAATAACAAAGAGGCCAAAAGGAATTCCATGAAAGGATAGTTTTAACAGGCGACTTCCCACTGGAGCTCAGCTGTCATTTCTCCCTGAATTCCTCTATCCATTGCTCTGCCAAGCACAACAGCAAATCCAATAAAGAGAGCTGCCACCAGATCTGCCTAAGTTGGTTTGTGTCTGTCTGTATATATACATATGGCCATTTTTGTGTGAGATGCATATCTCCCTAGCTTTACTTGGGGCGTTGGTCCAGCTTAAATGGTGGGAAATTCAAGGCAGTTTTTCTTAGGGTTGGATGTCATACCTTCAGGGAATATCTGCACTGTGAGAATAAGAACATTCTGCTAGTCACAGTGTTTGATATCATGGACCGCTAGTATGGTCCTTCATATTTCTGGTGCCATTTTAGAGCTGTTTCCTAATAGCACAAATAAAAATAATCCAAGGACCTAAAGTGCCATGCAGTTGGAGACAAGAGGATAGTCTCTTTGGAGAAGGGTTGAAGAAGGAAGCACACGTGTTTCATGTAAGACATCCCAGGTTCCATCCCCATCATTTCCTGGTACTGGTGGGAAAGTCTTGTCTGAAGCCATGGGGGAGCCTCTGCCTAACCCTTTTGGGCACATCTGAAATTTTGTGAAAGTGTCATGGCTGCCACCACAAAATGGCTGCCATAGGCGAGAGTGCTAGTCACAAAATGAATACTGTGGAGGAGGCACAGCCAGTCATACAATTGCAATATGATAAAAGTCAGATATAACAACTAAATACATTCATGAATTTGGATAATTTTTTTCATGGAGTTATTCCAAAACTACCTTAAAATTAGAACTTATATTGGTGGCTATAGGATGCACAATTTTTTAAAAAATCAACTTCTGGTGCTTCCTACTGCTCCCATAGCACAGCAATATATATCCAAGACACAGATCCTCATGAATCTTTATGATTTTTCCATTGGATGCTAACAAAACCCTATTAAGTAACAGAACAAGTGGACCTAAGACTTGCTGACATTTTTTGTGGGGATTCCCTGTAAAAATTATGAGTAATTGTAAGATTCCTTGCTTTGTTCTATGTGTTTTTGTTTTGGTGCCATGTCAGTACAGGGGATTCTCAGTTCCGTGCTTTTTGGTATGCTGTCTATAGACAGTGTAAACTTTTATTTCATAGTGTTGAGTCAGATTCTGTGTGGAGTAGCCAGGGCCTGTGCAGGCCTTTGGGTTCTCCAATAATGGCATCCCGCAACAGTCAGGGCAGGTTGAACAAAACCTAAGGGACAATGACTCTTCAAATGGCTCAAGGATTCTCAGAGGGGAAAAACTGAAGGATAAAAGACTGAATACTGGTGACATGAAGAGGAAAAAGTGGAGGAAGCAAACCTAAAGGAGTGGAGCCTGGAAGGCAGATAACCAAGACACACACCTGATGGCTCTCAGGAGAGGCAAAGAACTCACTACAGATGCCTGGCTGCTAAGAAGGTCCTTCCAGCACAGACAGCAACACAGTGAGGAAATACTCAGATGAGTGGCTGTGGAATGACTTAACCACCTTCCCAACAAACTCTGGAAGCCGTTATCCCAGTCCTACAACCACTCCCTGCCAGCTGGGACCTAGAAAAGCCAACCCTTATCCGTACCACCTAAGGTCCTCTTGCCAAGCACTTTATTTAGTGAAGCATCAACCTGGTTCTGCTAGAATTTACACGTGGCATCCACTTGTAACCACTTGCCCACATTGTTTCATGTCAGGCCACCTGACCTGGGAAATACTTCCACAGAATACTAAGTGGTTTCCTGATTCTGCAACAATGGACTATAATGATATGCAGAGGCAAGCAAGATCAATCAAGTTTATACTGAGTACATTTGGGTTCAAGCTGTTCTTAAAAAGTAGCAAGAGGAGAAAACACGCTCCCGTGAATGAAAGGAATGGGCTTTGTGACAGATCCCATGTAAAATCATGCAAATTCTAGGGTGTCCAGACACTCAGATGGCTGTCCGGTTTCTTTTCCACTGTCTGCCTGTGTGTTTTTCCATATATGTGTAGTAAAGACTCAGTCGTGTGGGGAATAAACCTGCAACTCAGCTTTAAATCATGGTGGCATTACTTTGCTTTTTAAGGCCCATTCAGAAATATGATTTGACTGAATGCAATATAATGTATTTTCATTCATCATGTTTTTACAGTCCATCCTTTTCCTAAAGAGCTCTGGTTAATACACATGATTGCCTTCCATTTTATCCTCATAATCCCATCCAGTAGGTTAGACTCCTTGGGAGACCTGCACCCAGGTGTCCTACTCCAAGCCCAACAATCCGCCATCCATTCGGGCCTTCACCTGAAACTACTACTCAGAGCCTCTTGCATTTGTCCAAATATAATAGGCACAGCGGTTGGAGATGGCAGTTCCCCATCCTCATATGCAGTGTAACAGACATCCATGCACTTGTTACACCGGATGGGGATGATGCAGACTAAATGAAATTTCCCCACACTGAAGGCGTGCCTGTCTGGGGAATCTGAGCTGAGGAGACCCAAAGAGGAAAACCATTTGGTGCCTGGGATCTACACAGCACGGCACAATGACCCGCGGTGACCCATGTCCCATCACTCACCTTCCACATTAAACAATGGGATGCCTTACCTCCCTGAAGCACAGCTTCCTGGAGCACTGCAGTGGCTAGAAAGTCAGTCGTTGCCAAGTCTTCCGGGTTACCTGAGGTACAAACCCAGCGAAATGGTCCGAATCCCAGAGAAAAAATGTCACTGGGAAAAGAATATGTTTAACGATTAGAGGATAGTTTAAATTCTTGTCATATTTATCCTGGCAGTTAGCAATGCTTTTCTTTCATTAACTGAAGATGAAAGCATTTCAAATATTTCAAACAAACTAATCCAAACACAGAGCTCTTGGGTCCCTCATTTCAGAATTTTAAATCAGACCTGACACACGGACTTAAGCCACTGTGCGTGTGGGTATGAGACAGAGGGTGAGATCAAAACCGATCCTGAACACACTCTGGGAAAAGACCAGAGAAGTTTAATTGAAGAGGGGTACCTTGTGATTCAACAACATCAAGAGCTCGTCGTTGATTTTGGCCACAGAACAAAGTGAGGCAAGAGCCGAAGAACCAAGTTTACTCATCTCCTGTGTCTGCTGGCCAAGGGATCCCATCATGCCCCTCTTCATATCCTCCCTGAACAGACAGTGAGGTGAGAAGTGCAGGGACAGGACACTGAGGTACCTTAGAACCACATCAGAGGTCCTGAGGGCATGTATTCCATTAGTGGGGGACCTAGGGGGATGGACTTGGGGGGAATGGAGTACCTCCAGGCATCCGCTGTGCCATTTCAGAGGGTACCTGACAGACTTCAGTTTCTCACAGAACAGCTGCAGCAGACAGGTCAAAAGCAATACAAGGCAGAGAAGGGGAACCAGGCTTCGCACCACTCCTTCTGGTACAGCTAGATGCCTACTGCCTCGTTTAGCCCCACTGCCCTGAAGAAGAAAGGGCATGGTGGGTATTGGCAGCTGCTGTGAAGTTAGAAGGAAAGGGAAGACTTGGCTGCTAGAGCACAGCTCATCTCTGCACTGTGTGACCCAAGAGACAAGTGCGTACCAAATTCACCTCTGCCTTTCACCCCAGCCCTAGATACTCCGCCCTTGTGGCAGGTCCAATTTATGTACATAGATCTTTCTTCTTCTACGCATATGCACTGAGGGACAGACATATTCTTTGGATCTTCAGGGTTTAGCCATCCTAGACAGCAATTCTCCAAATTCCTGGTTTAGTAGAATAGTATGCAACCAGAAAAGTAGAAAAGGAGTGCAGGAATCTTTCCCTTGTATTGCTTGATGATCATCATTCATTTCTTACCTATGCTGAGTGAGCTGGGCAACATTATCCAAACAAATAGGTAATAAAAAACAGAGGTGCAGTCCTATGGACCTTCTGTCTGCTATGTTGCTTGTTTCATGCCTGGAAACATGCAGGGTTGTGACCTGTTCTCCCCCACAGTGGAGGAAGGAATGCAGTCCGAGAGGGCAAAGCTCATGGAACCGGGTTTCAGGGTGGATATGGAATGGGCTTCTATGGAAGGTGGTGGGGGCCCATCAGTGATGGTGTTCAAGGAAAGATTGGACAACCACATGTTGGGGATTACATGAGCAGAGCTGGCTAGAGCTGGAGGTCAGACTAGATGGCCCAGGAGAACCCTTCTGACTCGCTCTGTTTCAAAATTCCTGTCATAGATTCCCATGCTCCATGATCATAACACACATGACAGGCTTCACAAATGATTTATGGACCAGAGCATGTAAGAATCCAGCTTACAGTGTATAGTCTATTTATTCATAAAAGGGAACTGAATGCACAGCTGTGACTTTAAAAAGTGACCTCAAGCTTGGCAACTCATTCAGAGTCTTCCTCTTTCCTTTCCCAAGCCTCTTCCAAAAGTTAGACACATTCCTTTCTTCTTTCTAGATGGAAAATGGTTGAAGTTCCATATTTTATCCTCTTCTACATACCCCATAATGTGCTGAACATAGGAAGGGTATCGGAATTCTCCTTTGCCGGCTCCTCTCTTCTTGACATCAGCACCTTCAAAAGAATGTAAATGCAAGCTATTAAATGGGGGGGGGGGATTCCATGGATCTCAAGGGCGCTTTCAGATGAGTGGCTCTGAGCACGAATAAATTATTGCGCTTCTCCCAGAAGCTACGTGCAGAATGGCAAATGAGTTACAGCCTATTCAGGCACTCCCCAGTATGGTTAAATTTAATGTGTGAAGAGAGCATTTTGGCTGCATGCCCCTGTGTTGTCACGTTCATCACTCCACTCATGGAAAACAACCGTCTGGAGATGAAAGCCTTCCATATCGGTGGAGACTGTCCATGCAGTTAGGGACTCCTCACAGCCAGTCCAGGAGGTATGCCATCAGCTGTACTCAGCTGAATACTGGACTTGTTTAATTTACATGCACAAAATGAAAGACCCACCAGCTCGCTGAGCTTCTAGAAGGAAAGCATTTCCATAATCCCAAAAGAACATTCCATGATCGGCCAGTTTGTTGATTGCAGCCACTTGCCTCCTGAGACTGAAAACATTTTAAGATGCATCATTACTCATTCTTGGCATCATCTAACAATTTACAGGCACCAGTGACAATAAGCTAGCACTTCAACTACACATTTAATTAATTTGAATTAGAGAATGATCTTATGGCCTCCTAGACAGCATATAGGGGGCCAGTGGATACTTCAGCTTCCCAGATCCAAGGTCAGGACAAAGACCAGAATCTGGAGCTGAGAATCCAAGCTCCAACCTCCCTTCAGAACCACCACAGAAAGAACTGGACTGGCTGCCTCTCTGTGGGCAGCAGAGGAGAGGGCGTGAAGGGTGAAAAGCAGAGAGCTCTCATATCCTGGCAGCACTGCAGCTTCCTTCTCTCCCCCTCTGAAGTGCCTCAGCCAGGTGACCTAAAGTGGCCATCAGGCTGAATGGAAGAGCAGGACTGTGGGCAGGTCGAGAGCACCACCAACACTGCTCTGCTCTGCACTAGATGCTTATGAGCCTGCCAAGCTGGGAACACTGAGGGTTCAATCAGTAAGACTACACCCTTCATGCGTTCTAAAACCCTCCCCAAAATCGCCCTGCTGAGCACACCCCTAGCCTCCCTTTCGTATGTGCACCAAGTTTCTGGGGTCTAAGTTGCATCGTCTTGAAGGTTTGGTGCCGATAGATGGACAGACCCGCACACAGTTTTGTTGCCACAGATTCACAGAGTGTTTTTCACTCCAGAAGGACCTTCAAAGTGGCTTCTTGGAAGTGGGGGCATCAAAATACAATGGACAAAATCAATGTATTAAAAAGTCAGTAAAGTATTAGCAATTAAACCAATAACAAAATCTTAAGCAGGATGACAATTAAAACCAAGACAAAAGCAGGAGGAAAAATCATTAACAAGTTGATCAAGCAGGGGGACAGCTTAGCTGATACAAAAGTCTTCACGAGACACTGAAAGGAAGGAAACCCCCCGAGTGGGTGCTGTCCCTTGTTCTTCCCAACTGTATCTCTGTACAACACAGAGCGTGGCTTCCCCTGAAGATCGCTGCTAATAGTCAGGACCACTTAAGGGCTGGCAGTCCATAAACCCATTTCTATTCCCAAAATGCAGCTATGACATAGGCTGACAGTAGAGCTGATGGGGAGTTGCACTGATTAAAAATGGGTCTTTATGTAGTGTTTAAAAATGGATATTTTAAAAGAGGGGTAGATGCCTATTTTTAAAGAACTACAGAGGAATGCAGATAAGCATAACTGAATCCTTCCTCCTCTCACAATTAATTATTTAAAAAGTGTGTATACACTGGTTGATATTGTAATCCTATACATATTTTGGCAGGAAGCAAAACTTTCATCATTCACCATGCAATCATGTTAGTTTGGATATACTAGGGATTGTAAACTTATTTTCTGTCTAAACACGCATAGGATGGGGCTTAAAAAATCCAAACAGTATACAAAGTAATCATCAGTTAAAACACAAGAAAAATATAAAAGGTCACTGCGATACAGTGGTTGGCTACAGGGATTTACTTTCCACCGACTGATGTCCAAACTCTCCCATTCACCACCCAACCCCACAGATGGATTCTGCACCATTCATGGCTGTTTATGGGAGGTCAAGATAATAGAAACATAGAAACAGAGCGAGTCAGAAGGGGCCTCCTGGGCCATCTAGTCTGACCCCCGGCTCCAGCCAGCTCCACTCACGACATGCCCTCCATGTGCATGTCCAGCCTATCCTTGAACACCCGCACCAATGGGGCCTCAACTACCTCTTGATAATTACCTCAACGATAATGTAGACCTCATGCTCACTGACTGTGTCTTCCATCTTTTCCTTTAACACATACAAACTATTAAGGAAACAAAATGGAATAGCTGCACAATGCCCTCCAGTTGCTGGTATTAGGAGTCCTCCACCTGGGTGCTTCCAACAAGTTAAGAAGATGAAGGATTTGTATCACCAAGGTGAAGGATGCAGCTTTAAGCATATCAGACTGCAAAGCGCATCATTTAGCAAGTGCAAGTTGTATAAAGGGTCTTGCGATAAGCTTTGAGTATTGGAGTTTGTCATTGGATTATGTTGCTAATGAAGAGAAGTTAATTCAGACCACAACAGAATGTAGACTCCATTGTATGAATGTATGAAGCTCATTTTAAAAATCACCCTTCTCTGCCCCCTTGCCAAAAACAAATCCTTAACTTTAAAAAGACAGTATATACAGAAGGCAAATGAACACTGCCAGAGATATCAGAGCTAGAGTTTCATCCAACCTATAAAACTTGTGAAAATGATTGAAATACCTCTCTTGCACTAGAGACTGAAATTTTATAGGATTGCTGGACATGAGCTCGTTAGCCTCCTTAAAGTTCAGCTGCACTGGGTAATAGCCTCCATTAAATGGATTGTGACAAGATGTTTGGTCAGACCCCAAATCAGCTAAAAGTTCTCCAGTAGTAATGAATTCATCGACGAGTCTTTCCCTGCATATGAAAAAGCAGACAAGTATAGAATCTCTTGAGCAAAATATAGTGGAGAAAAGGGATTTCAGGAGTGTTTAGTCAGTATGCATTTTGTAAAGTCCCCTTATATGGAAAAATACGTCCAATGTATCCATCATGAGTAAAACTCACTAATTTAAATGACACATGCTTTGCATGCATTAAAATCAATGAGACTATGCCAGCTTCCCTCTCCAAAGGAGTAGAAATTGGAGGGGAGGGGGCAAGATTCGTATTGAGAATGTAGAATTGAAAGGAAAATTTAACCATTCCCCAGTGGTGTGGTCCCAATCCTGACCACACAGACAAACAATTCGTTTTTATGTTTTACAACAACACAGATTAAAAGCAGCCACACATTCAAGCTGCATTCATATACAGGTTTACCTGGGAGGAAGCCTCACTCAACGCAACAGGGTTTATTTCTGAGTAAGCAGGCCTAGGATGATGCTGTCAAACAAACTTCTAGTGTGGCTCCAAAAGGACTTCATTTCATTAAGAAAAATCACAGCATCCCTTGTTTCATGATTCAGGGGACATTTGTTAACATTTCAATGTGGTTTTTCATAGCTATATGCCAGCTAGTGGGGAGGTGCAAATTGCGCAGGTGAGCAGGCCAGCAGTGGAGGAAGGAGGAGCTGGTGAGGAGCAGCTTCTCAGCAGCGGTGCCAGCACCTTCCCAGTCTGATGGGCTAGGCAGCACTCTAACTCCTGGCTCTTTCCTTTGTTCTCCCTCCGGTTCAAGCTGCAGCTCCTAAAGTGAGCCTCCCGCAAGGCTGCTGCACAGCAGTTGCTACTGTACCCATGTTGTCTTGCAGGGCAAAGGCAACCACCACTTAATGGGCCTGGGAAGGTGTTTTACCTGCATTCCAGTTGGCACAGGCAGTGCAGGGTTGTTTGGTTGGCTTTTGCCATGCCCACTGCCATTCCATTGGAAATGATCTGATCTGGAGCGCCAGTGAGGTATCAGCCGGGACCCAGGCAGTGGAACTGGGCTCCCTGCTCCCCCACAGCAGAAGTTCCGGTACGGGCCCTTGTGGACAGGACGGCAGGATCAGCTCAGCACGGGCGCTGCAAGATGGCCGTGCCCAGGCTCTTGTAAAGAGGCTCAGCTTGAAGTCTGTGCCCCAGTGACCTCTGGCCCTGCCACACGCCACCGGACTCCAGGCACCTAGCCTAGGAAAGGGGAATCAGAGAGCAGGTGGGCTGGATGCAGGCTCCATGCCACTGCCAAGTCTATCCAAGGGGAAGTCGGGAAGGTTTTGGCCGATTCATTATCTCGGTTAAGTCACCCAACCTGTTCCTTTCTCTTCACCTCCTGGACAGAAGTGCAGTTTCTAAAAATGCTGTTCCCACATCATCTATCCATCCATCTAGTGCATTTGTATGCCGCCCCATAGCCAAAGGCTCTGGGGACGGCTTACATAAAATACAATATAAAATACAAATAAAAACAATAACGAACCAAAACTATAAACAAATAGAATTAAAATACAATATAAATACAACAAATACATAGAACAGGAGGAAATAAACACAATAAACCAATTAACAACAACCAATGAAACAATAAGCCAGCAGCAAGCCAAGTCCAATCTGAAGTCAAATAGTAAATAAAAAGGCCCTTTTCCTTGCCAACTCCCCCCTCTCCTCATTTGGGGAGGGTTCAGGAAGGAGGGCTTCCATGAATGACCTGAGTGGTCTGGGAGGGTTGTATGCAGATAAGCGTTCCTTTAGGTATCCTTTAGGCACATAAGCAGGATAGATGCCATTTTTGAAGAGATGTCACCTTCTGGATGCTTGATAAATCACCCCCTGCCCTGCACTGCAGAGTATTACACACAAATCTGTCAAGATCACAGATTGGTCAGCATTTACTTACCAAAGATCTACCACATTCCCATGATATCCCAAACTAAGAGGCATTTTTTCCTTCTTTGCTTCTCTGTGTAAAAGACAAAAAGAACTCCATGTAAAGAATCCTGCATCATCCTAATTTCAGCTTTAGAAGGTGTGAGAGAATTTTGCTCAGAATCAAACGTTCAGCTAAACATTTTCAAGTGAGAATTTCTAGAAATGCCATATATGTCCTGGGGCTATAGAGTGCAATCTAAGTATTGTATCTAATTGATTGCTCCAAACCTGAGTTCTAAATGGTCAGACCCGGGTACGGTACTGAATCTGCCTTGGTCGCCCTGTATGATGACCTGTGCAGGGAGAAGGACAGGGGGAGTGCGTCCCTGTTGGTTCTGCTGGACCTCTCAGCGGCTTTCGATACCATCGACCATGGTATCCTTCTGGATAGGCTTGCGGGATTGGGGGTTGGAGGCACTGCTTTGCAGTGGTTCCGCTCCTATCTCAATGGCCGGTTCCAGAAGGTGGTGCTGGGGGACTATGGCTCTGCGCCATGGCAGCTATGCCATGGAGTACCGCAGGGGTCCATTTTGTCCCCTTTGCTGTTCAACATATACATGAAACCACTGGGAGAGGTCATCAGGAGGTGTGGGCTGCGGAACCATCAGTACGCTGATGATACCCAGCTCTACCTCTCGTTTTCCACCAATCCAGGTGAGGCAGTGGCTGTGCTGAACCGGTGCCTGGCCGAGGTAATGGGCTGGATGAGGGCCAATAAACTGAAGCTCAATCCAGACAAGACGGAGGTCCTGTTGGTTGGTGGATCAGGCTTCGGAGAGGGTGAATTGAACCTTGTCCTGAATGGGGTTGCACTCCCTCTTAGGGACAAGGTCCGCAGCTTGGGAGTGCTCCTCGACCCAGAGCTTTCACTGGAAGCTCAGGTAACAGCAGTGGCGAGGAGCGCTTTCCTCCAGCTTCGGCTAATTCATCAGCTGCGCCCCTATCTGGAGAATGACTGCCTTGCGACAGTGACACATGCGTTGGTGACTTCCCGTCTGGACTTCTGTAACGCGCTCTACGTGGGGCTACCCTTGAAGACGGTCCGGATACTTCAATTGGTCCAAAATAGAGCTGCCAGGCTGCTGACGGGGACTGGACGTTATGTTCACATGACTCCAGTTCTCCGTCAGCTTCACTGGCTTCCCATTGAAGTCCGGGCCCAATTCAAGGTGTTGGTAATGACCTATAAAGCCCTAAACGGCTTGGGTCCTGGTTACCTGAAGGAGCGCTTACATCCTTATATGCCCAGCCGCCCCCTGAGATCGGCGGGAGAGGCCCTTCTCCGGGAGCCCTCCATGGAAGAAGTTAGGAGGGTGGTTACTCGGAGGAGGGCTTTCTCAGCGGTGGCGCCTAAGTTATGGAATGCGCTCCCCAGAGAGGTCCGCCTGGCGCCGTCGTTATTTGTTTTTCGGCGCCAGGCGAAGACCTTTTTATTTAAGTAGTATTTTAAATGTTAATATTATTGAATTTTATTTGGCCAGGGCGGCTTGTTTTATAGTGTATGTTTTATATTATATATTTGTATTTTATTGGATATATTTTAAAATGTTATTTTAATCTTTTTGTTGTAAGCCGCCCCGAGGCTTCGGCGAATGGGGCGGCATAAAAATGTTTTAATAAATAAATAAATAAATAATAAATGGTGAACATCTCCTGACATGCTATATTCCCCTTCTCTTCCTCTAACTCCTCAGCTTCTCCCAACTAGAAAAATCAGAAAGGATCTAGAGGGCAACAAAAATGATCCAGGGTCTGGAAACACTGCCCTCTGAGGAGAGACTGAGAAAATTGGGCTTGTTCATCCTGGAGAAAAGGGGGACATGATATCCTTCCTTAAGTACCTCAAAGGCTGTCAGAGAGGAAAGTCAAGATCTCTTCCCACTGATACCAGAGTGTAGGACACAGAATAATCAATTCAAGCTGCGACAACCCAGTTTCAGGATAGACATCAGGAAAAGCTTCCTTACTGTCAGAGCAATACGACAGTGGAACCAGCTGCCCAGAGAGGTGGTGGGCTCTCCCCCACTGGAGACATTCTAGAGAGAGGTAGCCACCCGAGTGGGATGGTGTAAACTGGTGTCCTGCATTGGACCCAACGGCCTTCTTGGCCCCTTCATTCTCTACTGTTCTATGACTCTCTAGATGCCGTTGGCTAATTGTCTCTGATATCAACGTATGCAGATCAGCCACCACAGACTTGGTGTGCAACATTGTGGGGATGCCTGAGACCCTCTGACAATTAGGGGCAGCCTATGCAGGTGGCGCAGTGGTTTAAACCGCTGTGCTGCTGGGCTGGTTGATCGAAAGGTCGCCGGTTCGAATCTGCACAACGGAGTGAATTCCCATTGCTCCGCCCCAGCTCCTGCCAACCTTGCAGTTCGAAAGCATGCAAATGCAAGTAGGTAAAAAGGTACCACTTCGGTGGGAAGGTGACAGCGTTCTGTGTACCTCGGTGTTTAGTCATGCCGGCCACATGACCACGGCGACTGTCTGGGACAAACGCTGCCTCCCTCGGCTAGGAAACGGAGATGAGCACCACCCCCCAGAGTCAGGCGTGGCTGGACTTAATGTCAAGGGGAAACCTTTACCTTTACTTTACCCTTATGCAGGGCAGGAGAAGCATGGGGAGGATGGTCACCTTCACTCTCTCCTGCCCTGCAAAGAAGCCAGCAGTCTAACTGTGGCACTTCAGAGTGTGGGGAAGGAGGCTGAGGAACCTCCAGGAAATATTGTACCTTAGCAGTGACTTCTCCTCTCCTCCTTAGCCCGAGGGAACACCCCTAAGCACCTTCTCCCAGCTTGCAAAAGCAGCCTCGGAGAAGCATCCCGTGCAGTTCTTTCAACCCCAGCTGTGCATGTGTGTGTGTGTGGGGAGCATGCACTCCAAGCATGGAGAGTCAGCTCCAGCATCGCAGCAGCTTTCCAGCATCGGAGCTGAGATTCCAAAAAGCTCTATGGCTGTCCAGAGGCCATCCAGCGGGCACAGGATTATGCTGCAGGCTGTTGAGATGCAAGAGCCTGGCCGACTGGGAGCTGAGTAGCTGAATACTAAGGAGATTTTGGGAGTCCTTAAAATGCCAAACTCGGGAACAATTTTTATTAACAAATTAAACTACACAAAAATGGACAAGACATCATCAGCTTTTGGGTGACATCTGGCTAATGTCAATCAGGAGGCAGGGCGGAGTGTAGAATGGGAAAGGTTTTCATGGGGAGATTCCAACAGAAGCAGGCAGACAGGCGGCCTCCTGCTAGTCCCAAAGCATCCATTTATTCATGTCTACGGCGTGAGCAGGTTCTTTACATGGCGGGAACATACCTGGATATGTGCACCCTGGCCGTGCCAAGTCAGATGTGCCTCTTCTACAGTCCAGTGGGAAACCTGCTTCAAAGAACAGGGCCCACCCCAGGCCTTCCCAATGACAAAGACTCGGACTGTGAACTGTTTTCTGTCTTCCACACACATTTCTCAACATCTGATAGGAGTAGCAGATGTCAGGAGGTGCAGAGAGGTGCACCCCCAGCAGCGCTGCTTGTTTTGATGATGAGCACTGCCGCACTCTCGCTCCCTCCTGTGAAATGCAGGGTCAGGTGCTAGAAGTGCGCTGAGTGAGGCAGGTCGCCTGCTCCTGCCTTTCTTCCACATCGCAGAAAGCACTTCTGGAAACGCCTTTGGGGCATCGCGTTAACAAGCGAGGCAGTGAAGAACCTACTTTTGAGCCATACCTGAGCCGATGAATGCAGTGGTCCAGACTTTTTGTGATTTCCATCAACCATCCCTGTTGGTGACGTTTTAAAAGGGCAGCTTCATCAACCTTAGACATTAGATTTAAAAGATCAGTGAGCTCTGGACTTTGGCACATTTTGCCTTCCTTCTGAGAAGTCTGACTGGCACTGAATAGCTTTGAAGCCTAGTTCTGGATAGGCAACGTAGCGTTGCTTGGCAAGGATATTCTACTAGAGCAAATGCAGAAACAAGATGCTCTTCACATCATCTGTGGTAAAATTACACGGGTCACCAAAATCCTTTCATCGCCCAGTTTACTAGCCTAGCTATAAAGGCCTGTTCCACATGAGAACTTTTGGGCCCTTTAGGAAAATATTTTATTGAGTGAGCAAGACATGGTGAATCTGTCAACCAGCACATTGCTTGAATTACAGCCTACCTGACAACATTCACATTTGGCAAAGCAACTCCCCATTAGCAAATGCTTTATTAGTCTTGGAAGTGTCTTTTTTAAAGATCGGTTTTTGATTTAAACATATGGAAGCTTTCCAACCTAGGGTTGGAATGGAAACATTAGCATCCAGTTTCTTAAGACCACAATTCACAACAGATCTAAATATATTATAATAATGCAATCTTGTACTCGAGAGCAAATAGCCAGGGTTGTAGCTCAAGAGTACAATCCTAGATAGTGAACTGAGTAAGTCTCACTGCTGAGTAAGCATGCATGGGATTGTGCTGCTTTAAGCCAGCCTTCCCCAGTCTTGTGCCTTCCACAGGTTTTGGACATGAACTCTCTTCAGCCCCAGACAGCATCACCAGTGGTCAGGAGATCTGGTGCAAAACACCTGGAGGGCAACAGACAGGAGGAGGCTGCTTCAAATTCTCTTAACTCTTTGGATTGAGGCCTAAATGTTCTATATAACTTCCTACAGCTGTGAGGGGGATTCACAGCCATTGGGGTGGGGAAGTATGTTGAATTCTTCTAAGTGTCACCCCATGAAAGTGATTCATGATAGAAGGAAGTCCTCCTTCACACAGCACATAGTTAAACTATGGAATCCACCGCCCCAGGAAGTAGTGATGGCCACAAATTTGGATAGGGAATTGAGCACATTCATGGAGGAGGAGGCTATCAATGGCTATTAGCAGTGTGCTACCTCTGTTTTCTGAGGAGGCATGGATGCATGGTCCAATTGCTGAGGAGCCTGGCCAGCTGGAACTTTTGCACCCATCCTCCTTGAGGGATCCTGCGTTTGCCACCATGTGAAGGAAGTGCTGGACTGGACAGACCTATGGGCTATGGGGCGGCATACAAACGTAATCAATGAAATTTGGCATGGCTTTTCTTATGAGCTCAGGTTGTGATGCCCTGATGTGGCCATGAGTTGGTGGTTTGCATTCAGAAGGTCTAACAGTCAATTCCTGACATCTCCATGTAGGGCTGGAAAAATTCATGCTTGAAACTCTGAAGTACCAAACTAAAAGCACAGCAGCACCCCATCGGAGGGCACAGGAACACAGACATTGAGATCATGGGTCCATCTAGCCCAGAACTGTTGACATGGAGTGGCGGTGGCTCTCCGGGTGCATATGATCCCTCTGCACCACGGGAGTAATAGCCTGGCTCCACTAGGAGAAAGGCACGGCCAATCCGGGTGGCAGAGGGCACCCAGTCCCGCACACACATGCAATTTCCAAATGGGTGTGCATCCAGAGCGACTGCCCCCAAACCCTGCGCAGTCTTACCTCGGCAATAACTCCCACGCAGCCAGCAATGACTGCAGCCTTGGCCTGAGCCCCACTCATCCCCCCGAGGCCAGATGTGACAAAGACTTTTCCGGACAGATCCTCCACTCCCAGGTAGCGACGTCCCGCATTAAGCACTGTTAACTAAACAGCGTAGAAGGAGAGGGCAGTTACCACAGGTGGAGCCTCCCTTCCCTCTCACACACAGAGGGTGATTTATCAAAGGCAATATTCCTATCACATCTACACTGATCTGTCCTTGAAGCCTACAATGACGCATCCAACCATGTGTGTAGTTTGAGGAGTGAATGCCTAGAGCTTGAAGTAAAAGTGAGGAGACCTCATCGTCTTCTGGCCGGTCACTCTGGTTAAGAAGCTCTCCTGGTCTGAAAGGGAAAAGCGACGAGTGCAGGGCTCTACATAGCCAGCAAGCTTTATTTTACTGGGTTAAGTGCAGTGGGTTCAACCTGGACTGAAACTCCCGTGTTGGAGAGACGGGAGCCCTAATCTAGAGTACACAAAAGGAAAAAAGTATGAAACTGCTAGATTTAGATTTAAGTAATACCTGCTTTGGCCCTGAGCTTTAGCACAAGGGTAGTATCCAAGATTAGTCCTACACAGAGTAGACTCACTGAAATAAATGAGATGTGTGTTAGTCCTAACAACTAACCTAAGTACCGTTTGTTTCAAACAGGTCTACTCTATGTAGAACCGACCCTGGCCACTACTGTGAGGATCCGTGGCCCTGACCAACCTGGGCTGCCTTCTTAAGGCTGCCCGTGCTTGTGCCAGAGACTCAGCTCACACGCGATGGTGGCCGTGTGCCGCCCCCGTGTGCGGCCTTCCCCTGCTTTTCCAGCATACTCAGAATCACTTCTAGGACTGGGCCTCCGTGAGAGTGCAGGTGCGCAGCTTTTACCACACTCACTGTTTTCTGGACTGGGAAGGCCATCTTTATGAGAAATTAAAATAACCCTTCCAAGCCAGAAATTTGTGGCACTGATTTCTTTCTTGTCAGCTGGCGCTACCCAGTTCACTTCCAGAACTGTTGCGAAGGGGCCAAGTGTCATTCTGTCTTTGAGGCTAGACAGACCTGGAGAGTTTCCGTATGGAGAGAGTGCTATGGATCCCCATACAGACTGCTCTTCTGAGCAGCTTGGCGAGGGGTCAGGGTACAAATGTCTCAGCGGAGGAAAACGTATTTCGATGGAGGGATCCAGTCATTGTTCCAGGTGTTCTCTCCTTCCCGCTCTCCCTCCAAAGGAGGTGAATAATTCTGTGTGTTGGTAGCCACAGAGAGGGCCAATCCAGCCTGATGTAGAGCTATAATAGAGTCACCTGCCTCCAATTCAACCACGTTTGAAGGAGGCAGGTCCAAATTAGGGCATCATTCAAAGATACAGCAGGCAGGAGTACTTTGGGCTCATAGGAGCCTCTATTATCTAATTATTTCTTTACCACAATGTGGCAGAGCACTGGAGAATGAATGTATTTTAAGTCCCTTCTCAGTGCTTTAGAACTGAGTCATTACATCCTGCCTTTACCAAAGCAGTCCATCAGATCTGCAGTTGAATTTGCATTTTTAGTGAGATGTGAACTGATGACCCCTGTTTCACAATGGATCTATTCTGACAGATACCATGTTCCTACCACAGTTCCGTGGACTATTCCTTGTGGTCCGATGTAGCAGTAGCTCCCTGCTGTCATCTGTCCATACCTATCAAAACCAATGGAAGCAACAAAGTTTTCACAGTTCTGGATGGCATTATGTGGAACTCCATTTCCCAATGTGCCACTACATTGCTTTGTTAGCCTTGCTCAGCCTTCCCCAATTTGGTGTCTTCCAGATATTGAACTCTGCCACCTATCATCCTCATTGGCCCGGCTAGCTGGGGCTGGTGGGACTGTAGTCCAGCAGATCTAGAGAACAACAGGTTGGGAAAAGCTTGCCTACTCATGCAAGGCCTCCCAGTTAGTTAAACCCTTTGAAACAGTTCTATACCTCTCTCCTTCTGGCTTCTTACAGTGCAGACCTAGACTTGTCTTCTCAAAGTGCACTGCGTTCTGTAGGGCTTACTCCCAAGGAAGGAGGTACAGCACTGCAACCTTAGTCTATATTCTTATGCATGTACAGAAATTCGATGACTCATGTAGATCTACCTGTTCCTTAAAGGTAAACTGGACAATTGATAACTTACATTGTAACCCCCATTGCAAACATTCGTTCATATTCATCTCTGGAGGAATAGTTGGGAATTACCTTTAAAAAAAACAAAAGAAAAAACACCAATGGTGGGGTGAGAAGGAAAGGGACAAAAGAAAGAGATCTCTGTATAATGCTACCATCGCTCCAACTTAATCCAATTAACCCATCTGAAGAGCAAAGGAGATCCATTTCCAGTTATAGATAATACATAAAATATGGGCCTGTTATAATGACGCCCCTTAAGGATATGCAGGAACCTCTAGATATTTTCTCTAGTATCTGCAAGGCAAGAGAGGCTGTTGGCTCAAGAATGAGATACCCAAGGAACCATGGCACAGGTGCAATTAGAATGCCCTATTCTGACAAAATTCAGTGCTAGAGGGCGGCAGCTGGAGACGTAAATAGGGCTTCCTATAGACTTCTGGGTGGCCACTGTGAAAACAGATCATCCACCTTTGGTCTGAAGTAGAGATGCATGATTCTGTCAATTTTGGTTTCATTCTGTTTCTCATCCTGCTCATGCCGTTCCTCCTTTCTGCGCAAGCCCTGAATCCTCGGTGCTCAACTTGTAATGGCCACCCACCCCGCTGCCCTGAAAATTAAGGGAAGTGTGGTCAGACAAGGAAAGGCTCAAGCCAGCAGAAAGGGGAACCTTGGCGCAGAGACCCTCACCCCACATTTTAACTCTTTGGGAAGGGGATAGCTACTGCTGCTCCCAGTGGGTTTCGCGTTAAATCACCAGAAAGGAAGTGCTGAAGGATCATCACCAACCCACACAGGGCCAGTGCGGTAAAGCAGAGGAAGCACTGTGGGAAGGATACACGATAGCAAAGGGAGAGCAAGACATCAGTAGCATTTACCATGCCGTTGGTGATGACTAATCGAGGAGCATTCCGATGGCTAGGGAAGAGCCCCAAAGGATGTCCACTGTACATGACCAATGTCTGATCTTCGGTCATCTCACACAAATAGTGCATCACCAGCCAGAACTGGAGGAGAATGGGACAGAAAAGTGGCAGCCTTGGTTTCCTTCGTACATCAATGAGCATTCTCAGGCTTTCAAGGGCAACAGTAGGTCAAAATTGGGTGGCTACCAAATTCCTATAAATAGCAAAGGGATGATTTACAATAATGAATTGGCAAGTGGGAAGGGAATGATGAATATTCTTCCCAAAGTCTTTGGCTCTGAAACTGTTTCACTCCAGCCATTTTTTCTTCATGGTGCAGCTTGGAAGCTTGAAGTAATTCATACAGGGCAGAAAACTGCTTTAAGATGAAGTGATTTTGGAGAAATGGGTGACCATCCCCTCCATGCATCCATGTTGCAGTTTCAGTTGCCTCTCCTACTAACCTGGGACAACTACATTCTAATAAATAGATTGTGTTGGTCTGATATTGAGCACTATCCCTAAATTTCTACTTTTAAAAGCAATGCTGCAGGCAACATGAATGCAGCTTTATGCATAACATTACACTTAATCTTTTTAAGTATTTTTAAAGGAAGCCTCTTAGCAGGAAATGCATAAATGATAGCAGGACTAAATTATCAGATGCCCTTTCTGTACCATGTCTGGCAGTCCCTGTGCTATTGAAATTTAAGAAATGTGTAGGACATGAGAAGTGCTAGGAAATAGACTGATAGTCTATGAAGCTGCTGCAAGACGGGCATCTGGGCCTCCCTGCCTCCATCCCTGGCCAATACTTTGGCTGCGTCATTCTGAAACAAATGACACTTCCAAGCGCTCTTCCACACCAGCCCCAGCTGGAGCATTTACAGTAGCCCCCAAGAACGTCTCATCCAATTCCACTGAGACCTGGGTTCAGCTTCCCACATAAATTGCCACCTTGGGCACCTTAATCTACACTATTTACAGAAATGCTATAATAACCTATGTTTATTCATGCACAACAGCCCTCCAGGCTTATTAATCCAGAAAAGAGATGAACACATACAGAGGAAGTCCCATCTCAATTTCTGCGGTTCAAAGATGGCCCAAGCCTTTCTGTTAAAGCGCCAGAGAAATTTATATCCCAAGATAAAACATGACTTGACGCTGTTCAGTAATTCACTTAGAAAAAAGGAAGGGAAAAAAGGAAGGGAAAACACAGTTAACACACCAGAAATAACATTTTGTGGCATAGTTATAGTCAAACGTCTCTTTCAAGTCTTTTTTCATGACACCAGACACTGAGAACAAACTGTCCTTATCACAACTGAATAAAATCATGCATCTAACTGCTATTCTTAAGTATCCGGTGACAAAGAAGTATTGTTTGCTTTGCTGTGAAACTCTTGTTAAATATCGTGGTCATATCTAAGTTGGACAAGGAAGCTGGAGCAAAGGAAGAGATAGCAAGTTTCCAAATGTTGTGTTGTCTGTATTTCACTCTGCGGCCCCAGGCACATGCCTTGAAGAATGTTAGGGACACTAGATACAAAAGCAAGTTCTGCATATATCTTTTAGACGCAAAGTGGCTATTTCAAGGAAGAAAGCTTGAAAGCTGTGATGGCTCCACTGTGGCTGGGAACCCAGGAGTTCTAATTCCTGACGGGGTAGAGAATTATCGTGCTTATTTAATGATGAGTCAGGAGCATTCTGTGCTTGCTTAAGGGCACACCTACCTGCTTTATTTTTCAATTTGTTTTAAAGCATGCTAAAACCAGGGGAATTAGAATCTTAAAATAAGGAGGTTGGAAAGGGCTCTGTAGGCCATTTGTTCCACACCTTGCTTGAGGCAGGCAGTCCAGCCTATCTCCATTTGTTCCACAGTAGAGCATCTCTCACCTTCAAGATCTCCGAATGGTCAACTGAATTCTACAAGTCTATAATTTACACCTATTTGATCTAGTGCCGCCTTCTGGGGCACCAGAAAACAGTCTTTGCTCTCTTCCAAGTTACTGTCCTTCCTGAATTCTATCTTGTCAGCCCTCAGCTTTCCCTTCTCCAGATTAAGTTGTGGACACACGTTTTCAGCCTAGGTGCATCTCCTTGCTAGTGCATCCCCCACATACACACCCTCACAGAAGTGAATTGCCAAGGATCCATCCACTCCTTGGGACGAGACCATTTGCTGGCACCGAGAGAAAGAGACGTAGCCCTGTGGATCAGGACCAGGGCTCTCAAGAGCATGAGGAAAACAGGCTGTCCCAAGGACCTCAGCCTTGGTCTTTGCAGGACCCTCTCTGGGCAAACTGTTTAAGAGCATCTCTTGCCATATGCCAGCCTGCAAGTAAATCAGCAGAATGGCAGTGCTGCTTACTCATCTTGAGTTGACGCAGTGGCAGGGACGACTCCAACCTCCCACTTAAAAGGGAAGCCCTGAACCTTTCCCAACCAAGTGACCTTCCCAACAGCCCCACAGCTGCCTCTGCACATCCACCCCACTGCAATTACCTCCGGTTACTGGTCCATCTAGGCCCAGTATAGTTCTGGCCTGTGAGATCATGCATTTATACCAAAGTGCTGCAGAAGTGAAACTGTTTCCTCTGATTCACGAGGCCTGGGCCTTCTGGGCCTTTTGACTTGCTTCTCATCAAAGAAAGTAACAGACCCACGCCTTTCCTCATCGCTACTCTTGGAAGTCTCCCACAGTGCAGTGCTCAAGTTTGGGAAGGGGGACTTATTTCCAATTTTTGTCAAACCAGAGGCCCTGTTTTGTAGCCTTCTAGAAGCAGGACTCAAGGAGCAAACGAGGCTGGTCCTCATCCTCTCCTCTGCTTTTCCCCTCCTCTCCCCTGGGTAAGTCAAGAACTGGATTGCTGGTCTGCTTTTTATTTTAACCACAAATCTCCACAGCCCACATTATTCAGCCAGTGAGAGTCAGCACACCTGAACAAACTTTGCCTGAGCAGGATGGGTATCCAAAAAGTGACACATAAGTAGGGTCTGGCTTCCCACACAATTCGTGGGAGCAAGTATATCAACAGCAGCATACCTGAGCCCAGTTGCTGAAGACTTGGCCATTTCCTCCATAAGTTATAAGTTCCTGGGGAAACTGCAAACACAAATTGTAAAATGATACTGGAAATGGCTCTGCAGTAGTTCTGTTACAGCATGTCTTACTTTGTGTCTCAAAACCCAGAAAAACCTATGTTCTCGGTATATCTTATTTTCTGTTGCAAACCTGAGGAGCTACAAGCTCTTCTTGACTAATGATATTTAAGTAGAGGTTGGATGGGGCATTGTAGTGGAAAGATGCCTGCACTGAGCAAGGGGCTGGATGTCTTCCAATATCACATCCAACTGTAAGGGCCAAAACAGTCACGATGGTTAAATAACCCTTGCATAACCCTACAATTAACCACAGGCCATGCAAGGGTTGTTTATACACCATGACAACCATCAGTCAGAAGCATCATATTCATAATGACAGCCCATCATATCTCACAGCTCCTTGAGGGTAAATCAATCATTGATGGGCTGTCACGTAGTATAAATCAGATCAATATCAAACACTGAAAAAATATCTTCCATCCCCATTCCACATAAGGGACATTGAAGAAAGACCTTTCGCAACGAAGGGGCTGAAATATACTGTATGTCTGAGGCCATGATGAATTAAGCTTTAGAGGTGTGTTCTCAATTTAAGTCAGTGAATGCATCTCACCACAGCAGCCCATGGTTAAACTGTATCACACTGTGGACTAATTTGCATGTCATGAAAAACCGTGTTGAAAGCAAGCCGTTGTAGGTTGGTTAATTCCTTGCTAAGCCACCCTGCTGCCAACAGATAATCAGGCACTCGCTAGCTTGCCATGGTTTGCATCCCCTTTTGTCCTTCCACCCACTCCCTGCACCCATCCTGAGGCCTTTGCCGTACGTCCTAAAGTATACTTTGAGGCTTGCATGTTCACTGCACCACCAGAGTGTCTCTCATTCAGTGCAGTGTAAAAGTGAGCTTCTCTCTCCATTTCAGACCAGTCCTGGAAGAACTGAAATGTGATGATTCACAAAGACCAACATTGCCATTGACATGTGAACTGGATTCCTTCCCAAGACTAAACTTGCACTGAATTTTCATTACCTGGGCCACTTCAGGATCAAGATTATTCATAATCATGTGCATGATTGCAGCGGCGTGTTTGGTTTTGCAAGGATATTCATGGATGGGATAAGCTCTGCAGTTAAAAGGAATAGGTAAGGGAATGAAATAATTATTTTTAACCATTTTACAATTGCATATTTGGATGTATCACAAATGAAAAGAAAAACCACAATGAAAATAAAGCACTTGACCAAATGGTCAGGTCAGTCAGAGTACAATCCTATGGCCTCTCAATACTGGCTGGGGTGCCATAGGGTAGGTCAGAGCCCCACTTCTAAACTTAGAAAAACTCGGTCTGCCTCTGCCCTCCCTCCATCCTTGCAGTCAGCTCGGTTCTTTCCAGACTGGCTGGGCTCCAGAGATGGAAAACCATCATCCTCCGACAAATCCTCACACCGCCTCAGCCTCTCTTCCCTGCTTGGAGGGGAAAAACATTTAGATGGCCAAAATTTGTCATCTAACTGTTTGGGAGGCGAGAGGAGTGCAGATATAACTGCACCTTCCATTGGATACCTGTTGTGCTCCAAGTTCAGAGCGTTCCGGCAGGTACATTGGATGGGACCCTTAGGACTGCATCAGTACAGACACTTACACAGAAGTAACTTGAACTCAACTGTTATGTATGAGTAGACATGCGTAAGATTGCACTGTAGGTCATTTTTTGGTAGAAATCATTCTAATCATGTGATTAACAAATTCACACATTTTTCAGTATTCCAGGAGTTCTGGTATTCCCATCAAAATCCATTCCCACTGCATAAACTTATCCAGTATTAAAGACCTTTTTATCCCTAGGATTCATAGAGGTGAAGGATGTGAGCTTCAGTGGTTGTGCTTATGAATCCCAACAGACTGGACCAAAAATTGTTTTAGTTGCCTGTGGATTGTAAATAGCCAGATTCCTTCAGCATAAGGAAGCCAGGCAGAGATTCTTAGGACAGGACAACTAGGGTGGCCATCTAAGATAAACAAGGAAGAACAAACCAATATGCATATGCATGTTACCAATATGATCCTGCATGTTTAGACAGGGAAAAAATGGCCTACGACTGCACAGCTGATTGGGGTATGCTGAGAGCTGTAGGCCATTTTTGGTAAGCATGTGTAGCAAATGGACTTATCCCCATGGACACGAAGGCATTAAATACAAATATTAAATATACACGTTTGTCGTCAGAGGCTGGCCTCAGTGGAGCCTGTTCCAAAGCTGGGGGAACACCACTGAGAACACTTTCCTCCTTGTGGCCTCCAGCTGAGCCTTGGTGGTGGCAGTGGGGCAGGCCCCAGATTCTGAGCGCACTGTCCAGGCCGACTGAAAGTGAGAGAGGTGCTTCATCAAGTATTACAGTCCCAAGCTGCAGACATCAAAACCAGGACTCTGAATGGGGCTTGGAAGCATTTAGGCAACCAAGGCAAGTAATAGATGTAGCAACACAACCCTGGTTTCCAGAAACCCTGGGGAACAAACCAAGGTTAACACAACCTGGGTGTGGAGAAAATAAGTTGGAGCTCTCTAATAAGTTCGCAATGGGAGACACAGAAATCATCAGGTTTTGGCCTAGGACAATCTTCCCTGTCCTGGTGCCTCCAGATATTTTCAACTGCAGTTTCTAGGATGACTGAGCAGCATCTTTGGTGTGCAGATTTAAATTACCCCCAGACTGCAGATAAGCACATGTAAGTTCACCAGTGGGTCAGATTACCTGCCTGTCTGCATAGTGCCTCACTTGTTTTGGCTCCCACCTACCACCTTTTTGGTGACATCACCCAGTTGGGCCATGATGATGCCCCCTGACTGTCCACTAGCTCCATCCAGGGCCCATGTCAAAGGTAGGCATGATTGGACACTTCCCAAGGGACCACGCCTCAAGGGTGGGGGGGCACTGAGAAGAGCTCCTGGACATGTTCTTCCTCTCCACTTTCATGGCAACCTGCTTGCTGGCCTGCCTCTTGCTCAGGCCCAGAGCATGGTGGTGGTGAGAGGAGGACCAGGAGATGCTCCTGCTGACTGGCTCCCTGGCTCTGTGCCTGTCGGGCATGCAAACAGGAGCAGCGATGGCAAGAGGAGCAACAGCAGCTTGTAACAGCACCAATGAGAAGGTAGAGTGGGGAAGGAGGCCCACAGAGGATGCCTTGGCCAAGGACCCCCAAAGCCTGCAGCCAGTACTGGTTCACCCCTTCCCAAACCAAGACGACTTAATCTCACTCTTAGCACGGGACTGGCTGTTCGAAGCATGCCATCCCCAAGCCCTTACCGCATCTTCATCTGGGGACAGAACCTGTACATGTAAATATGTCCGTAGAGCTTCAGTTCTTTGGCAAATTCCGGTGCTAGTATGCCATGCAAGTTGGGTGGAAAATATCGCAGAGCATTCTTCAAAGCCAGCTGCCAAGATAGAAAGGGTGGAGGAAAGGGGGGAGCAACAGTAAACTTAAAAGGTGATTAAGTGGGAGGTTATCACACAGTTAATTAATCATATGCATTTTATCAGCCACAGTGGGAAATGTGCCCAGATCTTAAAAGTGTATTCAAGGGTGTTGGCCATAGTAAGTAAGAGGCTCCAGTAAACAAGGTAATGCAACATTTGGGATGGGATCTTTTCACTCTAACCTTTATATAAACAAGATAATATCCTGGCATTGTGTCTATGCTGCACCCATTCTCCAGAGAAGACAGAATAGCAAGCCAAACCAACTGTAATGAACCGAGTCTAGTAATTGCGCCATTATCCCAAGGACAAAACAATGGAAAATGCTCCAGTGCCTGGACTTTGTCCACCCGGCTTTGTAACCTTACGGTCACACTGAAATGGCCCAAATGGCTCTATGCATGCAAATTGATCGAGATCACTCATTACCTTGCCAAGGAAAACACAAGCTTCTCTCCCCAATGTTAAAATATGAATTCCCAAGAAGCCAGAATTTTACAGACCCACCCTCTTGGACAGATGTCTAAAAAGAGATTTGCGCAGCCAGAAAAAAGAAAAAAAATTCAGATGGGCTATTTTTTGCTGCTCGCATGTAAGTATGAACTGCTGTAAAGAATAGTTTATAGACACCCAGAAGAGTCTCAGCTGTCACTGCAAAGCCAAGTCGGCCCTCGGCCTGTCACTCCCCCTCAGTCAGTGCGTGGATCTGCCACTGGATCCAAGGCAGCATGCCAGTTTCCCCACCAGGTCTAGACTGAACAAACTGAAAAGGAGAGCCTCTCTCTTGTAAAGGAAAGTCACTCTGCAGATGTCGGGGACACTTTCTCTGTAAAAATGAGTCCTCCCAGGGCAGAGATGGGGAAAATCTGGTCTGGGGAGCCCTTTTGGCCTCTCCAGATTTGCCCCCAAGCTCCAGCCCCTCCCCCCAGGTAGGGAAAATCTCTTCACCAAGAGAGAAGTTATTTGCTTTCAGTTGCAGTGAAATGATTTTCCCTGCTGGAAACCTGATCACAGAAAATCGATCAGAGAGAGCTGTCCTTGAAAATGTGCTCCCAATTTGCAGCCCCAAATTGCCCCCTAACCCACTCAGTTGTGCCCTAATTACCCACAATTACCCCAGCCAAACCCCACCTAACTGCCTGGTCTGTCGTCGGAGCATGTGTGTTGTATGTGAATGTATAGGTCTGGGCAATCAAGTTGAGGGCAGCATACCAGCAGTGAGGTAGTATTTTTAAATATCCCACCGGAACCCTTAAATGGTTTGGGACCACATTCTTTGAAGGACCATCTTCACCCTGTCAACTGGCCTTATTTTAAGACGGAGAGGGGAGGGAAAGGGAGGGGTTCTTCTCATGTGCCAACCTCTGAGGTCAGCTAGATGGGCAAGATCAGGAGAGAGGGGCCTTTTTCACAGTGGCCACACACCTCTGAAATGAGCTGCCACCACAGGTTTATCAGTTCACACCACTGTAGGCTGACAGGAAGGCTCTGGAAAGCTGCTTGTTTCCGTGGCCTTCTTCTGATTAAATCTTATTGAACCATATTCTGTAGCTAAAATTTTGCTGCAGGTTTTTTAGTCATACTTTATTGCTGGTGCTTGTTGTTTTATGAAGGTTAACTGCCTTATCATTGTATTTTTATTATAGGAATGGTAGCGTTGTAAGCCACCTTGGCAGGGCTTTTGCCCTGAAAGTCACTTTAGAAATATTTTAAATTGACATTTCACTTGTGCCGTGTACTGCAAAGCTCTCTGGGCAGTTTACATAGGCAGGGAGTTGAATGAGTCTCATCGGTAGCAAGAGCACAATGGAGCAAGAGGCTGTAAAGGCGATCTGTTTGTACTGGATGAAGGAAGAATCTTCTGGCATTCTGAAGACTGAACTTAACAACTTTTGCTATTGTGGGAACAAACTGATAGGACAGCCCACTCTCTGATTTGTTGGATGAGGAAAACACCTTTCTCAGGATTGCTGGTGAAAGAGCAGCACGGCATCCATATCATAGGGAGGGGAAAAGAGAAACTAGAGGGTGTAGCTGCTCAAATGCCAAGCAACAAAGGGGTTTGGGAGTAGAAGAAGCCAGGAAATGTCAATAGAACGAGCCTGCTAGATATTGCTTGGTTTATCCAAGGAAATTAAGTTGGGGTGGGATAAAGTGCCGCAGTGCTCTTCAGAAGAGCCCAGGGCACATGAATCTTTCAACATCTCTCCGAAAGGCATCCTATTATTGCCAGAAGCAGAGACACACATAAACAAAACATGGGGACAGTTTCAACTTGCTGCTGCAAATAGAAAGTGAGAGTTGGGATTCTTGGCTGAACTTAACCAGTGTTGTTCCCATTGCAAAACGCCAGTGTGGGACCTCGCTACCATTTTTGCAACTAATCCTGCTACTATTATGCCAATAAATGAAACTGATGCTAACATCCCTGAGGCTCCTTCTCTCATTCCCTATATACCATGGGTCCTCAAACTACGGCCCGTGGGACGGATCTGGCCCGCCATGCCCATTTATCTGGCCCGCGCCTCCACCCGTGCGCATGCTCACCTTGCCACTTGGGTGGGGAGGTGGTGGCTTGCTCGCTCGCTCGCTCGCTCAGAGATGGTTTTGGACTCGCTGGGAGATCTCCAAGTGGGCAAGCCACCGTCATGCATGCCTGACACCGCCTGACCAGCTCGCACACCTGACAGTTGGCCCCCTATTGAAAAAGCTTGAGGATCCCTGCTGTATACTAACGACAAACTCCTTTGCTGAATAGCAGTCCTTATGGAGACAACAGCCTCTAGCGTTGTGCTCACACAGTGGCCCAACAGGTATCCCAACAGGTCGGAAGGCCACAAACACATGATTGCAACAGCATGTTTTCGCCTGTGTTCCCTAGAAGCTAGTATTGAAAGGTATACGGCCTCTGCTGGCTGGGGGTGTTATAGAGACATCACGACCTGTAGACATTGGCAGCCCAATTTTCCACCTCCATACATGCACAAGAAGCAGGTATCAGTAGGCTTGGAGGTATTCCAGTGAGGTGTAGTAGTTAGAGGAGTGCAGGACTGGGGACTCAGGGGCTCTGGGTTCCAGTCCCCACTCGGCCATGGAGTTCCCTGGGTGACTTTGGGTCAGTCACAGGCTCTCAGTCCAACCCACCTTACAGGGGTGTTGTTGTGAACATAAGATTGAGAGGAGGAGGAGAATTATGTAAACTGCCTTGAATTCCTTGAAAGGGAAAAAATGGGATTTAAACACTGTATAAGAAATAAATAAACCCAACATTTGCAGAACCGAGCTTTAAAAATGCTTAGAAAGTTGTGGCGAGTAGCACAGAAATAGTCCACTGAAGACCGAGCACGCTTGTTGAGCATAGAATGATGAGTGACTTGGAGGGAAATGGAAAATCAGTAGTGAGAGAAATGGAATGGAGTAATCTGGAAACGGGTATGGCCAGCTGGTTGGAACTCTGCAGAGAAGCACCCTACATTTAACATACTGTTCCATGTCCAGCATACTGAATATTCAGGACCAGTAAAAGAAAACTTCTAGTATATGCCTCACTTGTCTTAAAATCCTATATGTGAGCACTGGAATTACAAACAAAAATCCTGAACTTGCATAGAAACCAAAACAGAGAATTTTTCGTAAGATGTGCATTTGAAACAAATCATTATTAAATAACCTAGTCCTAAGGATTTAGGCTTGGGTAATATAATAAAACTACCTAGGTAAAGAAGCATGTGCTTTTAAATATTTAACAGGCATATTTGGAGGAAAAACTAACTACAATTATACTAAGTACAAGGAAATTAAAAAGTCAGTTTTACAAATAAGTCACAAGTCTTTAACATTCCTCTCATCTAAAGTGAAGCAAAACTTCCAATGAGATAAAATACCCTTAGAATTTTGCTTGGCTGGGAGAAGCGAGGAACATGTACAAACAATAGAGAACCAAACAGACAATATGATTAGTAGAGTTCAGTTACTGTTTCACAGAGCAGCTGCCTGCTTAAATAAACGGGAAAAGATACCACCAAAGAGCAAATAATTAACCCCAAACCCTGAAGTCTGTGTTTCAACTTAGTGTGCCAGATCACCTGATTTCCCTAAAATATTCTACACCATTCTTTCCAGTGTGGTGACCTCTCATTATTTTGGATGATAACTCCCACCAGGAATAATAGAAGTTGTAATCCAAAATATTCAGAGGTCATCCCACTGGGGAAGGCTGTTCCTTACCACCCTACCAGCATGTGTGCACATGCATGCACGCACATGTGCACATATGTGCACGCATGCACACAGAGAGAGGATTTATGGTGACCTGATTTGAAAAACTGGGTCTATCTTCTCTTGTTTGCACAGATCCGTTTTGCTGAGGCCTTCCAAAAGCACGGCCAGGTCTACGAGGAAGAGAGAACAAGGTAGACAGAGCAAGGGATGGCTATCTACAACTCCCTGACACAGGTCCCACTGAAAGCTCTAAAAGAACTGAAATATCCCATTTGCCTGCAGAACAGATGCTGGCTCTGTTATTGGGGTGATGAGTGTTTAGTGCTTTGTTCATGAAAAATGCATTAACACCTGAATCTTCAAAGTCACATTTGCCTTGGCTTTATGTCTTGCCCACTGCCATGCAGGGCACCCTGCAGGATTCACAAACAGAGGGACACAGGAATCTCAGTACTGTGAAAGGTCCGTGGCAGGCCTGTCTGTCGCAGGGAACCACCACTCTGGAAGCTGCCACGGTCCCTTTGGCAAGTCTCCCTGTGTCGGGTGGGTCGTGTGCAAGAAGCAACCCATCGGACCCTCCAACTGCTAGAGATGCAATTCAGTGCAAAAACATAGCCATGTGGGAATGGCCCCGTGCAGAGAAAATATGAACAGAGAGCCCTTTGTTTTACTCATGATGAGTGGGCGATGAGCTTAGAGAAAGAGTGCACAAGTTCATCCCTCGGTGATATTTTAAGCAGCAACCAGCAATATAAAGCAGCAATATAAAAAGAGAAACAGGTAGCCACTTGCATGGGCAAAGGCAAGACAGTTCATGTAAGCAAGAGCTGCTGTGGCGTTGGCGTCTGGGATCTAGGCTCCACTCAGCACTGAAGCTCACGGGATGACTTTGGGCCAGCCATGGGCTCTCAGTCTAACCTGCCCTGCAGGGCTATTCTAAGGATAAAATGCAGAGGAGGTGAACCTGGCACACTGCCTCAGGTTCCGTGCAAGAGGAAAACAGCCAGGATATAAATGTAATACTATAAGTGTAAGTACGCTTACTAGAAAACATACCCTTGAACTCACTGGAATTTTCTTCTTTAGGATTGGGCCACAGTAGATGTACCCTCTTTGTGCACTGCTTTGTACTCTAATTGTGCAAGTGTATGTTTTTAAAATTAAAATAAAAGATCGATGTCTGTCTAACCAGCCAAAGTACTTCACCTCTCTTTTGCTGCGTTGAGGGTGAACAGAAGGGCTGGTGTGAAGATTGCTTTGGTCCTTCCTTTCGTGCAGGGACTTCCGTCTTCTGCAGGGACTTTGTGTTTGATAAACCGAAGTGCTGCGGGCTGAGGGATATTGCCTCCTTGACAGAGTGACAGGGGGCTCCACAGAAAAGGTGTACAGATGCTCCCTTACCTTTTCCTCCTGTGCAGTGAGGTTGGGTCCCCTGACAGGAGCATGAGGGATTCCACTCCTTCGGGCTCTGTTCTCGGGAAGAGGGTGCAGCGGGAGCCCGCTGCAAAGTTCCTTCAGGCTGGACATGGCTGCTGGGGGAATGCTAGCAGCAGCAAGAGACCAGCCACGGAATATGCCTGCCTGAGGGACAGCCCGTGGAAAGGGCCTCGGAAATACTACAGCAGGGCTAAGGCGGCTCCTGATGAAAGCGGGTTGCCCTTTGGCCCTCCACAGGAGCTGCCAGTTGTCTGGGGGTAAGAGCCGTGTGTGTCACACCTATTCCACCTGCACAATCCTATTGGTTTCTTCTACCCCCTCCTCTTAAATAATCATTCACAGCTTTACTGTTTATTCTCTGTACATGATATTGTCCTGTCACTTTGAACCAAATTTGGCCTAGTCCTGTACTTTGAACATACAACACAAACATTCACTGCTTTCAGCCCAGGGTGTGAGGCCAACTTTTGTGAGAATTCAAAGGGAAGCATGTCTTGCTAACTTTATACAATCTCAGACACAAATGCCTTTTCCTTGGCAAGTTTGCATCTTTAGGGCTTATATCACCTCTGAGCCTTTCTCACACAAGTTGCTATTTAACTGCGTTTATTATGTAGTTCAGATTTTGATTCCAGAAATCCCCAAGGTGGTTTTTCAACAGGGAAAATCCACAGTAAGACATTTAAACAATATATTTTTGTTTCAATCACATCCATAAAACATCCATCAAATAAATCTACACTACATCATTATTGCTCAGCACCAACAGCATAACTAACCTAATCAGAGCACCCACCCAAAAGCTCTTTGAAACTAGACAACCTTTTCCCCACATTTGAAAAACCACCAGGAGAGGAGGGAGGTGAACCTGACCCAAAATTTTGCTTCCAATACTGAGATTACCTTGTTCTGAGCAGCCACCTGGCCACTGTACCCAATGGTGGGGGCGAGCAGAGCAGGGCTTCCCAGGAAGATTGCAATGTATGGGTTGGTTCATATGGGAGAAGCCATAAATATCTTAGGGCAAGACCTTCAAAAGAACTTAGAATTCAACCCAGAAACAAACTGGGAGCTGACAAAGCAGTTCAGGTATTGGCATTAGAATGTCAAAGCAGCTTGCAGAGGTTAGTATACTGGAAAATGCATTCTGAAACATTTCTGAGTTGCAGTTCCAGGGCAAGTGACAGAAATGGCACACATAAAGATGCCTTTATCATTTCCATGTGGAGATGGAAAGAGAGGCGTGCACAATCCAAAAATGGAAATGGAAGAGGCATGCACAATCCAGATGAGCATCCTGTGCAATGCCATTTTTATGTTTGCATTTCAACACAATGAAAACAAGATTCCTTTGGCACGTTATGGCTTGTTCTACTGCTCTCGTTTGCATAATACAACCCCCTTTGGGCTGTGGAGGGCTCTTTGTCAAATTCCAGGTGCCATAGATCAGTGGCAGGGTACCTGCTTTGCATGCCAACAATCCCAGGTCCACGTGGAGTTCCCCATCATCTCCACATGGAGCCCTTTCCGCTCCCAGACAATGTACATGAGCGGAACTAGATGGACTGACTCAGTCCTGTAAAGCAACTTCTTTAAAAAAAAAGAAACATTTAATTTTAATTCATTTCTAATGTGGGGACAAAATCTGCATGTGTTCCTGTATGTTGCCAATTAGGCTTGCAAAAATTGCACTAGGAGAGCCTCTGATGTAGCATAATCCAGGAGTGCCAGTGTGGTGCATTGGTGAGTGTGCTAGAGCAGGAATCTGGAAATCCGGGTTCTAGTCCCCACTCTACCAGGAAGCTCACCAGGAGACTTCAGGTCAGTCATGGGCTCTCAGCCTAATGTAGCTCAGCCCCACGTACCTTACCTTGTGAAGATAAAATGAACAGGAGGAAAATTTTGTATGTATATATCATGAATTCCTTGCAAGATTCTCCATGTAACTACGATCTGTGTGCATGTGTGTGCTCACACTTTGAAACACAAAAACGTACACCTGTGGAATGCCCACATCAGCTCCTGTGGGAGCCTCAGCCTATTTTTCTAAATGGAAGAGGTGACTCCAAGCAAAGATGCAGGCAGGCAGTGAACTCGTTCTGATACAAAAAGAGTTCCTGAACTTACGGTGGTGGCTTGTCCATACAATATTTTAAGTATTATACATTGTTCTACAAAGAGAGAGAAAAAAACAAGAAAAATGTAGATCAGGGAATTAAGTCAAAAGTACATCAACCGACAGTGGGCTGCAAAATCTGGGCAGAAAGATCTAAAATATACTGAGGAAGGAGGAAGGTTGGTGACCACCCTTTGAGTATATCGAAGAGAAATAACCACATATGCAGGTGGTCAATGCTAATGCAAAACAAGATTAGAAAATCCATTTAAAACTTATGGATACAGTGGGTCCTTGCAAGAGGAAGAAAGGTGGGGTATAAATTTAAAGAGATGATGATGATGATGATGATGATGATGATGATGATGATGGAATAGATCTAGAACCTTAGAGGCAGATGCTTCCTGGGTGGCCTTGAGCAAATAACTTTCTCTCAGCATTGACATGCATCATTTGTAAACTGGGGGCAGAAAAGTGGCATACGTTATAAGTCTGCAGTGAAAAGATGGATGCAGAAAGAAACACTCATAATCACAAGGGAATCCTAAAGAAGGTGCATTTAGGGAAATGCATTGTGGGAGTGAGTCAGCCATAAAAATGAAAAGGAGGCCAAACAGTAATACAGTAGACTCTCAGTTAACTGTCTCCCATGGGGATTGGTAGATGCTGATAAAAGTTGTTGTGAACCGTCCAGATATCTGTGATGGGATGGTAGACAAAAGTTTAGATAGATAGATAGATAGATAGATAGATAGATAGATAGATAGGTTTCTAGCTGCTTCAGAGTTACTATTAAAAACAGGTCTAATACTATACCCCATACTATTCCATAGCATGCCATAAACTCTGTCTTGACTAGGTATTAATACTGAAATGCAGTTCTTAAAAGTTAATAAAGACAAATAAAGACAAATTTGTACCTTCTGAGACTGAGCCTTAACGTCACAGATCGTTGGCAAACGGACACTAAATTCCCCCATGAGCACTGCACCGCTCTCGCCTTTCCCAAGCCTCTTGCTTATTTCCATCTTGTGATAGAGGATAAGCACTCTTCGTTGACACTTCTTGGGACCTGTTGCCGCATACCTGAAACGCAAAATTTGAATAACATTAGATCCCCACGACCGGTATGTTTACCCGGTGAATTGGCCCGAGCGGGAGACAAACACGTGGCTGACTCCAGGCACGGAGCCCGGGCACGCCGAGTTTAAACTTACTTTTCCGCTGGAAATTGATTTCATTTTTTTTAATTTAAAGTATAATTTCTTCGATTGTTTTGCCGGTTGCTTGAGTTCCTGTTAACCGGAAGTCTACTGTACAATAATGATACAATAATTGAATAACAATACATAATGAGCATTTTTTTATGTCAGAGCGGAGCAATTGGGTATAAGGCATGCTTTCACTGCAATTCATAGGAAGCTACTTTCTGGACCAGATTTGTTTTCTTGGAAACAGAAACAAAAAAGAGGCTTGTTCCTGAACTTTGAATACTTGTTTTTTTCTGTAACCAAATATTATGGCTACTGCTCCCTGGAGCCCAGCAAGGTGAGATGACCAGAGACTTACGATCAATTTGTGTAATCATTTTTTCTTTACAAATTTGAAAAGCAACACCGGACAGCGAAAAACTGGGCTGTGACACTGCCAGGGTCCCCAGACACCAGCAGCCCCTCCCCAAACCCCCCTTTTTTTTTACTTGCTAATCCGTGACAAAAACCTAGTCTACTTTTCGATATTTCCCTTTTTTCTGGCTAAAGTAAAAAGCGCAAAACTACTCTCCATGCAGAATCTGGCAGGTAGGTATAACTTGCATCCTAGATGCCCTTCCTTGACTGCTCATTAGTAAGCATCCAGTCTTAATTGGCCAAAGTCCATAAACGGGACAGCGTATGGCTCGGAACAGCAGAAAGTTATTAAACGCACTCTGCCCACGGTCTCGCTCTCGCTTGCTAAAAGCGCGGCAAGCGGCTGTTATTAGCCGTTCCGCCCGACAGAGGGCGCTGCGGAAATATCAATTAATCGCTGCCTCCGGGAGCCAAAAAGGAGAAAGCGGACTCCCCCACCGCCCCACTTGTCGCCGGGCTTTTAATTTAAAGGTACAAGAACAAGCGCTGGGAAAGCAGCAGACTGGGAAAGGATAACCCGGCGCTTGCAAGAGCCCTTTGAGCCAGGCTCTTGCAAGAGAAGAAAAGACGGCTAAGATGCAAATATGGTGACACGTGCGTTTCCAGAGCGGCAACAACAGAGCAAGCCCAAAAACAAACGAGTGTGCAAATGATTTTAAAAAAATCAAACCAGCCCTGCCTCTTTCAAAGAAATGAAGAAGGGAAGATAACATGTAATAATCCTGTTTGCAGCCAGACAGGGCTCGAGAAGGCAGAGAAAGGCTCAGATGGGAAAGACCGCTGCGGGAGGGGGTGGTGGAGACGATTGCAACGGGGTTTAAGGAACCCTCTCTCCCGCAGCTTTAATTAATATTATGAGTATTGTGATTATTAGGGAAGGAAAGCAACGTCCCCGCCCCCATCCGCAAAGCCACTGTGAATCAAACGGTATCCCGTGCCCTTTGGGAACAGTTCCTCGCTGGGGCTTTAATATCAAGATCGTGCAGGGCAGAAAAGACGATTCCAAACTATTCTAATCGCGTGTGTTTTTGGCGAGCGGAGGGGGTGGCACGAGGGGGGAAACTGCTTGCAAGCTGCTGCTTCTGCGGCGACGGGAGTGCGAGAGCGGAAAGTGACAGCGAGGCAGCGAGGGGGCTTGTTTTGCGATGGTAGTAATGGGGACGGTTGCATCCCCATCCACCTCATCTTTCGATTCGTGCTTCTCCTGATCGGCGAAAAGACGAACAGCCGGCGGAGTGGGCCGGCTGCTCCGCGCCAGACGCGCGCCTGCGACTCTCCTCTCGTCCTGGGCGCAAGGGGGGGAGAAGGCGCTGCGCAGCGAAGGGGCCGCGCGCGAAACAAAGGCAGGTTTTGCCCCGGGTTGCGCTCCCGTTAGGAGCACCGACGGCGTGAGTGAGTCGAGCCAGCGCGGGGCGGGCGCGGGAAGCCGGGGCGGCCGCGCGGGATCCTGCGGGGAAAGGCGGCGGCGAAGCGAAATCGAAAGCCGGCGCGGACTGCCGGGGGGTCCGTCGGCGGGCGGGCGGGGAGAGGGCGCTGGGCGTCCGCTCGCTCCCAGCTGGGCTTGCGCCAGCCATGTGAACTGCAGCCCGTCTCCCGAGGGCAGGGGGCGCCTCTCCGCGCGCGGCGTGATTTATTCATGCGGAGGCCATGCACGGCTGAGAGTGACACGGAGGGAGCCGAGCCAAGCAGAGACCGGGCACACGCCACCTAGATCTTACGAGGACGGAGGAGGAGGAGGAGGAGGAAAGCACATTCACAGAGAACAGGCGAATGAGAGCGAAGACGACGGTCATTGCTGCCCCGAGGGGAGCTTCTCGCTCGAAAGGTCGCGCGCGCGCGCACCCACACTTGTGCAAACCAGAATCGTTATTTAGTCCTCGCGTCGCCGGTGAAGATGGATTTCCTAGGCGGAGTCATGCAACGCAAAAGCATAACGCTGATCGTATTCCTGGAGTATATTATTACTGGTCCGCTTGGAGCAGGTAAGCAGGAAAAAAATAATGAAGACGTCAACGCGTCTATTTCCAGTCTGTGTTATCAGGTCGGGCAGATCTCTAAAATCCCTTTATTTTCGGTTTGATTATTAATGCTCGATAGGTCGACATGTGCTTTGTTCTTTAGGTGCTCAGCCGTCCCTGTCATTGACCCTAGAGGCTGGCCGCATTTACTTCTCTCATTCCCGCCTAAGGGCATCGTCCCTCTAGGTCAGCACTGTGCCCATTTTAAAGTCAGGACGTTGAGGCAGGAGAAAAAGTGTAATTTCCCAAAGCCAGGCAACGAGTCCAGAGCACCTCTGGCTTTGGAAGAAAGCAGGAGAAATTACTTTTCTGAGAATTGTTTTCCAGTTGAAGCGTCAGGTAGGAAATGGTAGTTTGGTCCAAGTTCTGGCATGCAAGACCCACACTGAAAACGCCCGTGTTGACCATCAGAGTCTCCGTTGCCAGGACATGACCTCTTTGCTGTTTCAAGACCGGAACATGAATGGCAGTGTGTTGTGTGGTTTGTGTGTCCCGCTGCTTAACCTTCCTGTACAGCAGCTGAGACTCCGCCAGGCCAGACCTACCTTGACAGGGGAATGGTAGTGAAAAGACACAGCTCAGCCCAGGGAAGGCTTTTATGCAGCCCACGTGCTAAGCATGCCTTTACTTTTCTATATTACTTTTGCCCCAAAGAGGAACATTGTTCAGTTTTGAGCCTTTTTCCAGTATGGGGGAGGGCTAGAGAAAAGGGGCTCCCCCTGCCATGCATCCCAAGCCCTCAAGTGAGCTGGATGAGTCTGAAGTTGCCTGAATAAACAGTCCGTCTGGGGGTGGGGAACTCTTTAAGCCCGAGGGCCAAACTCAGTTGTGAAAAATCTCTCTGGGGCTGCATTCCAGTGATGGGTGGGGAAAATATCCATTATATGCCAGCATTATATTGTTGGTAATGAAACCTGAGGGGAGGGGACTGCACAAAAGGCAGGGAACCACCAAACAATCCGTGGTTGGGGGAAAGAGATTGGGGCTGGCTGGGGAATCCTGAAAGGCTGGATGCTGAGCCAGGTCCTGACGCTGACCTAGCATTGCCAGCACCAGCCTGCAGCAGCTGCCTGGGGCTTCAAACAAGGCTTTCTCAGCCCTACCTGAAGAGGCCAGGCATCACATGGGAGAAGAGCACCTGCGCTTCCACAGAGCTACAGCCCCCTCCCCTTATGAGATCCACAGAAAACTGCCTGATCCTGCATCGAACCATCGGGATCCAGCATGTGCCTCCATCTTTGTGGGATCAGCTGGCATATTGGGAGCCTGGAGAGCAAGAGACAGCTGCATACTTCTCGGGGTGGTTCGGGAGAGTTTCTTGTTCCAGGGAATGGTGAGACATGTTGCTGGGTATCTGGCCCAGCAGCAATGATGCCCTCCTCATGCATAGGGCTGTGCATGGCAAGGGCTCTAGCTGTGCCTGGGTTTTCAGACTGGCTTCGGAGCAGGGCAATCCAAATGGTGGCGGTGGTGCTTCTGCTGGGGAAAATACGAGCGCCGGTGTGGCCTAGTGGTGAGAGTGCTGGAGTGGGGACCGGGGAGTTCCAGGTTCGAATCCCTCCTCAGCCATGAAACTCACTGGGTGACTTTGGGACCGTCTCTCATTCTCAGCCCAACCTACCTCACAGGGACGTTGTTGTGAGGATAAAATTGGTTCCTTACAAGAGAAGAAATGTGGGATATAAATGCAGTGTAATAACAATCACGATATAAATATAATAGTCAATTAATAATTCATAACTTGCTCCTCTTTTATGGCACCCAAAACCCAGACTCCCAAAGAAAACCTGAACTCTGCCTAATTGTAGGGCTGGTTATGTTACTTTTGAGTGTGATTTGTTTGGGTCTTCCAATACTCTGATTATAGAAAATTGTTGAGAGGAGGACAGAGGACGTTCTCAGGTCTCAAAATGGGATGTAAAACCCAACATATCCACCTCTCAGAAGCTTTGAACATGCAAATTCCATTTCAGCCCAAGAGTTCAATCCAGGTCGCTATCCAGCTGTTTGCCAGCCCTGCACTGCACTGTTCTTCAGCCAGTGCATTTCTGTGAGATTCTGGGCTAGGAAGGCTGCATGCAGCTTCAGGGTCAACTCTACCGTAAAACAGTGTGAGGCAGCTACCTCAGGCAGCCAATGCAAGGGGCAGCAGCCATTCCCCCATTGTTCTCCGGAGCCCCTTGGGCTGGTGTTCATTCATTCATCAGCGGAACAGAGGAGAAAGTTGCTCCTTGCCTAGTGCTGGATAATTCAGTGGCTATTCTGGTCAGATTCTGCACATAGAATGGGGTGTGTGTAGGGTGAGGGAATCAATACTTCCTTAGGCAGCTAAAAGTCTTGGGCAGCGCATGTTCATGACTTCCTTTGGTCCAAATGAATTCAGGTGCCATTGATGATCATGGGAATTAGTATTTTGCTATTTGGCAAATGATGAAGATATTACTACTAAATCATCTTGTAATATATATGTCAGTAAATAAAAGGGTACAAAACAGGAAATGGTAGCAAACACTGACTGGGTTCAGACAACATGGCAGCTTACTCTCAAGGGCTGAACATGGATTGCTGAACCATGAGTTACTGTTGAAATATGGGTGATCGTGTTGTCTGATCTCAGCTGAAATAACAAACCATGATGAACAAGCCACAGTTGATAACCCAACAACAGATCATGAATCGTTTGTGGTAACACAGCTGGTTCAGAGAACAGGATAGCCCATGTTTCAACAACAACTGATGGTTTAGTGGCAACCCATATTCAACCTGTACTCACCATCATGTTATCTGAACCCATTCAACGGCTGCTAACACTAAGTACTTGAAAGGTTGTCACAAAGAGGAAGGCCAGGATGTCTTCTTGATCATCGCAGACTGCAGGGCATGGCATAACAGGCTCGAGTTACAGGAAGCAGATTCCAGCTAGGTATCGGGAAGAATTTCCTCATTGTTAAAGCAGTGCAACAACGGAACCAATGAAACAATGGAACTGGGGTATCCAAGATGCAGCTGGACAACCATCTGAGAGGGATGGTTTAACCTGGAGACCTGCACTGAGCAGGGGGTTGGACCTGATGGCCTTCTGTCCCCTTCCACCTCTACTATTCTATGATTCTGTCTACTTTCAGCATCTGCAGAACAGCTACCACTTTTGATCATCCACACATGGCAGTGATAAATAACTAGAAACACACTGGCTGCTGCACTCAGTTTGTTTACAGCCATTTCCCCAGCATTTTTAAAGCAATCTAAAGCACATAAATTAATATACATTAGCACAGAGGTATAGAACCGCTTTCAGATTCCATTTTAAAGAAGCATTTGGGGCTGGATTTATGTGGTAAATGGGGCTGAAGGTAAAAATTAGCAGGGCCAAAAAAGGGGGCATATTATTGCTTACCGCTTTTACAACCAGTAAGTTTTAAGAGAGCGATTTCTACCTTTTAAAATGTTGGGAAAACACCAAATAATCAGCAATCAAGAAAAGCAGGTGATGCCACTGGAAGTGGGTGTGGTCATCTAGAAAAACCAAGAGGGCCAAATTTGAACCCTGGGATAGTCAGATTTAGTTTCTGTGCCTGAAGTTCTGCATTCCTGGGATCTATAAAAATCGGATTATATGAAGTGATATATATGCCATGGCAACATGCCATGCCAAGCTTGTGTTACTGTATTCTGAATGGGTAGTGCATGAGGGATAGTACTGAGTTGAGGACTAAAGCTCTTTACTCTCCCTGGTGATCCCAATGGCCCCACCACCAAAAAACAAGTGTGCTCTTATTTGCATATCCCCACTGCTTCATCTGCATGGCCTGATCCTGGCTTCTTCTCCTTCCCACCAGATGTGAAGGAAACTGGGAACACGCACAGACAGAGTGTGATGCTGAAGCACTTCCACTTTACCTTCTGCCCTGGTGACAAGAGATGGGCAGATGAAGTGCAATTTGGCCGGTTGATAACATGATGCAGTAGCTGCTGCTTCTTATTTTTTTCTTTTCATAGTAGATTACATAGTACTGCTGCTTCCAGCCAATTAAACAAGTTTGGTTGCAGCGCTTACACTTCTCCCACTCGCACCAGCCAACCAGCAGGAGCCCAGAAGGCAGGCAATGAGATGGGCATCAATTTCAGACCCATTTTAGGATCAGTTGAAGGTTGAGGGGGTTAAATCAGGCAGCAGAAGAGAGGAATAGCCTAGTACTATATAAAGTAAGAGAGAAACTGGCATCCTGGTGATGTCCCATATATGTGCCCATTGAAATCAGTGATGAGGTGTTGTTGTTCAGTCACAAAGTCATGCCCAACTCTTAGTAACCCCATGGACAACATTCCTCCAGGCTCTCCTGTCCTCCATCATCCCCAGGAGTACACCCAATCCCACATCCACCTCTCCAGTGACCCCATCCAGCCACCTCAGCCTCTGCCGTCCCCTTCTCCTTTTGCCTTCAATCGTCCCCAGCATAAGGTTTTCTCCAGGGAGTCCTTCCTTCTCATTAGGTGGCCAAAGTATTTGAGTTTCATCTTCAGTGTCTGGCCTTCTAAAGAGCAGTCAGGGTTGATTTCCTCTCGGACTGACCGGTTTGATCACCTTGCGGTCCAAGGGACTTGCAGGAGTCTCCTCCAGCACCACAATTTGAAGGCCTCAATTCTTCGGCCCTCAGCCTTTCTTATGGTCCAGCTTTCACAGCCATACATTGCAACTGGGAAAACCATAGCCTTGACTATACGCACTTTTGTTGGCAGGGTGATGTCTCTGCTTTTTAGTGTGCTGCCTAGATTTGTCATAGCTTTCCTCCCCAGGGGCAAGCGTCTCTTAATTTCTTGGCTGCAGTCCCCGTCTGCGATGAGGTAGACTGGTTTAAATATCAACAGTAAGCAGTGAATCCTCAAACAGCCTCACTTTCCATTCCACATTTTAAGAATATAACATTTCTCAGTTCCTTTCATTGAGAGCAATAGCTAGGAAG